TTAAATATGGTTTACTTTTAACCTATCAATGCTATGGCTTTTTATTAAATATAATGCCACCATGTAAAAAAGCACTACCAAAAGAAGCAAAGAGCTCAGGGTGACATCTGTCCCACTTAAGTCCTGATGTTATGTGGATGCAAGCAGCAACCCATTGACATGACAGGGGATAGAGCCACACTAATTGCAAATTTTTTACTGTAAAAACAAGAAAAGATTATATTAATGCTTTTTCAAGATGACCATTAAGCATTCCTAGGTTACTTCCCAATTCAATCTGGGTTACCACAAAAACAAAGCACAGGGATTTTTTTCTTTCATATCGTGAAATAGTCATCAATTTTCTTTTTATATTATCTAACCTATGTACTAAGGCTTAAACTTTCTTCTAAGAATGGCTTTAGCCGAGATGTTGTCTTAACCCGCCCCATCCCAAAAACAACAAAGCAATTTATCTCGGTGTGGTGGTACACACCTGTAATCCTAGCACTCACGAGGCTTAGTCAGGAGGATTGCCATGAGTCTGAGGCCCACCTAGTCTACAAAATGAGTTCAAACCAAGCCCAGATTAGGTAGTGAACTCTGTCTCAAAACCTAGAAAAAAATTTAAAAAGGCTTTAACGTCATTCTTCGAATTTCAAAATGTGGTGCTCTACCTGGAAGTCTACTTTAACCATATGGGGATTTTCTTACCATTTTCTTGTTGTGTTCTTCTCTGTTGCTTCAGTTTTTTGAAATATACTGAGACTTTGTTACCCACTATGTACTCAACTTTCATAAATTTTCCACATGTGCATGAAAAGGGTATTGATTAAATAGTTGTTGGATTACTGTGCGCGGTGCTGTGCGCCGAGGGGATGTCATCTCCCCCCAGAGGGTTGTTTGGTTCCGCTGGAACTTGGGACACAACAACTTGGACTACGTTTTTCAGGCTAAAGAGAATGAGGCTGTCTGAGTTCTGGCTTGATATCTCTGTTGTCTCTTCTGGACCAGTTAACAACCCAGGATTAAGGTTTCCTCAATATTAGGCTCATCTCTCCAGACTTCTGCTCTCTCCTGTTAATTCTTGATACTCTTTACCACCTTGTCAGTTCTCTGATGTCAAATTTTCAAACTATTTGTGCAGCTTTTCTAGTTATCTTCTACAGAAACATTTATTTCAAATTATCTGGCATTCCATTAGCAGGAGGCAGAAATCCTCTTCCTCTTTCAACATTCCCCTTAATTCTGAGTATAGAATGTTTTGTGCATATACTTTACATGGCTGTATGGTATTTCACTAATAGGCTGATCCATACTTTTTTTTTTTAACCTTGTTTTATCTTCTGTTGGAAATTTTAGTAATCTGCCTCTCCATTGCTCTTGGTTTCCCATGATGGAGTTTCTCCACTAGTTTAAGTTAGATTAGCAGAAAGGTAATTTTTCTTTTTTTCTGCTCAGGATGAAACCCAGGGTCCAGTGCAACTAAGCAAGTACTTTCCCAGTGAGCAGCGCCCTTGGTTCTGGGGTTTTTTTACAGAGAGCCTGGCAGTGGACATTGTGTACTGGGGGCCAGCAGGCCAGGGCTGAGCACCACCCAGCCAGGAACAGCTGAGAGTAAAATTGCTTGACTTCTAGTAGCTGCCACCTGCTGCTTGGTGACCATGATACTAGGTACCAGGTCGGAACTGCATCTGAGCTGCCCCAGAAGAACCAGATGTCATCACCATATTGCTGGTCCTCAGCAAAAGCTTCCGGTCTCCTGAGGTCCCCTCCTTGGGGGAGTGCACGGTGCTGCAGGAACCGCCCAGCATCCCAGCAGTCACTTGGCAGTAGAAAGGACACCAAAGGCACCGCAAGAAGGGTGCCAAGATGCCAGGCACCCGGAACCCTGCAGATTCAGATCTGTACCCCATCTTTCCGAGAGCAGCTTTCCTGGCCTTCTGGAGAATATTGGATGGCCCACTGCAACATATACTCATTTGGACATCAGAGCTGCTTTTCATTTTGGCTTTTACTGGAAAGCCAAAGGGAGCTGAACAGGCCAGTTTTTTAGATTTCTAAAAAATAAAATAGCACAGACCTAGACAGGTTTCTCACAATGCTGGAGCCTGGGCAGTTTGAGGACACAGCCCCTGAACCTGGCCAGGGCCTGTTTTTGTGTTGTGGCACAGTACAAAACCTCCCATGGCAAGGCATGTGCTATACTGAAACACAGGACTCCTGTGACATCCATCCTTTCATCACGAGGCAACTGCAGCTACAATAACAGCATGAATCCCTCCATGACGGTAATGAGCCTGAGACCTCATTACCTGCTTGGGGTCTCTCCTCCCAGTACTCCACGATGCCTCTGCATTTGGATTGCGAGCTGGGTGTCCAGCCCAGAGACAGTGCTTGAAAGGACCTGCACCTGATCCCCAGCACTGCAAAGGAAATAAACAAATACGTTTCCCATGAGGCTTGGCATGGACATCCACATCACAGCAAGCCTGTGGGCTGTGAGAAGCCACAGGGGAAAGGGTCCAGGTCCTTTGCAGCCACCTCTTCCCACAGGTGTGTGGGCCCTGGACAGTCTTATGTGGGTGGCAGGCCTCAAATGGGTCTGATGTATAGATTATACATGTGGTTTCATGTGTAAGCCTGAAGTTTTGTTTGGGGGTTTTCATGTCTTTGATAATCCAAAGAATATGAACTTCATCCAAATGCCCACCTTACAACTTAGTATTCTGTTTTACAATGATGAAGTACTTGGCAGTACAGAAGGGAATGTATGTGTTCATTACAGGTTATATTGAAACAAACTCCTATGGGCCCACCACACAAATCATGAAGCAGAATATTACCAACACCCCTGAGCTGAGCCGTCCCTCCTCTTCGCATGGGGGCCATCCTCGTTTCCAGGCCAGCAACCATCACTGACGCCCTTTGTGAGTGTCCACCACAACCAGGCAGGGCCTGGCTCAACTTACTAACTTGAATCACAGGTAGGGGAGGTGAATCAGAGGTTCAGGGAAGGGATAAAGACCCAAGTCCAGGGCTAGACTTCTTGGACTAGAATCCTAGCTTTGCTTTTGTTAGCTCTCACCCTGAGCAACTTGCCCAACCTTGCTGTGTCCCTTTTCTATTTCTAAAAGGGGAATAAGTAGAGAACCTACCGTCAGAGGCTGCTGTCCGTATAGCTCAGAGCTCAGCACATGGCGAGCACCCAGTAGGAATGGCTATGGTCACTACTGTCCTCAAGTGCGAGGTCATGTCCAGTAAGGGCAGCAGGATGCATATGGGGAGGCAGGAGACCAGAGCAGCATGGACTGGAGCTGGTGTGGAACACACTCTACTGTGAAAATGGCAATATCCTTCCTGCTACACCTCGAGTCTCTGGCACTGTCCCTTCTTGGGCATTGGTTGGGCACCCAGGAAGCCAGGGGCATCCCAGAACCCCTGGGAACTGTGGGCGCAGTAACTCTAGGAGGGCCTGGTAAGTTGGCCTCCAGGTTCTCTCCTGCAGCAGCTCTGCAGGGTGGAGGCCTGGTGTGGAAGCATTTTAATGTCTTCTAAATACATAATCTGGGGTTAGATGCCATTCACATGACCTTTGTCCGTTCTTGCCTGGAGCCACTGTAGTATGAGTTAATAAATAGTGGAGGAAGCAGGCGGGCTGGCCCATGTGGTGGCTACTCTGCTTCCAGTCTGAGAGCTGACTGCACACCCCAGTCGGCGGCAGGACCCTTGGGGACTTGAGGCCTGGTGCCATTCACAGCAGCAGAGCACACCATCTGTACTTGGGAAGCACGGCGCTCGCAGCAGCTGTGTGTGTGTGGGGACGCGCTCTCAAGCTGCCTCAGCCCACATCAGTTACGGGGCAGAAGGCGAGGCCCTGTGAGGTGGGGAAAGAGCAGCTAGAATGACAGGCCTGGGTCTGGCCCCAACACTGTCACTGTGACCTGGGACAGTCCTGTCCCAGGCTGAATAATCAATCCCCTTGTGTGCCTCTCAGGGCAGGTGTACAAATCAGGTGCCCCCCGGGGGGGAGCTCTTCGACAGTGTTAATGCTGCCTGAAGGACAGCAGTGCTGTCCCCTCCAGGACCAATCTAAGGCCAAAAGCAGGGGTCTTCACTCCAGATGCGTTTCCCAGAAACAAGACCACTGGCGGCCTCTGTAGCTCACCCCGGCCATATTAGGGAAATGCTTCCTGACAGCCCTTGTGGAGTAGAGAATATAAAAAACTGAATTGCTTGCCCAGCCTGAGGCACAGGGGTTTTCCATTTACTAATGAGTAATGAAATCAGCTGTGGACAGGTATGTGAGGAAGGCTGGGGATGACCTCACCCCTCTGTATCCGAGCCGGGGGAAGGAGGCGGCACAGGTGGCCATCAAGAGTGTCCACTACTGCCAGCTGCTTCACTCTGTCCTGTCAGTCCCTCCACTGTTAGCCTTACCAGTTCACTGGTGAAGCCAGTTTGCCCAAAAGGCGGACAGGCTGTGGTTTTACTAGGTTCAATGTTCCTGAGACAACTCCAGAGCACAGAGGCGTGACCACTGCACACAGCATGAAATGCACATCAAAAGGATGAAGAAGGCAACACTCGCATTGTGTTTATTACACATTAAGTTTAAAAACTAGAAAGAAAATCTTAAAAAAATTCAAAGCAGCAGACTTAAGCCCCCAGTGCTGTGCATATTTCTTTGAGATCCCTCTACTCAGTGCCCAGTGGCCCACCACATCCTGCCATGGGTCCACAGAGAGCATAGAAGGGGAAGGGAGATCCCAGCCTACCTGCTCTTAAAGGCCCTTGGCGTAGTCTGAGAAGCCTATGACTGCACCAAGGGAAAGCCTTCAGCTTCTGAATATTCACTTCCACTGTGAGAGGAAAGGGGCTGCATGAATGAGGCCCTGTGTGTACAGCCCCTGGGAGTGTGGCTGGGACTCCCCATACACTACAGCAGACCCGGCCCCTCCCTGTCACGTAGAGAACAGACGAGCTAGCCACAGGGCACAGTGAAATACAGACAGCATCAGTGCAGGAAACTGAATTGTTTCATTTATTCTAGGGCGAACTCAAAAGGGGTTTTTTTTTGTTTTGTTTTCTTTTTTAGCAAATCCTAGCACATTATTAACAAAAAAATCTGTACATTGCCATGATACACTTGAAAGTGAAACAAGATAAATACAGATATGGATGTAACATGAAAAAAGCCCAAAAAAACCCCAAAAAACAAAACAAAAAACCACCCAACCTGGGTGGGGTGGGGACCATGCCTGTGAACACAGTGCCAACAAAACTATTTTGGTGGCTGATATTTTTCAGAGCATTTCTTTTTTCATTTCCAAATGTTGTTAGCAGTCCTGGTGGGTTCTACAGAGTTCTTGCATGCCATCCTTCGAAGTGTGGTATGATGTATGATGTAAAGGGCAGGAGGGAAAGAAAAAGTGTATGAGACGATACTGTCGCATTACCTGCGCGGGCGTGGTGAGGTGAGCATGGAGAAGGCAGGCTGTGGCTGTGGCTGTGCGGCACGCGCGGTACATGGAGCCAGCGCATGTGAGGACAGCTCCTGGGACGGCGGCAGCTCAGGGAGGCAGGAAGTTGGAGCAGCCGGGCCCTCACCATGGGGCAGGGACGTTGAGGCTCTAGAAAGTCAGGTGGAAGGGGAGACAAATGCAGTCCTGGTGCTCTGCTCTCGGCATCTCCTGGACCACAAGGCAGCAGCAGCTGTTGTCCCGAGGGTGGAGCGTGCAGCCACCCTGCAGTGAGGTGGTGGCGGCATGCAAGTCTACTCGGTATGGCCAGCAGCAGTTTGCAGATTGAGAGCAAGAGACCTGTGATGGGATTGCATCTCTATCAGGAGGTTGAGGAAGGTGAGTGACATCACAGCTAGCCCTTTGTGAGTACTGAGAGGACATCAGGATGATTGAGAGCCTTCCAGCGGTACTGGGGACCCGTGGTGACCTCTGGGAGCCACAGTCCCAGAGAAAGGTCCTTCTAACTGCATCAAGCTTAAGAGAATTCATAACTATGCTGCCTGGGAGACATGTTTCTACCACAGAGGAGATCCTAAGACTCTAGGACTCTTGTGTGAAGAGGAAATCTCATTAATACATAAACAAACAAAAACAAACAAGCAGTATTTATCACTGAAAGCAAGGCCGGGTTCTGCTATGTTTTGAGCCTAAGTGAGTCCATAATAATTTTCAGCCACTTAAAATGCACTCAATTTCCCCAAACAGCAGTCATGGAGCATTTTATACATGTAACATAATCCACTCCACTCCTGAATGTAGAGAGGCCTTCATTTTTATTGCTTATTTCCAAATAATAGTATCTGCCTTTCACAAGTCCCCACGTAATCTGAAAGGTCAGAGGGGGTGGCACAATCAGGCTGAGAATGACCTGAGCAGTGCCCCAGATCCTAAGAAGCTTTTTCCTTATGGAAGGATTGGTACAATTACAGGATCTGAAATAGAATAGCAACAGAAGTCTCCATGATTGCATTGACAATTGCTATTTGGTGTAGGAAAATTTTACTCAAAACAATGTAACTAGACTCCAGGTCTACAGTGACTTTCTTTGGAGCAATCAGCCCCACAAGAGGTTGACACATACAAGGGGCCCAGTGGCTTCCCAAGGAAGGCAATAGACTCTCAAAAGTGCACTGCAAGTCCTGTGCTCTGCAATGTGCCACTTGTCATGATCACTTTTTTAAGTGTACAGAATTAAAAATAATGATTCCAGGGCTGGGGTGCAGCTCAGTAGTAAAGAACTGGCCTAGCATTCAGGAGGCTATGGGTTCAATTTTTACCACCAAAGATAGATTTTGCTTTCTTTGCTCTTAATCCCAAACGAAAATGGGGAAGCCAAAAGTGCAATGGTAAAACTGCTATTTGCCAGATTAATTGAGCGCATTTAAGAAATGAACAGCCCAGGCAAAGCTCAAGGGATGAGATAAGGTGGTGAGGTTTTGAACCACCAACCTAGAATCTTGGGACAATCCCATCATGACAGTGCCTCCCTAAGATCTCAGCAGGGAAGCAGACAGGAAACATCCCTCTGTGCTCCACAAAAGGCTTTTCTAGGTATTCCTAACTTGCGGTGAGTTCATCTGACTTTTGGGGTGGGGAGCTGGCTGTGCAGCTGCTCCAAGGAGCTGGGAGACTGAGGTAGTCCTGCTGTGCCAAGAGCCAGGGCTGGGGTTGTGTCTAAAAGGCAGGCAGCGTGGTGGGCTAGCTTCAGGCCCTCCTCTTCTTGCCAGGATTCAAGCTCCATGCTTATTAGGTCTCAAAACACAACCTAAGGACACATGACCTTTCTCAGTGTTGGCTTGGAAATGGTGTGGGCTTTGCCCCACACGGGCCATACTCCTAAGAATTGTAAGCTAAGAATGAGGGACACAAAATCTGTTATTAACTGAAACAAAGCGCTACCATCTACTGCTAAAGAGCTATGGGTTTGGGGAACTCGCCCCCACCCCCACATGGTTTGTGATGTCAGAGGTGGTATGAGACATATAATATGGCTCTGTTTGTTTCTCATTCCTTTTGTTTCTATGAAGACTGCAATACAGGCCTTGCTTCCATTACATTCAATACCAGTAAGGTTCTACATAAAAGCTGGAAGGGACCAAAATACTGATTGTAATAAATATGTGTGGGCCTCCTTGTACTGATAGGGCAGCCGATGGGGGGGGGGGTGTCTCCAGGGCACCACTGATCGCAAGTGATCTGCAGAAATAGGTGTTGCCACTAGCTGTGTGTGGACACGTCGGAGGAGGAGCTGCTGTTGCTGTTGGTGGTCTGGGCCCGCTTGATGTACAAGTTTAGCAGCTTCATCTGCAGGGAAGACACAAAAGAGTCAGCAGGAGGAAAGCAACCACAGAAGACAGGGAAACTGTGACAGAAAACTGCCTTTCCCCTCATTCCCCTCATTCCACACACATGAGGGCCACAAGTGGAGATAGTCAGGGTCTAGAAGACAGAGAAAAACAGTTGGTTGTTACAAAAGAACAGTAAGTGTGCCAACACCATACTGTGGTATGGTAACAGGCTCAGGACTGCTGGAGAAAGTACCCAAGCAGCAGCCCAAGGGCTCAACGGGAGCTGGGCAAGAGGCAAGGGGGCACGAGGTGCTGGGCTAAGACTGCTGAGCCCTGGACTGTGCTGATGCCCCTCCTTCTCCCAAAACCCTTCTGCCTCCCGAAAATGCTGATGCTGCAATTCCTGAGACCTCCTTGCAAAGCCCCTCCTGATGAGAATCCAGATAGAAGCAACCCTTTCACCGAACTACAGCCCTTGCCCCAGCGCTACCTTTCCTTGCCTGCTGGCACTGTAAACATGGACCAGAGTAGGCAGTGCTATGATGACAAGAGCCATCATTCACACAAGGACTTTACACCCAGGGCTCAGCAATCCACACAGTTCGAGATCCAATTCCATCATTAACTAGTTGTTTGACTTCTGGTAAATCACTCTCTGAGCCCTAGCTTCACTACCTGCAAGTATCAAGAGTGTTGAGGCCATTGCTAAAGTGTACCCTTCTAACTCCAGCCCAACAGCTCCCCACAGAACACAAACCACTGGCTCATCCCGCGAACCCAGCAGCCAGGAAGCCCGCCCTGAGGGGCTTGGCTGCTGGGTATGTTTCCTCGTGTGCCAAGCCTGTTCCCTAGCTGCACTTCCTACTAATTCATGACAGAACAAGACTTTTGTTCTTCCTGCACACCCAGCACAGTGTGGTATGGACAGGTTCCTAACACATATTCGCTGAATCAATGAAGGAAAAAATGGTCTAGAAGACAAGACAGTTACATTTCTACAAAAGGCTGTGTGTAAATCAGTTGTTAAACATTCTTTATTGTCCTTACTTTCAACCACTAATTTATCTCTCTAGTCAATACTAATTTCTCTCTCCGACCAAGAATATAATTACAACTAGGCATGGTGGCGTATGTCCATCATTCCGAATACTCAGTCTATATGCAAACTAACAGAGCAAGGATCAGGACAAATACTTTAACTCAAGAAAGACTACGAGAGACAAAGAAAGATAACATATATTAATAAAGGGGGTCATACCGCAAGAACTTAACAATTCTATGTATTTATATGTCTAATAAGAGATCGTCTATGTAAATTAGAATTCAACAGAAGCCAAGGGCCCAATAGCTTCACAGAAACAGCTGCAGCCTTGGACGACCCACTCTCAACAGGAGCAGTGGACATCAGGCAGGGGAGGGAATGTGGAGCTCAGTGACATTGGAACTTGGCCCTCAGACTCGTCCACAACACACCACTTGCAACAGCGAATGCATCCGTCTCCTGCACCTATGTGACTTTCTCCACCACAGGCCGCAAAGCCAGGCCAAGCCAATTAAAAAGGGAGGCATCCTATGACGTGTCTCCTTCAACCACAGCACAATAAAGTCAGAAACTGATAATAACAAACACTGCAGACTTTACCAATTGGTAGAGATTAAGTAACACACTTTTAAATAAAAGCCAATGCATCCAGAAGAAACCACAAAGTTAGACCATATCTTGAGACAAATGACAACGAAAGTACAGCATTTAAAAACTTTTGGACAAGGGAATTGACAGCTATAAATGTCTACATGAATAAAAAAGACAAAATCCTACATCAACAACCTAACTTTACACATAGGGAAATAGAAACGAACAACTAACTAAAGCTATATATTTAGAAAATAATACAGGTAGAGCAGACATAAAGGAAAACAAAAATAGAAAAAAAAAAAAGAAACAAAAAATGGGTTCTTGATATGCTCAACAAAACTGACTCAAAATCTTTAACATGCTGGACCAGAAGAAAAAGACAGACCAACTTCCAAGTCACTTATCCACACCTGCCTCACGGCTTCTTCCACCCTTCCTGCCTGGGCCTCCCCAGCTGTTATGCTCCTAAGTGTGTCACAGGAGTGGCTCCCTTTGCAAAGACACAATCAGACCCGGTCACTGTCTGGTTCCTTCTCTCCCAAGAAGCAGGGCCAGAGGTTTCTGTCTCCTTGCTTCTCACTGGCCTAGTTCCACATAGCAAGTTGTATCCACGTCTCTGCAGGTGATCTTTAAACTCAGCAGACACATGGGACTTCCTCACAGATGGCCCCAGAGTGGGTTCCTCTCTTCCAGCCCAGGTGCACCAGCCTGGCCAGCTTCCTCTATGGAGTCAAGGCTTCTCCACACAGCATCGGGGTTTCTATCTGCTCCCCACTGGGTTTGACACACACACTAGATCTGAGTTGTCTTTCATAGAAATTTTTAGATCAAAGAGTACTCTATCCACACCTGTCTTCAAAAAGCCGATAGCCCTTTTGGTCCATTTTCTTCTTTTGATTCTAGAACACAAAGGAACATGAGAGGGTCCTGGAGTCTGACCTCTGTTGTGTCCCTGGGCAGGCTAATGGAGGTGACCACCCTTATTCCACAGGAGTGTCAGGAACACAACATATGCCAGGCTCATACTACAGCACTTGGGGTTGTGAGTCACTGTCACTACTGCTGATGCCTACAAGGGACACAGCTTTGATTCAGCAATTTGTTAAGCACTTAGGTAAATTTCCTTAGGATTTTTGCAAGAAAACAAGATCGTTTTTAAACAACATTGACTTTCTTTTGTGAGTGAACTAGAAGCCAAGTTTTCTTTTAAAAAATAGGAGTTAAAGTAGATTATGATGTTAAGAGTCACTAAACTAAAATGACTTTACTACCTAGCTAGTCATTTTTATTGTAGAAAAATGCCTTTTCAGAAATAAAGCCTGGCTGAAACACACCTGATGAGAAAGCAGCCTGCCTGGAGCCAGGGCTGCTACCAAGTAGGTTCACCACCAGCTGGCAGGGCTGGGTGTGGGCATCAGGCCGTAACTCTATACGTACCTTGCTCCCCGTGAGCTGTGCAAGGTGAGGTTTCAGATCTTCTCCGATTACGGAATAAATTGCCACTAAGCAAAACACGCTGGCCTTACGCACACTGCTTTCAGTGTTGTCATAACCCTAGAGAGCCAGAGGGGAGCACAAAAGGAAATCAGATCAAAGTCTTGCCTTAAGTGTTTCAGCAACACTTCCACAGATGCCCTCCCAGTTCAACCTTGGGCTTGTCAGTAAAAACCAGGATGTATGTTAGACCTGCAACAGAACTCAGAGAACTTTCATCCCAAAAGGTCAACACTGACTAGTGTCAAGTTTGGCCTGCTTCCCGGGGTGCAGAGGCAGGTGGCAGGCTACTTACTGCCAGGCAGACCAGCCTTTACATGGCATTGCTATGTGACCTGATGCTACCCAAAGACATCCTGAGAAAGACAGAATGAGAAAGGGAAATTGGGTGGGGGGGTGCATGTTGCTTGTTTTACATTTTACATGTTGGTAAAGCAAATTTCACATGTGAAACCTTTAAAGAAATGAGAATTCTAACACTCACTCTTGTGGTGAGTGCTGGAATCCTCCAAATTCTCTGCAATTGAGCCTCAATCTACCTGTCAGCCTCATCTCCACCTCACACCCAAATGGGGCCACTTGCCATGCTCCTAACAGCCCTGTGACTTTCCTACCTTTATGCCTCTTTCTCTGTCTAGTCAGTTGTGAGTCCCAGCCAAGTGCTCAGCAAACAGCGGCACTTTTTTTAAAAGTGGGAGGCAGATTGCTTGACCTTTCCCCAGTGCAACACCTCTCTTGCCAGACATGGGGGTGCATACCTATAATCCTAGCATTCAGGAGGCTAAGGCAAGAAGATGGCAAATTCAAGGCCAGTCTGAGTAAGATCCTCTCTTAGAAAACCAAACCAAACCAAAAAAACCTTTTTCTGTTCCTTACCTTCTGTTCCCAACCTGGAAGCCACCTCTCTACAAGATGCAGCCAATACACGGAACTGTCATCAGTAGCTGCCATGTGGCTGCAATAAGACCCACGGCAGGCTGGAAAGCCCTCATAGTGATGCCACATGGTGGAACACAGCCCTGGTCTGTCAGAATCTGTTAGCTCATGCCTCATGTGCAGAAGAGTTTTGGGAGAGCCTTTCACCAAGGAATAGACCATGATGCCCAGGGCTATGGCCACGAGAAATATGCAATAATGTTTGTTGAAGGAATGGACAAAAAGAAATAACCAAAACATGTTAACAGTAAACAGAAATTCCACTCAGCCCTAGTTCTGGGATGCCAGCAGGAATGGGTAGGGGAGAAAAGGCAGGTTCTGAGAGTGGATCATTGCCTGCGGATTCCCCACACTCTTGTACCAGAAGAGGACAGCAGAGCCCCACAGGACCTGAAGGGGAACAGCTCTTGGGGAAGGACACCTACCTGCAACAAGCCAGGGATGATATCGGCGAGGAGCTGCAGCAAGGAGTCCTTGGCAATCCTCTCCACAACTTTGGTCTGCATCTTGATGGCGGCGAGGTTGATGGGGTAGTCTGCTGTCTGGATGATGGGGCAGAGCACTTTGATGCACTGCTCTGGGTGGATAGAACTGGCTAGTGTGGATGCGGCCTCCTCAGCAGCTCTAACCACCTGAAAGACCCAGTTCCCCAGAGTGAGCAAGACCAAACTCTGCTGCCTCATTCTCATGTCAGCTGGCAGCCATCACCTCAGCTGGCAGCCATCACCTCCTCTGGCCAGCCTAGAGGAAACGCAAGCCAAGTGGTCTGGGGGCACTTTGGAGGACACAGTGGGCCTGGGGTATGTGGCAACAGGCTGGCTGCATGGACCTCCAAGGCCTGTCCTGGAAACAGCCACCTGGGACCTTGTCAGCAATGCAGCTTCTCAGTGCACCCTATACCTGCAGGCTCAGAGGGACCCTGACAGGAGGTAGGGTCCAGTGAGCCATGTTAGGAAGTCCTTGGAATGAGTCTTCACGCTAACACTGGGAACTATCTGCCCCATAAGACTGGCACCTGAAAACATGAATGCTCCCAAGGGATTGTGGGAAGCCCACCCTGGAAGCACTGGAGAGAAGCCTGGGGGAGTCGGAATGTCTTCTACTCCTCTTGATTCCTTCAGGGCCACACTGCAAAGCAGCTGGGAAAAGCTTCCGAAAGTGTCTTCCTATGGAAAGTTTTTCTAGGAATTTGTGCCACAATGACTTCTTACCGTGCACAAAATGACTGCCTCACAGCCAAAAGTCCTTCAGAGAGCCAGACAAGACCCTCTTGCCATAATGAAGGCAGCCAAACACAAAACTCAGCGAGGAAAGGAGAGCGGGCAGAAGTGTGCTAGATGTTTGAGCTTAGGGAGGTGGATGAGTATCTCAGAGCCCTATTTCCTCCTCTGTAAAATGGGGCGTCTTACAGAGACAGACACTGAGGCTCGGCGAAAGCTACTTCCTGCTAACAACAGCACAGGAACACATACTCTATATGTAAGTAAAGATAGTAGGCTATCCACTGGTCTGTATTTTATGAAGCACAATGAAAATCTAACCCATTCTCCCAGGGCCAGGCTGGCGCTGGGCAGGCAGTCAACCCAGCTTCTGTATTGTACTGTGTTCTGCTACATGGAATAACTTAGCTTCACATTTACACAGTACTGAGATAAGAGGCAATGCTGAAGCCAACCTGAAGCTTCAGTCATCCCAGCCCTGTGATGCAAGCAAAGATGGAGCATGAAACTAGCATGGGGACCAGCTGGAAAGCTGCTTCTATTCTGGGCCACAATAGGGCAAAGCTGTCTGTGCATAGGCAGCAGGAAGGCTCCTGAGAGGGCCCCTGTGCTAGCATCCAGGGTACTAGAATAACTCGTAGACATGGCCCTAGGTTCTATCCTCTGTCAGTCTCTAAAATGCCAGCCTGAAGCATGGGCCCTTGGTCTGCAGAGGTCTGGCTCCCTCCTTGCCTTGCCTCCCTAATGTTTTCACCCATTCGCACTGTGTCAAGCTTCAGGCCTCACCGTCACAGAATCCCCAGGAAGCCTGTGTGCGCAATGAAGCATTGTCGGTGTCTCCCACTAGATGACAAATTCTCAGAGAGGCAAGATCTCACCTCAGCTCTCTCTCTAGCCCCCAGGCTGGGGACTTATCTACAATACCCAACGTCTGTCAGTCTCTTTCCTTCCTAGTGTGATGCTTCCTGGGTAGTGGAAAGTCACCCCTAGTACAGAGCACACTGACTTGCATTTACATTTCTCAACTAAGGAGCTAACAGTGGAAATGGGGAAGGCAAGACATCTACAAGTGACCCATGTGGGCCCTGGGAAACAACTGTACAAGGCCCAGTGTGACATTCTAGGGACACACTGGCTTCTGCAGAAGGAACTTGCTCAGGTTAATCTCTGCAATTGACTGAAGCGGGGTGGCAACAGGTAAGTTCCACTGGGCAGTCACCTCGACAATGCAGGTCCCCAAGATTGGGCTAAGTCCACGGTGTCCTTGGGAGAGTACACATGGGGCTGAGCTATCCATGACTCTGTAGACAGTGGCATGTACAAGTGGTGACAGCTCTCTCTTCCAACATGGTCCAACCATAAGACAACACTCTGAAGGTGCTGGCTTTTCGTTATAAGAAATCACTATGTGTAAGCACTGTAGTGCATTGGTCAGAGAGCTGAGGACTTCTCAGCTTTTTAAACTTGGGTGAAAAAACGGAAGGTTCAGAAAACACATTGATTTGGTTGGTATATTTAAGTGACAGCACTCTGAAGCACAGGAACATAAAGATCCTATTAGAGTTTTGAGAACAGGGAATTTAGAGATGGTATCTACGAGCATCAGCAGTGTCACTTTCACCAGGAAGGAAGCAAGCCAATGGCATCCTGGTATCCCTTGGGGACACGACAGGACTAATGAGGCGAGATGATCCACTGCTGAGTTTGTGCTTCTGTCCTCTCCTTCCCATCTCCAGTGGTCTACTGCCATTCAGGTTCAAGTGTATTACCTGTGGTGGGACTGTCTCAGATCCACTGAGCTGACCCCCAAACCCAAGGAGAACTTCTTAGGAAACTTCAGGTATCCTAGAGATGGCCTATACAAAGCATTTCATCAAGTATTTCTGAGTGAGTGTGTGTGTGTGTGTGTGTGTGTGTGTGTGTGTCTAAAATTAAGGTGTTGGGACTTGCACACCCAGTTGAGTGAGAGCACCACTCTTTTACTGAAGTAAGAACAAGTTTCCCAAGACAAGCCCTGGTTTTGGCAAGGCTGGTAAGCATTCTCAACTTCTCTCCGTATGCCAAGCCCCTGGTTTGGCGAGCTGCCTGTACTAGGTTGAACTCTAGGTTCTGCCCTGTGCTCTTTGTAACACAAGAGGCAAAGATTATAAATGTAAGCAAACAGGGAGCAAAAGTAAACATAGACAACAGAAGGAGGCAAGGTGGCCAGAGGTGGTTCGGAGTTTTCTGGGGGAAATGAGGGGACTGTATTCGAATAGCAGGAGCAAAGAGACTTTTGAGATAAAATCTGCTCTAAAGCTACCAAATTCTGTCCTAATTCTGCTCATTTCGCTATCAGCTGGTTAGAAACAGGAATTTTTCCCTTTCAAAGTTAGTGAGATAATGTCTAATTGTTACATGTAGTTTTTTAAGAAAATAGGATTGCCATTCAGAATACTTAGGAATTATTTGCGTGAAAATAAGGTTTCTTTAAGAGCACATAAGTTCTCAACACTTAAACTGCACAGTTTAAATTCATAATGTTTGCTTTGGCTGTCTCAGACACATCAGAACAACTGGCTGAGTTAAAAAAAAACAACTCCCCCAAACATCCAAAAAACAACAATGGTAGGAATCAAAGAACTCTACGCAGAAGGACATCTGGAGCTTAGCTTCTGGCCCTGTGGTAAGCCAAGGAGAAGGTTGGTATCATTTTCTGGAAATGGCTAGAAAGACAAATATACGAGGGCCCTGATTTTTGGTATTCTCTAGGACAATGAGGAGAAAACAGCAGTGCTCAGATTGGCACTGATACACACTCTGGGTCTTACGGTGGAGAGCCACATGGGCCTGGACCTGAGTCTCACTTTAGCTGGGCTCAGTGTCAGAGGGAAGTGAGAGAAAAAGCTCCAGGCTGTATGGTTCTGTCATCAACTAGCCAGCTGATTGCAGGGAAGTATCTCCCACTTTCCAGAGTTTCATTTTTCTCATGAGTAAAATCAAAGGAAAAAACTGAATGGAAAATTTAAAAATTATTGTGGATTCTAAAATTCTATCTTCTACCTCTACCCAATAGGTAACCCCTCTCCCCCGCAAATGCACACATGTAAAACAAAGCCTTCAAAGCTGTGGAGATGGGTGGCATCTGAATGAAACCATCTCTAACCACATGGTCGCCCAGCCTTGCCTGGAACACAGGATACATCTTTAAACGTCACAAGACTGACCCTTGTCCCACTGCCACAGGGAGAACTGAGGCCAGTGGGGGAAACAGAGAGGGCTGGAAAAGGGGCCAGGCCATCCCAGTGCTCTGTACCAGACAGGAAGCTGGGCAGCACAAACATCTCCTCTGCACTGCTAACGCCAGTGTCTGCCTCCAAAACCTTAGTGTGTTGTAGCCTCAGGAGGACAATGGAAAGGCTTGAACCAAGCTGTACTTCAAAGATACAAAGTGTATGTTTACTGGGAGTTTTAGAGCTTATTTAATTGAATTTAAACAGCCTCTCAGGCATATTTAGAGTAATGCAATTATATTTGCTTTGTGTAAAACAAAACAAAACAAAACCCTTTACCAGAATTCTGCTCAAAGTCAGCTGCTGTCTTCCACAGAAGACAGTAAACAGGACAGTCTCTTCAATTTGCAACAGTGCCCCCTCACCCCAGGCTCACTCAGCTTTCATGCCAGCCAGATATACAGTATCTTCCCAGGCAGCCAGAGCACATGCACTTCAGACATCGCGTGAGTGCCAGTGACTTGTCCTCAGCTACACAGTCAGGGAGCTGGCAACAGTGCCTCCTGAATCCCAATCCTGACAGTTCTGTGTTGAACAATGGCCCTTCCTGAAGCTAAAAGAGCTAGTGGTGACATGAGTCACACTGACTCCCAGGAGGCTCACTTCATCAACACTGTCCCCCAGCCCAAATGGCAGCGATGGCAGTCAGTGACACCAATCGGAACCAGATACTGGGTTTGGCTCCCAGCAAGGGACACACGGTTGCAGAACTCAAACCAAGTGTGTCTTCCCATCTGCCTCCCTGTGCTGCCAGCCAGGGAAGCTGTCCTCCCCTCTTTCTCGCAGATCTCAGGTCTCGCTGTCCCGCGGGCACTCCTCCTGCTGTTCAAGGGAACCCTAGACTTCTGGAGCCTCACTTTGAGCCACAAACCGATTGTGCAGTGATGTCCTAAGTGACACACCATTAGCTCTTGCCCAGTTCAGTTGCAGAGCGCTGACCAGTGTTGCACTTCTGGCTCAGCCACTTGGAATCATTCAATGAATCTCTCTGGGTTTCTGGTTTTCCCCACTTAATAACAAGCAAAAACTTCCAGAGGAAATGGAGCTTCTGGTGAAATCCCAGAAGCTGGGTCCATGGAAACCTGGAGATTTAGAACTGATGAGGATTTAGGTTTGTTACTCTATAGCAACTTCTGTTATCTTGCAGGTGGATGAGATATAGACAAGCTCATAGTCTACCCCCTAGGCTAATGAATAAGGAAAATCAAGGTCTGAGGGGGTGTAATTCTTCCAGGGCCCTTTGGTGCAATGTTTTCCTGACCCACTGACACTCACAGATGCTGTCCTGAGAGGTGGCCAAAGGCCGAACCCAGCTCAGGAATCTGGCTAAGACGATGTCAGTCCAGGATTTAACTGGCACTTGCAGCAGAACATGAGCTCAACAGCATGCCTTCCCTGGCACACTGCCACCTGTCTCTAGCCACGGTGCTCATCAAGACTGCGCAAAGTACCCCGCTGCTGGGCAAAGCCAGACAGCTAGTTTCAGCTCTATTTTCCTTTTAAAGTAACTTTGGTCTCTGGTAATTTTTATTTCCTTGGAGTTAGTATAAAATCTAACCGGAAATCTAAATCTAAATCTTACTAAACCTAAATTTGAAAATAAAATCCCTAGAGATATAATGATTCTTTTATACTTATCCAAGAGTCGAACTTCCCCTAAGAAGCCCAACCACCTGAAGCAGGATTCTGACATTTTAAATACTTTTGTATGCAGCAAGAAATGTCTAGTGGTGGGGCTGGGGATTTAGCTCAGCGGCATAAGCACCTGCCTTGCAAGTAGGCGGTCGTGAGTTCGATCCCCGGTACCGATAAAAACGAAAAAGACAAAAAAAAAAAAAAAAAAAAAAAAAGGTCTAGTGGTTTACTGTAGTGACATAAAATTTTTTATTTTAATTTTTTTAAGGGTCAGGGTCTTGTTATATTGCTCAGGTTTATCTTAAATTCCTGGGTTCAAACAATCTCCCTACTTTGGCTTTCCAAGTAGCTGGGAACTATAGGCACATGACGTCATGCCCAGAGCTAATACTTTCCTCATTTAAGTGGGCAGATGTAACTAAATATTCATTGATACGGCAGAGTTCAGAAAAAGCTAAACCTAGTGATAGAAAATTCTCATTTATGGACTATCTTCAAGAAATAGAGCTGGACAGGACTTGGTGACTCATGCCTCTAAACCCAGCACTCTGGGAGGCTAAGGCAAGAAGAACTGCAAGTTTGAGCCCAGCCTGGGCAACCGAGCCATTTAATGAGAGCCTGTCTCAAAATTTTAAAAAGTTAATTAATTAATAAAAAGGGTTGGAAATGTAACTCAGTGCAAAGTTCCTGGGTTCAGTTTCCACTACTGAAAAAGAGTTGATTCCTCTTTCAAATCAATGACAGCATGTACTGGGAACTACTATCATGGAAGACATGACTGGGAGCAACAACTATTCTTGCATGATTTGTAACTGGAATATCCTTTTTTTTTGTTGTTGTTGAGAAACGGGTACTTCTCAAATGGATAAGGATGCTTGAGAAGTTTTACATAGCAAAGTTGGTATGGCAGATGACAGTTTAAAAGCTGATTTCTGGTTGGGGTATAGCTCAGCACAAGAACACCTGCCTAGTGTGTGAGCAGTCCCCTGCCTGCTACTCTCCCTGCCGAGAAGCTCACCATCCTGTCTTTCTACCTATCAGGGGTTGTAGAAAAATGATGGCCACTGAAAACAGGTGGAGAGCAGCAGATGCCAGATTGGGATCCAGGTTTTCTACTTTGACATTCATACCCTATACAGCCCCAAAAGCTCCGCCTTATAATATAAATTATTTTATTAAATCTTCTTTCTTTAATCATGGAAGGAATGGTTCTCAACACACTATAAGTTCTAAAATGAGAAGAGTTCAAACTAACAGAGTTATCTTAAAAAACAGAAAATGGGCTCCAGGTTTAAAGATCACTATACAAACCCCAGCCATTTAAGGTGTTTACTGACCACTAACACTACTATAAACAACAGCAACTTCACTCACATTAAGAGCACTAAAATGCACTACTAAACTGATAAAAATCGAGTTAGATAATGGGAGAGATTTGCTCATTCAAATAGGGACTCTGTCTACTGGCTTAAGATGGACAGATTTGGTGCCTAAGACACTTTCAGTGTGTTAAGTAAAATGTCCTGCACGCACTGCTTCTTTTGGAAGAACCTGAGAAAGCAGACTCTTGCCTACAGCATGAGAGAACAACAAGCCATCTTGTCATCAGCTCTGCTTTATCTGTTGTCTAGCAGCTATTATGACACATTTCCATTTTCTAGAAGCTGCCCTCAGGGCTGCCACTCAACAGCTACTATAGTGCACACCGTGGTCACTGGCTCAGCTGGCTGGGCAGGGTGGGGCTGGGACACAGGCCGGGCTCTGACAGTAGCCCTTTGCGAACCTGCTGCTTCTCCCTCTCTTGGTCTGTGTTGAAGCCTGAGTTCACAGGGACTGGAGAGCCACTAGTTGCTTCTGAGAAGACAGTCCCCAAAGAGCTCATTTTGGGATAAACACACTTGGGAAGCTTTAATCAGACAGAAAAACAGATTATGTCCCTGTGTGACTGACAGAGGGACCGGCCTTGAACAGTTCTGGATTCTTCACAATATATGTTCGGAGTAATAAGTATGTATGTGGTGATAAGAACTGTAAGAGATCAGAGAGAAATTATGGGCAACATTAACACGCCAGTAAGATGGCTACCACACAGCTTCTATGCATCTAACTGCTCTAGGAATCAGAAACCAGGAACAGACCAGGAACAGAGACAGGTGAGAAAGACTCAAGTATTTTAAAGGAAAAGAAAAATGAAAACAAACCTAAAACCTAAATATGCAGGTGCCCAAGTAGCTCTGGCAATGTGACAGAGTGAAGTTTCATGAGGAAATGGTGAGGGTATGCTCAAGGTGAGCCGAAGGCATGCATAGCAGGCACTGCCTGCCAGGGTGGCATGCTGTGCTAGGGCCAGTAGGTAGAGAGATGCCCACGCAGAGGATGAGGTACTGTCTGTGTTGACTAACTTGTGTGGTAGAGATTTGAGGATGTCAAAAATCTACTCAAGCAGCCATACAACTACCAAAAGGAAAAAATATCATTTAGGGCTTTACTCTGTTTGTTGATATAAAAACTATTTTAGCCGCAAGTCCCTCAGCCCATGAGCATGCTCAGAAGAAGCCACATCAGAGTCAGGAGACTGAACCGAGCGAGTAGCTACATCTCAAAGGGGTTGACTCCACTGTTTGTTATCTCAAGTTTCCTTTCTATAATGCTTGCCACTAAAGTACTTAGGGCAGCACTCCACTCTCTGTAGGCCTCTATCACTCTACAGTCCAAATACATAAATACATACAGGCTGGGTGCCTGCTGAGTGTTTCTGCCTACAGCACACATGCAATGCTGGGTTCAGAGCCTTGGAACCACAGGGATACCTGTTGGCACCTTCAGGTGCAGCTGCGTAGTCAGTTCACGAACAACTGGAAATTTACTCTGTATGACGTGGCAGTTACAGGGAAGTGTACACTGACCAGCTCCCAGTCTGGTTCCCCAACTCTACCTGCATCCCTGGCCCCATCTGTTCAGCATCCTGGCCACGGCCTTGCTCACCTCCTTGTGGGAGTCTTTGTGGGCTTCCAGCGTCTTCATGATCGTCAGTTCTGCGTAGTTTTTAAATCTTGCTGGCTGGTTTCTCAGAATTTCACGTAGAACTCTCAGTGCCAGAGCTCGAATGGAATACTAGATACAAGAGGAAAGGTAGTCTCACTGAAGCGTACATAACACATGACCACACACACACACACCAGCCAGCACCTGGGCTGGACTTCCTGGTGTCTTGAAGACCCCACTACACCAGTCACATGGTTTACTGGATATGGGCTCTATTGACAGTCAGTTCCCAGAGGACAGACACTTGGACAGTGATACTCCCAAGACTCAGCAGCTAGGGGGACTAACAAAGACTTCTTGAACGATCCCAGCACTTGAGATCCAATGAAGACAACACACCTAAGTTCATTATCAGTTCCCTGGGGCTTCCAGACTTCCCGAGGCCTGGGTATCCAAACTACCTTTCTGTAAAATGTCCCAAACTACAAGCCCAAAGCAACTTGTCAATTCACAGACAGCGCCTAAAAGGCTGTGAACTCTGAGGACAGCGGCAGCTCTGCTGAGGTTCCTGGCCTCCGGAGTGATGAGGTCACTGGTGCGACAGGCCTCAAGCTGTACACCACCAAGTCACATGTCTGGAAAAAAGCCATCCCAAACGGACGCATAATCTCCAGAAAAGAGAAGAGAGTTTACAGCAAACAGAGCCTGTGAGTACATCCTGATTCTTTGTCACTCATCTGCACAATGTGCACACTAACGCATGATTCACCTGCCCTCTGCGTGACATCATTGTCTCCTAAAAGCACCAGCCAAGTGGGACTGCTTCCACAGTCAGCACTTTTAAGTTAACATAGATCTTTTATTACTATTCTTCTCTTTATTTATCCCCAAACTAAGCCATTAATCCCAACCATCGTAAAACAACCCGAGTTGCCATGGCATTTGCCACCCTGCCTTCCTGTGCCGCCTGCTGTCAGTCACCGCCGCAGTGCCCCAGCATGGCCTGGGCCTGCACTGGTTCCAGCTGCCTGGCAACCCTCCAGGTCTCCCTTTCTTGGTCCTCACAGTGTGCACTCAGTATCATCTCTGTGACCCCACACAAAGCCACGGCAAAGAGATGGGTTTCTACTCCCAAAGTTAATTCTGGCAGTTCCCAGCGTTTATTCCAGTCTCCACGTAAGACACCAGTCCCGTGGAGGGAAGGCAAGGCTCTGACTGTATTAATCTTCTCTTTTAGAGTACTCTGTCTCTAAAGGTCACACGGGGTACCATACCAGGCATGTCACCAATGCCCTGTCACATTCAAATTATCTCAGCAGGAAGGAGGACTTTCTAATTTTGAAACTAGTATTACAAGAATGATAGTTGTGGAACCACCACTTGACTGATTAAGACACTGGACCTGCTAACAACACAGGGGTGAAATGAGATGGAATTTCAAGGAACACAATGTTTAAGAGGAGTCTTCTAAAGAATAAGCTTCTCTTTCTCCAAGACATATGAAACTCACAAGGAAGTATATCCTAAAAGGCTGTGTTCTATGCTGAGGCAGTTTTTTTAAGCAATTCTGTTTAAGTAACTAAATGTAGAAACATATTTCCCTTAATTAGTGCAAACCTAGCTACAGAAACTGTATATGTAAGCCAAGATGAGGCCTGAGACTGAGAGAAACATTGCCTTGCTAAAATGTGCTCAGAAACTATGCTAAAATTAAACAGGATTTTTGTTTTTCATTTCTGTACTGGGATCAAATCCAGGGTTCTACCACTGAGCTACAACCCCACAGCATCCCTTCTTTCTCTTTAATATTGACACAAAGTTCCCCTAAGTTGCCCAGGCTGTCCTTTAATTTGTGGTCCCCCCCCCCTTGAGCTTCCTCAAGAGTAGGAATTACAGGTGTGTATCCCTGTGCACAACTGGATGAATCCTTAATGTAAATAGCTAGTACAATCCAGGAAGAAAAGCTTAGCCAACCCTGAGCAGGAAAGACCCCATGACCTGGCTCTGAAAGGGGCTGTGCCAGGCCAATGCCTACATCTTTGTCCCCGAGTGTCTCCAGCAGCAGTAGCAGGATGGTCTTGAAGTGCTCCTCCCAGACGCCCAGGCTGTCCTCTCGAGTGATTTTGAGCAGCTCCAGCAGGGCACCCTTCCGCTCCTCCACCCGCTCGTTGTGGTTTGACAGCTCTTTCAGTAGGTCTGCCACCAGGTCAGAATGATCAATAGGCACTGGTGACACAGAAGGGACAGACATTAGCTCAGTGGGCAGCCCCTCTGTGACCTCTCCCGCTGGCCCTTTGTGGGTGGCCTCCCTCAGCACAGCTCCGCTAGACCTTGCTACATTAACTGCGAGGACAGAGGGCAATGCTAGCTCTCTAGTGCCAGTGTTCTGTGCCTATAGCCCTCTTTTCCCATCTATTCCACACATGGGGAAAATGCAGCTCCCTCTCCATGCTCCTTCCTGTCCACCCCTGCCAAATTGTGTCTCAGTTGGAGCCCTGAGTCAAGTCCTCCATCGAGACCACTCTGATTGGTATCAGACCCACCCCAGCACACTCTTTTGTTCACGGGTCACTTCCTATTGCTTCTTTGAGTACCCATTCCCTTCTCTACTGCCCAGAGCTTGGGACTAGGCAGAGTGAACAAACATCAACCAAGGTGTCTGGACTAGCTGGATATGATGGCACATGAAGCCAGCAATGTGGGAGGCTGAGGCAGAAGGATATATAGTTCAAGCCCAGGCTGGACGACTTAGCAAGACTTTACCTCAAAATAAAAAAAAATGGCCCTGGCTTCAATCCCCAGTATCACTCTTAGCTTCCTGAAATAAAAAGTTCCTGGACTATTCAGACACTGTCCATTTGAAGATAGTGGCATTGGTCCAACATCACTCAGCAGTGTTACTGTAGCTTGGACTGTTTGTGTGGCAGAAGGGCACATCGTTTGTCTTCCTACATTCATTTACGAGACTTTAACTGTGCATATTTAACTTCACGTATGAGTATGGAGAAAAAAACCCAAATCATTAGGATCTATGTCAACAGGTATTTGCATATTTCTTTAGCTTTTGAGATTAGGGAATGAACACACAAGGAAGTCTGAACTGTTAAGGAACCATGTCATTTTGCCACATTATGTTTCTCTCCACCCTTTCAATGCCAGTTGGTAGATAAATAATAACTGACACAAGAATCTCTATTTGACCTGAATTAATCAAGATCAGTAATAGGCAAAAATGTGCCATTTCTACAAGCAATTAAAAAAGTCCATTTTGCCCAGAAAGCAAGAATCGTAACAAATACCCTCTAACTTTAGCTCCTGCCCCAGGAAGATACCAGGGCATGCACTGAGCTCCACCCACCAGCTGTGAGCCACTCATAACCATGAGACTTCATTCATAAGCCCAAGACCACTTCTGCTGTGGCCAACTGGACTATCAGGTCTCTTTGTTCTTCTGTGACGCTGAATCTGGTGTCTGTCTTTTGCTCAACCCTCCCCTCATACAAGGGTGATCATTATGAGCCTGTTGCCCAGTGGGCCTTGAGCAATATGGAACTAGGGACCATACCTCATTTTCCTCCTGGCCTGATACCCCACACCCTTCATGATGAACAGCTGGCACTGAGTGTTAACTGTTTATAGAGTTCTAATTGAGTTTCAAACTTTATTCAAGCTTCAAAAACAAACCGGCCTTCAAAATGCAAGATATGTAATTTAAAAAGTACTATGAAGGTAAAATAAACACACACAAGGGAGGTAGGAAAAAAAATTAAGTTCCAGATAAAAATAACATCAAATCAATATATACTGCCTGACTGGCTATTTAAGAACTGAGAGTGTATTTTTTTTTTTTTTTTTTTTTGATGCTGGGGCTTGAATCCAGGGCCTGGTGCTTGCTAAATATATGCTCTACCACTGGGCTGCACTCCTGGGCCCTGGATACTACATAGGAATCAGAAGAAAGCTCACACTAGTTCCATGCTGTACTACCTATGGAATATTATGGAGAAGTACCTTAATCTTTCTGATCTTTAGTTTCTTAACCTGTAAAATGGAAGCAACACCCTAATGTATGCATGACATTTAGCTCAGCACCAGGCACAGGTAGAGCCTCCCAGTTATGGTATCATAGTCAAGTGTGGCACAGCCCAGGAAGAGCTGGTCAGAACACTGTGCTAGGATGCCCTGGACCCTAGACCTGCACTGCCAAACTCCCACCCACTCAGGCTAGGTCCTTGGGGATCTTCCCTCTTGCTTCCATAACCAGACTGCAGGTTTACAGAGGATAGCAGCTGTCTGGGCTCTTGTTTCTGTGGGCCTCCCATTCTTAAGCATCCAGCAGGGCCTCCACAAGGAGTTTCTGAACAGATGGCTACTCAGAGCAGACCCAGAATTTGTTTAACTAGCTTGTTCAAAGCCAGTCTGCCTGGAGGAAAGCATGCTGAAGGCCCTGTTGGACAGCCAAACAGACACGAACCATCCCGAAGTTGCTCCATATCATCATCAAACATGGCCTCTTTCAGGGCTGTCTTGTCGTAGGTGTTTATGGTGTCTGAGTAGGGGTACGGGTTATAGTCACGTGCCCGTGGCCCCGGGAAGGCGCGTGGGGGCTGGGTGTTGAGGAGAGAGGTCTTGTTGTCCAGGGCAGTCCTGCCTCCTTCCATTTCATTGCTGCCCCGGCCCTCAGTGGCTGGGGATGCAGCTCCTCCATCCCGGGAAACCTGGAATACAGGACAGGGTCATTTCCCTTCTGAGACTTTCAACATACTTTTTTTCCCTTCTGATGCTCAGAAATATTAAAGAGGGCCAGAAATTTTCATTCAACAGACTGAAAGGCTGCTGTTCAGAGGGCATTATCATGTCCACAGCTCATCCTCCTCAAGCTCCAATGTAGGGCCCATGGGTATGAAACCTGACCATACCCCCTAACCTTCACAGCTATCCTGTGCATAGGTGCCTGCTTTTCCCACCAGATTGGAGATCCTGGGGAGTCCAAATGGTGTCTGGTGCAGGCTCACTATTTCTATTATATCACGGAACAAAAACACATCCATGATAAATGAAAACAAGCTCAGGACTACTGAAATTTTTAAAAGTAGCCTCAGGGCACTAAAACTAATACTGTTCTGATAATAGGACAAAAGTATTGATGAATCTCCACCACCACTGTGATCAGTGTTCAGAAGACTTTGTGACTATCATTTAATTGATCCCTACCCTAGTTCTCTATTAGCCGGAGGATACTTACAATATCGAAGTCCTTTTTGCCATCTCGTTTAATTGGCTCGTTCAGATCTTCCTGGCTTCGGAAACGAAACTTTTCAATGGCTTCTGTAACTCCACGCAAAGAACTATAGATTTCTTCAGAGTTTAGATTCTCTGTGTCATAGTCCAGCATGCTAAAGATCAAAAATATTTATTTCTTAAGTTGAAGTATACGCATAAAAATCAGGATATTGGCATATGTCACTGGTATAGAATGAGACGTAATTATACTTTTGTGGGTTTTTTTTTAGGTGATTTGTAATGAAAAAGAGACTTAAAAAAAAAAAAAAAAGTACCACCAGTGAGTAATTATACATCTTCCTGGTCAAATCTTGCCCCAAGCATTTTATAACAATACTCAAAAACTAGTGGAAAACAACAATAAACACAAGGACGTAAAAACTCAAATGTGTAACAACTGGTGACTGAACACATGAGGTAATGGAAGTGAAAACTATTTTTTTTTATCCTGAAGATGGAAAAAATGGTTGTTACTGGTCTCAAATATACAAACCTAAAAAAAGCACTTAAGGAATAAAACTTGCAACAGCAACACATTTCTGAGGAGCAAAGCAAACAACTTTACAAGGCAAGGCTATGCGTGCCAGGATCCAATCCAGAAAGCTGAGACTCCACTTGAAAGTATGAAACCGAAACCACCCTACATCCTAGGCATCTCACGTTATTCATATGGAAGCTTGTCATGAACACCGAACTCTTCTAGATGTTTCCACTTGGAGTTTTATAAAAGCAGATCTTCTTCTTATCATTATTTTTGTGGTGCTGGGGATTGGACCCAGGGTCTCATGCATGCAAAGCAAGAACTCTACTACTGAGCCACATCCCCAGCCAGCAGATCTTATGAAGAGGGCCACACTCCTGGATGGACACCTAAAAACACTTCTAAGGGGAAGAAATATTTGTCCCTCCTGGAAAAGAGATAGTAAATAAAACACAAAATAAAGCAACTATGCTAAAAGCCTTCTGGCAAATGTAATGTGGTCTGTCAATCAGTGCCCTTCAGATGTCTAAAAAGCATACTGAAACAGAGAATAATCCTGAGAATAAAAACCATCATTGTCCCTCACTATAAATGTAGAGAAAAGCATGGGATGGATACCAGAAAAAAGAAGCAAAGCGTGATGCAGCAGTCAACTAACGACAAAAAGTATAACTTGGTTTAAATGTCATTTGTTTCAAGACAGTATTCAAGAAATGATCAGCTAAGTTAGCCTAATGTAACCTGCACAAAGTCCTGAACTGTATGGAGAATTGCTAGAGACACTTAAAGAATCACTGGCTGTGTGCAAGTAAACATTTAACAGCATGAACGTCTAAAGAAAAGTAAACTGCTCTTTATAGGAGTAATAGTTGAAGGACTATGCATCCACTGGCAGGTACCTTCCTAAGGGCACCAAACAAAGCCTGTGCAGGCACGTTTCCTGCAACTTAAACACTTACTAAACCCATTTCCTTACCTTAAAAAAAAAAAAAAAAAAGATGAGCAGATGCTCTCATGTTATTTTGAAGTGGCCAGATATCTACTGAGTAGAGGGGACGGGACAATGGTTCCAGTGTCTTCTAAGATTAGCTCAGTTCTACAGCTGCTAAATGCCTCAACTCATTCTTAGAGATGGAAGTTCTTTGCCTAAGATTTCAAAATTGGCCCAGACACAATCATCCTCTCTGATGAATGGACGAAAAGTACACAGTCCATTTACATTTGGAAAGTTACCAAAAACATATGCCAATTCAAAGACTGGCTCTTGCACAGAAGAAAAAGAAATATGAATCTTGAGCACATTTGCTGCTGAAATTCCATGCACACATGGACAGGAGGCAGAGTAACAAACTTGAACAGCATTCAAGATTTCAACCCCTGTTAGGTCAAAAGACTATTTCTAAGGCAGCATCCCTGGATGCACAGAAAACATGGCTGGGGAGGACAGGTGTTCCCTGCCCCCTTTCTCTAGGAACACAGCAACAGCAGCCCATGTTGGGACAAAGGCATTTATACATCTGGCAGTATACTCTTTTACAATATCAAGATTGAGCGGTATGATTCAAATGAAAAAAAGATATAAAATGCAAAAAAAAAAGGCCTCAAAATACTTTGAATCACAATAACTAAAAATAACAGCATAGACCATGCAAAAAAAAAAAAAAAAAAAAAGGAAAAAAAAAAAAAAAACCAAAACAAAACTGAAATGGTGGGTGGATGAGAGGCAGTCTAGCAGAACGTTCAGTTAAGGGATGTCACAATATTATTTTCCATGTGTCGCTTCAGAGAATGTTGACTTTCAGATAATTCATCTCGTGATTCTCAACTTGAACTTTCTAAAACTATTTCATTTTGGTTCAATTAACTTTACCATTACAATAGCCTCTTTTGAAAGTAAAATAAAGGATTCTGCCTGTGAATGTTCCTCCGTATCAGTTTCAATGGATAAACCAATTCCAGCTGAAATTATGAGTCCAGGTGAGAGACATAACTGCTTCCTTAATAGGAAATGGACAGTTACTATTTTTGCTGTTTCTAAATTCTGGCTTAGTCTATCTTTTTTTTTAAAGCAGTATCTATGGAGTCCTCACTAGGGAGTGGCCACAAAATCTATCCTGCGTCCTGATGAGCAACACACAGGGAGATGGAGGCGGGGCCCAGCCACTGACTGGAGGAGGCTTCATTAGGTGACCCTCCACCCACCTCCTATGCCACAGTCTGTCTTGTTTCCGCTGGATAATCTTGGGACATAATCCTTTGGGGTAAAGGCCAGGTTCTGGTCATCTGTAAACACTCTGATTTGACCCCAGAGGGCTTCCTTAGGGTTCTTCAGATTAGGAAAAGTTACTCAATCAGTCAGCAGTCACTGACCTTTGGTCAGTGGTCACTCAGTGCTGCAGCTGAATTCAGCTGTGGGTCTTCACTGCACAGGACACAATGGTAGGTGGGCCCAAAAAGAGGTTGGGGTGAGGAAAACTGCACTCTGAGGCTCTCTTTTCATTTTGCAGTGAAAGGACACTGGGTATGGAATAGGGTAACTGTTCTGTTATTAAATAAAGTATTCTGGCAGAAAACAGGAATGAACATGGATTCCCTCCTAGTTTCCAGTCAAGTCTCTCCCTCTAATGCTTAGCAGAGCTCCAAGTATATATGAAGTAGTATTCATTAATGAGCTGGATCAACACATGTCACTATATGCTGTGGGCATGAGGATTCTGGGAATATGATGTCCTCAGAAGGAGCTGCGTTATGACCAGGAGGGAAGACTGGAGGGGGCGAGGTTCAGTGCAAGTCAAGTTGGGTAAGGCAATACATACGTTGGGAGACATATAGTCATTAAATTGTTCTGCAACCTGAGGCAAGGTTAACCTTAAAAAAATAAGTAGTGCTGGGCATGGTGGTACACGCCTGTAATCATAGCACTCCAGAAACTGAGGCAGGAGGATTCCAAGTTTGCGCTTGCTAATTTAGTGACTTAGTAAGACCTTGTCTCAAAGTAAAAAAAATAAAAAAGGACACACTAAAAAACTGCCGTGCTTTGTTAACATTAAAGACAGCAGCATTCTTATCTGCTTGCCCTAACTTTAAGTATCTAGAAACATTCACCACAGTTCTCTGTGTACTTTGGAAGTAACTTTTTGTGCTGTAAGAGCTTCTTTAAAAGAAAGCTGTTAAAAAGTATTCAGTCTATTTGCTTAGTGTGTTCAGCTTCCCTAGGATACAAAAGCAGGAATGCAAATCTTAGGTGCAATAGCTAGCTATGAAGCATTTTCAAAGTAAAAGACTTCCTTTTTTGGATCTTACCCTATCACAAAGAACACGAAATCCTCTTATAAAGTAAAGGGTAGTGAGACTGCCCTGAGTTCTGCTCATGTAATTACAGGACTCTGCCCCCCTCACTCCTGGAAATCTACACAGCCACCTGCAGCCCACAAGGACCTGCAGGATCTAACCTTGGGAGGCTAACCATGCTATGTCACCAGTGTCCGCAAGACTGGTGCAGCACTGACAGCGGGGGCTTGTGAGGAGACACACACCCTGCTGCTGGAGATGGAGCCTCTGTCTGAAGGGCAACAGTGCTCCTGCCTGGTCACACTTCTGTCTGACCTGTATGCTCAGACTACTGCCCTGTGACAGTACATAAGTAGCAGTACATGTAGCAACAGCAGGGCTGACAGCAGGATGTGCATTTGGGATGGTGCGAGTGTCGCCTGCCCCTTAGTGGAATGTCTCTGCACCTGAGAAGCATGCTGAGGAGATCATTCCCAGTGTCATCTGCTGTGTCCTCACAGTGGCCGAGCTCCTTGTGCATGCTTAGCATTGTACTGGGCCCAAGGCCCAAAAGAGCAGACAGTGAAGAGTCTGGTCAGGGGATGAGACGGTCACTGTTCCTGTCACACAGCAGCAGCTGGGCTCATGAGATTCAGCCAAGATTAAGCAGTGGCTCACACTTTGCATCAAGGCTCTTTTCTTTTGAGGCTAAGCTGAGGCAGGGACCATACTGCAGGAGCTGAGAGGCTTTCCCAAAGACCTGAGACGACCTTGGAAACAGAATAATATTGTGACACCTCAGACAAGGGTGACAGGTAGCTTGTTACCTGGGAGAGTAAGAGCGCCTGAGAGTCTTGTGGGAGGGAGCGGTGGGAATGGAGTTAGGCTGAGAAAAGGGAGGTGGGTGCTTCGATGACCCATCTGCACTCCAACCCCACAACCTACTGCAGTGATCAGAAGAGGAAAATCAGAGACAGAAATACAGCAGGCAAAGGGAAGGGGAAGAGGAAGACGCTGTGCACTAAGTGTCTTCGAGTCTCCTTTGTCCTTGACAAAGTTCTGGAGCAAAATTAGTACTTCACCACACAGAGAAAAAGAACACATTTCATTTTACAGTTGGTCCTCAGTGAGATGGCTTCATTCTTTTCTCTCTCAACCATGGGCTATATTTATCACTTAGAAATCACGTGAGACTGCTTGAGTGGCTAGGGGTGAATGTCTATGTGCACATGAGTGTGAGGGCACAGGGTGTGCGCATCTGTGTACCTCTGGTATGTTGTTTCAGCTAGTCCATCAGTTGTTCTAAAAGAACCCCTTGGACATTGACTTAAAGAGAAAAAAGGGACTGTGGCAGGAAGACTCAAGAGACCATGCTATACCAACCAGAGGACTCTGGTGGGGACGGGTGTGTTGTGTCTCTGAGCTGGGGCTCAATGAGGCAGATAAACCTCTTTCTGCAAGACCAGCAGTGCCCAAGTCTCTGCTGACCTGCTTGGGGGAAGGGCCCAAAATTGAATTCTTCCCCTTTCAGCATCTGATATGAACATTAGCATTCACCTGGGCATGCAAGCATGTATCTTCACCTCACAAATGTCACTACCGGACCAAGGCACACAGGCTCCAGGATAGAAAGATCTAACACTGCTGTTCAAAAGGACAGAAGAGAGACCAGGATGCGGAAGCTGAACTGGATGTAGAAGCAGACATGAATGTTGGCAGAGTTCACTGCATTCCCGTGGCTCCTACAGAACAGCTCTACTGGCACCAGTGGAGTTCTAAGAGCGGGCACCTTGCAGGCGGCTCCTTCCTGTGCCTGGCACTGGGATGCTGCCATTGCTCATGGAAATCAGACAGTCTAAAGACTCCTCTGGTCACACCGGGTGAGCATGGAGGCTCTAGAAGTGTGCAGCGACTCCCACGTAGGGGATCTGCTGAGGGGTGAGGAACAAGCAGACCATCTATAGCTGACTGCAGTTCTTCATTAACCCCTGCTGTGATTCTACACTCTGGATTCCCTGATGGGAGGAATGTATTTTGTTTTTGTTTTTGTAGAGACAGACTTTTGCTATGTATTCCAGGCTGGCCCTGAACTTACTACATAGCTCAGGCTGATCTCGAACATGTGATTGGGCTTATAAGTGTGTACTACCATGTCTGGTTTTCTGATGGAAAGAATGTAAAGTCCATGCAAAACTACTTTCTGTTGCTAGGGAACCCACTGGTAAGTTATGCAGAGCCATTCAAACATTGTATGTTTGCCAAGAATGCAAGGCAAACTAAGACCCCAGATACTTTGTTTTCTAAATGGGAATGAACTTCAGATAATTTCTGAAATTATCTTTGGTTTTTCATTTACCTTAAAAGTATTGGGTAAAATGGGCTACAAAACAAATATGTTCTCAATGATGAAAGAACTCTAGGTCATAAATCTCCAATCCATATATCAAGTAGTATTGTTTATTAGTTGGTAATAGGTAGTCATTCTTCTCTCACACAGAAATAATGATTAATGGGTGGTCACATTGATATTTTTGGCACTACTGCACTGATAAAAATGACTTTCTCATTATTGATTTTTAAAAAAATCTACCCAGTTGGATTCATTTGCCATTTGGGAATAATTTCTTATTATCACCATGATCCAAAAGCACAATATTTGGAAACAAAACAAAACCTTACTCATTTTGATACTCGAAATTAGTTTATTTATTCATTTATTTATTTAGGTTTTTTTGAGACTGGGTCTCACTATGCAGTTCAGGCTGGCCTTTAGCTCACTTTGTAGCACAAGTTGGTCTTGAACTTGTGACAATTTTCCTGCCTCAGCTTCCCGAGTGCTGGGATTATAGGTGTGTGCCACCACGCCTGGCTTAAAATTAGTTCAAAAACAAATAAGTGGTAATAGTATTCTCTCTTAAGAATAAAAGGCTATTATTGTATGATCATGATTCGAGTGAAACACACAGAAAAAACTGCTGAGCCTGTGTGCTACAGACTAGCCACCTCTTTTAGAATGTGGCACATATCAATGAGTGTAAGAATTCATTTCCCTTATAATTTTCCTGTTAGGAATTATGTAGTCTATCTACTTTCAGTGATAGGACAATGTGAGGCGGTTTTCCCCACCACTGGACAGCTTTTTCGTGTAAAAAAATCATTTTTTTTTTATTGAGCTAACATTGACTAAGGTTATTCAGTATTGAATGTGAACATTTTTAAAGAACCTACATAATGAAATAATTCCCTAAATAAGAATTTGTCCATAAGAAAATATGTAGGCCATGCTTGAACTTTTTAATATTGAAAGTAAATCTCATTTTTTCTACTGATCTGTAATCCTAAGAATAAAAATTAAGATGAGGCTAATTAAGAAGGATGGTGACCTGGAAAAATAAATTAAAACTTTTAACTATTTGGAGATGTGTGAAGATTAATTTCTAGCTAGTTCTTTAATGGATAGAATCTGCTAGCAGCTCCCACCAATTTTTTACCCCAGAATAAAATCCTTTTTGTTTATTACCTAAAAATGTGACAGCCAATGCTGTAATTAAAAGACATATGAGCTCTAGAGTGGGACTGGGGTGACTCCACTCCTGCGAGAGTCATTATGCAGACTCTGAAGCCACCGAGACCAAGCATGTTCTTTTTTTCTTGGTATGTAGCCCAGACTGCTGGTAAACCCAGCCATACTACTGCATCAACCTCCCAAGTGCTGGGATGACAGCTTCTCTTCCTAGGTCACTGTACAGATTGTCTAAGGCCAGTGTTGCATGGTCCCAACAGGAGTTTGAATGTGCATATCTAATTTGATTCTGACATTCTCAATCACAGTCCTCCACAGCAGAATTCTGCATCAAATGTAAGACACTTGGAATGGCCAGCTGGTTGAAAAATTACTCAAGACTTAGTGTAGACTATTGAGAGCTTAGCAGATGATTAAAGAAATACCTTCTTGAAGAACAGATGAGTTCTTTCATGGATTTTATGAAAAAATGTGACTTCTCATTTTGAAACTTAGAAAGATATTAAAGTGTTTAGAACTAGAAGAAGCACAGAGAAAACTAAGTACAAACCACTCTACTTTACCACCATACAATTGAAGCCTTTTGCCCAAGATGACAGTTATAACTGGAGTGAGGATTAGCAGCCATATTCCTCATTGGTAGTAAGCTGCATCCTAAGATCTAGAAACAGGCTGCACACTGGGGAGGTTCAGTTTCCTCGCTTCTGTGGAAGTGAGCTTACCTAGGAGACAGTCCACCATGGGAACAGTTGGTGGGGGAGGTTAGAGGGCTCGTCCTGCTGCTGGGGTGTCGTGAAGGCGTCCGGCCAATCGTATTGCTTGGAGATCCCTGGGGCAAAACCAGAGTATTTAAAGAGTTTTCTATAGAGTACAACCCCTTACTCCCCTGTATCTTCTATCCCACATGTAAACAAATGGGTAGATTCTGCCCCAAACAGCTTTTTATTCCTCCCTCCTCAGAATGGTGAGGTTTAAGAGCATGTAAACTAAATGTGGACAACAGCTGCACAGACATGCCTAGAAATGAATGACTAATGTTAGCTGTGTCAGACATGCCTGAGTATTTACATATTTGGAGTATTAAAAAGTAAGATGAACTCAATGATGAGTAAATAATGACAAAATATTAGTAAAAATTTAACTGACTCAACAACCTAATATACAAAAAAGGCTATCTAGAAATATCAGACTCACTCATCCACAGGGACCTGTCAAGGTAAGACAGCTCCCAACCCCTGGGTCACTTCCAGTGTACCAACTGGTAATCAGAAGCTGGGTGGCCCATCACCCAAGTCTAAACAAGGGACATACAGACATTACCACCAGCATGGAGCTTGAATTGTAACCTGGAGCACTCACCACACTGGTGTTACTAGAGTTCTTGAGGTGGTTATGCAGGAGTTTGGTGGCACCATCCTGAAACGTTTTCGGCAAGGCACCAAGTAACATGGTAAATTCAGGAGTGTTCAATTCAAACAGAGAGATCAGCACAATCTGTGCTGCCTAGAAAAAAGAACCATGATTAACTTACGTGATGAACAACAGCATATTCTGGTCAAAATGTTCATGAAAGTTGTTTTTAAAAGAAAACTTTTTAAAGTAAGTAAAATGTGGGGAAAATACCATGAGCTACAAATAATCTAATTTCATTCTGAAAAATAAACTTGGCTCCATTTTACTGCTCTGGTCTTCAATTTCCATAGCATATTAATACATTCCTGTAACTTTTTTCCCTTGTCATCTGGCAGTAGAAAGTTGATAAATCGATAAATAAAAATACTATAATAAGCTTAAGATTGTTTCCACTGTAAGAAGTCCAACCTGGACAGGCAGGGCTCCCAGAGCAGCCTGGAAAGAAGTTTCTACTCAAGCTCCAGAGATTTCTTATCTCACCTCACTCCTCTCAAATGAAAAATACTTAAAACATTAGAGTAAGTATACTCCCCAACTTTTATGGTACCCTCCTACTTTTATGCCAACAAACCAGTAAGAGACCTTGGGAAGCAAACTGGAGATAGATGGCATAAACTGAAAATTTTTCCTTTTGTCCTCTTTCCCTTAATAACTTAGACAGCACTGCAGGAGCACATGTAAGGATGGCGGCAAGCAGGAAGCAATGAGCTGAAAGGGGGTGGCCAGCTGAGACAGGCTTTCCCGAAGGCAACATGCTTTCTGTGGTACTGACCTAGGGCAGGCAATCTGTCCTTGATCAGTAATGCCTGAGGAATTAATTCCTGTATGAGGATTTTTATGTATAAGAGCTAAGCCAAAAGCAAATTTTAGTAAATGCCAATTGGCATTTCTTATTAAATTCTAAGAGTTAAAAATAAAAACATTAAGAAAAACTGTGTGAATATAATTTCTTTTTCATTTTTACTATTTAGACTAAATTTTAGGAATGCAGTAATTACTTGCAATATTTTTTTCATGACAAAGAATGTTACATTAAAAATGTGCTTGCTGAGAATTTCTCTGGCAATAAATGTCAGAAAACATCTCAATACTTTTTTTACAATGTTAAAATCAATTAATGTAGGCCTACTGCAACAAACACGCTACTTTAGTGCCTGGAGAAGGAAAAAAAAAATTCAAAGAGCCAAGTTGGAAAGTATCAGTATAATAATGTTTATGGAATCAAAAGTGACTTTAGCCTCCATCCAAATTAAATCACATCTGACCAGCATACTTTTATCACACAGGCAAAAGCACGATTACTGATTGCACTAAAACGTATTTTTTGTATTGCACTATTGAAAGATTTTAAATAAATCATCTTAAGGATTCTATTTCACAACCAATTTAATGTACTATTAACATATTTTGTATAACTGTGTAATAGAACATATTCCAAAAACCATGCAAAGAAACCTATATATTAAAAAAAATCATTACGTATTAGAAAAAAAACACATGCAGAAAAAAAACTGTACTACAAGGAGAAACAAAGTTGTAGACTAGGATTGTAGCAGAAGAAAACACCCATATTGTTGAACACTCATGTTGTCGATGTAATAAAGAATAAGCACTTAGGTTCCGTGGATTGGCATTTGAGAATTATAAAATGTATCACCGCATTCTTAAAACTGTATTTTTATGCTCTTCAAGAGACCATATTTGTTGTCAGCATGACAATGCTGCAAACTAATCTCAGGTCTTTCATGAAGCAAATTATAAACAGATCAGTGAATCTTTCAGGAACAGGAGGGCTACAAGACAGCAGACCTGAAAATGGTGCGAATTCATGAATACAATGACACACACCCATGGGGAGAGGAAAGTGCACTCAATTAGCCTTTGCTAAAATATTCCCAATTTGAATTTTTAGGAAAAAAAAATACCCTCAAAACCACACAGAATTCTGAATTTATAACCAGGCAACTAAGTGGGTATGTGTTTGTGTATTTTATACCTATTAATATGATTTGCTTTTATAATATATATATAGCCTAAGTAATTTTATACAGTTTACAAATTTACTCTTCAGTGTAAAGCTGCTTTCAAAGCAAAATATTCTCCTAATGAGATCCAGTCTCCAGAAATGTAAAGTTGTATTTAATTATGTTCTTAAAGGAGTTCACATTAAAGTTTTACAAGGAATAAGACAATTATGTTTCTAAAACATCTTATCTAAGATCCTCTTAGTTAATGAGAAATCAAAACACTGGAATCTGAGCAAGGAAGAAAGTGGGGTTGCTCCTATCATCATCAGTATGATCTCATTAACAGTCACGAACGACTGTGAAGCTGTTTGGAGAGATGCAGTTCAGAACAGCCTGGGGCTCAGGTGATGCTCATGAATGACTCAAATACAGAACACAGAACATGCCATGGTCTGTCTGCACCTCCGTGCTGCTATCTCACTCAGGCAGGGCCATTAGGCCACCAGAACTTCACAGTGCTGCCAATTTTTTCTAAGGAACTAAGTTAAGGGTAAATGACAACTGGATCATTTCAAAAGGAAATTATTTGTATCCCCTAATAGTAGAATCTGAGAGAGGGAAAGTAGAATAAAAAGTTCTCTAAATGTTACTGGTATTGTCTGACAAGAACTCACAGAGCCAGCAATAGCCTTGAATACTGCAAACCTTTCAGCACAGAGAAATTCTTCCCAGTAAACAGGATGTTACAGTTCTGAAAAATGCTTCGGTGTTGGTGTTAATTTGGGAGGGAAAATAAAGAGTTTTCTAATTTACTAAATAAATTTTACTGCTCCATTTAGGTCATTAAAACTGCCTCACAGAATCACCAAAGGGAAGGTATTCTTAAACCTTCAGATAGTTCTCATGCTGAATCTCTCCTTCTCACTCTTCCATGAAAATCCGGTAAAAATCTATATTCAACATGACTATATCACTGGGAGGTGGATAATCATAAAATATATCTTAACACCAACACTGATGCAGGGACAAACGCATGCTCACACAATATTATAGAAATTCCACGTCTTTCAAATTCTTGCTGGTTTCATCACAAGGGTATTATTAATCCAAAGCGCAAACAGTAAGGTATGTTGTTTGAAATTAGTAAGCAGTTTCCAATCTACCTGTTTACAATTTTCTTCCAAGTTGCCTTCTCCAGGCCCAGAGCAGGTGGAAGTGGACCTAGTAGGGACATCCTCACCTACTCGACTACGCTGAAGCGGGGACTGGCAACAGGAGAGGGGAGGGCCGGGTCAGAGAGAGTAGCGAGTGCTTAGCCAAGGCTGTTAGCTGAAAGAGTATATGGCTTTGTATATAAAATCAAAAGCTCAAGAACTCTCAGCAATTAAGGCCTTTCCCCAGTCAGCAGAGCCCTCTCTGAAAGCAGGAATATTACTGATTTAGGCGATCAGAGGTCAAGATGAGCCATGAAAGGGATGACAGTAATAGTTGAGATTCAAATTTCATCCAGTGATAAAGCACTTAGCATTTAGTTTAGATCCCACTGCCCCTAGATTAGAGATTTCTTACAAAGTTATGTAGACATTTCACCTTTTTAAGGGTGTTAATCTGCTCTAGCCAACAGTATCTTTTTATATCCTAGGATTTTTTTTGCCATGCTGTCATTCCCACATTTCTCAAAATGACATTGGAGGGCCAAGGAATAACTTAACTATGGAAGATTCCTGCTGACGCACTGAAAGAGGAACCAAAATAAAAGATAAGAAATGTAAAAGCATTTTGAGTCCTAAAATATATAAACATACAATTAAAATTTTTATGCTGTTATTGCATTTCCTTCATAAATACCTACAAAAATCTGTACTTCATTTGTTCATAAGCAACAATGCAACAACAAAATAATCCTTGCAACAACAAGAGGAGCAGCCACAGTATATTAACTCTTATTTGCTGATATTTTCATACACTACTGTAATCCCTCTAATACTACTTGGAGCAAGCAGTCCCATTCCCACTTTACAGATAACAAACAAGAACCTGGAGATTAAATGACTTGGTCACACAACAGAGACAGAAGTCAAAGGGAGGTCAAACACTGGAATCTACTTTCTTTCTATGAGTAAGAAATCCTATTACCTTAAATCAAGCATGATGTATTGAGAAAACTTTAACAGACCTCTGCAGAGTTTGCTCATGCAACTACTCAGAACCTTCCTTAAAAAAATGAATCCAAATTTGTCTGTCTTATTAAGCATGCCTCATTGGTGGCTAGCTGTGCTCTGGTTTTTAAAACATCATTTTAAAAATACCTTTTTCCTCTACAGTGTGAAATACCCAAGTGCTGAGCTAAGAAGGGAACAAAAAATTACTAAAAGTGCTGAAGTCAGTGAACCTGAGTCGTATCAACTTGTATCAGTTTAAAATGGTGCAAGAGTACTCTCACAGAGATGATCTCAAGAATGAATTGTGTGGTCTGCAAACTCCTCAACTAGTACTTGCATAAAACTCACATGCTCAGAGGTAGGTTTATAAGGGTTTACTGTGTAGATTTCAGACTGAAGGTTTCCTCTATTCTTTAGAAAATGAACAGTATAATGATATGCTGCCTGCAAACACTTCAGGTGTTATTTGCATAAAATAACTTCCTTTAGAGATGGGTCCATAAGGGTGTATTGTATAAATTTCAGACTAAAGGATTCTTCCAGTTAAAGGTAACCCCATGGAACTGTTAAATACTGAAAATAAGCCTCATACTATTGTTAATAAATAACCTCATAGTACTGTTTAAAATAGACATTTATCTTTAGTGCATTCACTCATCTAGATTAGAATGATATATTTCTAAAAAGTTATAATTCAGAATGAAGAGCAGACTGACATAAGCTACATAACAACTTCTATGTATTTGAATTTATTTAGGCACTTATCCATTCAGATAATATTTCATATACATAATATATTCTTTGTGTAAGGCATCACAACAGCAACTATATTTACAAATGTTCCCTGGATGCAACCTTAAAACAAGATATTTAAATAACAGTGAATCTGTCTTCAAGGACTAAAATGTAGTTCCTAAGGTATAGAATATGGCTGAGGGATTATGAGGCAAAAGAATCTGTATCTGAATCAAATAATAAGGCTTGCTAGTAGGCCTTGACAACAGAGAACTAAACAAGTGAAAGCCTGAAATGATAAATAAAAACCTAGAAGGTGCCCAGAATGCAGAGATGTATCTGTTATGTAAGCTGAACTGCACTGATACGTAAGCTGTAACTATGAAAGATTCCTGCCTCTGAAAGAGACTGAAGCTTTGGTAGGCACAAATGTATATATGGTTATACCCTACATAGTTCCCTCTCCTACAGTAAGCTGGCCTTCTGAGTAAGACAGATATGCCTCCTGTTGTTAGGAGGCAGAAGAAACTTTGCAGATATAATTAAAAGTTCCTAACTGGTTGACTTTGAGTTAATCAAAGGGAAGAGTATACTGGGTAGGCCTTACTTGATCTGGAAACACAGAAAAGGATGGAGACATTCAGTAAGTGAGAGATTCTCCTGCTGGCTTTTTATTTTTCATTTTATTTTACTTTAGTCTTTTTGAGACAGCTCTTGCTATGAAGTTCAGGCTGGCCTCAAGCTCACTTTGTAGCCCAGGTTGGTCTCAAACTTCCAATGATCCTTGTGCTTTAGCCTCCCAAGTGCTGGTATTACAGAAGTGTACCACCACACCTGGCTTTTCCTTTTCTTTTTACAGATGTGTTTTGCTGAGCGGTAAGTTCATGACTGACAAATTTTCTCCCTCCTAACACTTTGAATGTCATCCCATTTCTTTCTGTCACCCAATGTTTCCAATGAAAAAATGGCTGTTAATCTTTAGAGGATTGGGTGTGATGATTTGCTACTTTCAGGATTCTCTCTTTAGCTTTTAATAGTTGAAGGTGATATATTCTGCTGATGTGTCTCCCTCCCTCTCTTATATGCAGTTGAGCTAAACAGATACGGAGATCAATGTTCTCTTCAAAGTTGGGAAACCCAGACACTATTTCTTCTAATAATCTCCTCTACTGGCTTTGAAGCAAAGACAAACTCTACAAGCTGTGAATGGCTCTGGTTGATATGAAAGCAGTCATCTCAGGCCTGAGAGTGGAAGAAATTGAACTCAGCCAAGAGTAGAGGCCCCAGTGAGATCACTGATCTCCGGACAACCTGTTACCAACCTGGTGATACCCTGGGCAGAGGACCCAGAGACCACACACAGATTACTAACCCACAGAAACTGGCAAGGCAAAATACATGGTAGGTTTGCAATAAATTGTAATATAATAGAAAACTAATGTAGGAGTCAAAAAGGGGAGAACTTTCAAGACAACAGGTTTTAAAATGATGCTTCAAAATGTCATCTGAAATACAATCCTTTCCGTTTGTGTTAGTCATTCATTAACTTATTGAATAATATTTTATTAGATTCTTACTGTGTTAATCAGCTTTGTATCCAGGTGACAAAATATCTGCCATGACTCACAAGAATGGAAGATTTATCCTAGCTCACACTTCCCAAAATTTCAGCTCACAGTCACTTGGCCCTATGGCTTTGGCCCCTGGTGGCACGGCATTTCATGATGGGAGCGTGTGGTGGAAGTGGCCTGTTCACTGCATGGTACCCAGGAAGCAAAGAAAGACAGGATGGGCAGGGTCCCAATATTTCATCCAAGGGCCCCTAATCCCCTATCCTAACTTCCTTCCTCTAGGTCTACCTCTTAAAGGTTCTATCACCACCCAACAGTGACAAGCTGGGGTCCAAGTCTTTAACACATGGGCCTTTGTGGGACATTCCAGACCCAAATTATAGTGTTTTATTATGCTCCCACAGGTACTGTACTTGGTGTTGAGTATAGAGAATGAGCAAAACAGTCTCCTGATGTTCAGCTTCTTAAAATCCTCTGCTTTAGACACACCAGTCTACTTAGCAAACCCCATCTTTTCAACATGGAGTACTACTCATCTCCTTCATTACTTTTGTAAATCTCATACTATTCACGCTGTAGGATACATTTTACTCTCTGGGAAGTTTTTCATGCTCAAATCAGTGTGCACTAAGAATACTGGGCAAGTGTCCAGTCAGCCAGCAGAAGACTAGCAAGGGTGGCAGGGCCCAAACCAGTAGGCTGGGTTTAAAGGCAGCACATAACTCTAGGTATGAGGTAGGGAGGCGTGGAAGGTACCAGAGAACAGTGGGACCAGGCTGCATCTTGAAGATATGAGAACTAGGTTGCATAGCAAAATTCATTGCAACCAGGCCAAAACTACACTTATAGTCTTATGTCTTGAGGTTCAATCCCAGAGTGATAGTTTAAAACAACAGACTTTTGCTCTGTACATTAAACATCTGCCAAGATGTAGGGAACCTCAACTAGAAACAGTACAAGGTTCAAGCTCAACCATAAAAGTAGAGCCTAAGAATCTAGTTGCAGCCAGGTCTGAGAACCACTGACCCGCTGAGTTAAAGCTTCTCAAATTCCTCTGAAGATCAGGACTATTGTATCAGAACCTGGGCTTGAAGGAGACAAGCAGCTCACATAAAAGGAAGGGGGAGAAGTAAGTAGAAGCATCAGAATAGCATGCCAGTAGAGATAAACCATGCCTAACACCAAAGAATCTTAAGTAACTGAATGAAAGTGTTGTAGATCTTCTGAACAGTGAATTAACCATGTTATCACTGGCAATAAATTTAACTTCCTTAATCATGTTTAGCTTGAGTTTGTAAACAGCTAAAGAAAGAATGTCCTGTGATATCGTCAGCAAAAACACTTAAATCCTAGTTCAAAATTTCTCATGTGCATGTTCTCAGAAAGCAGGCTTTATGGTCAAAACGAGTTGATCTCAAACAGACTGCACTTATGGTAACATGTGAATCTAAAACACACTTCAGCTCGTGGGAGCGAATACTTGAGTAAAATTCCATTATAAAAGCACACACATAGACTCACATGTGCTGCTATGATTTGAGCAACCTCCAAGAATCGATGGTGATTGAAGGTTTGGTCTCCACAAGGGCAGGATTTGGGGGTAGTAGACATCTCAGAAGTGGGCCTTAGGTCCCGGAGGCATGCTTTTGGAAGGGAGTGGGATGCCACCTTCCCACTAACTTCCTGTTTTGTGGTATAAGCCCTTCCACACATATTCCTCCAGTAAGATGTGAGGCAAACAAGAACGATAGCTTGTGATGCCAGGGCTCCACTCTTGGTCTCTAAAACCATGAGCTAAACAATCCTTCTTCATAAACAGGTATTTTATTACAATGATGGAAAGCTGGCTAAGACATATGCTTGCACATGTCTTTACACCTAAACACAGAAACTAGTGATTTAAATTTTAATTAAAGCTTTTATTTTTACTGGTTCTTCTTGTGATTTTGAAAATTGTAGCAGAATCATGTATTTCTTTCTAACTTTTAAACCAAACAAACTCATCCAACTACTTTCCTTGTACCTCTCCAAAACTGGCTCATTGGTTGAAAGTTCCCAATGGAATTTCTTTTGATAACTGCTGAAATATTTTATGAAAGGTTCATGGATCAAAACTATTCATATTAGAATAGTAACTTTGGTTTAAAAAGATTTGTCGTTGTTTCTTCAACACTGGACAACATTTATTACCATGTAACAGATGTGAGAAGTAAAATGGATCCTTCCAGAGAAATCTTTTAAGGCCAAAACAATGAGGGATGATTGTGGAGGGTCCGCAGGAAAACAACACCAAATTCCCGATTATATTCAACCAACACTAAGTACTTCTGGTCTAAAGGCAGAACTGGGAAATTTGGCTTTAAACGTGTAAAAGGTAAAGCTTTTACATAAAGTAAAAGTCAACCACAGCAACAGGAGAAACCCAAGTGTAGGCTGTTACCCTGATAGGAAGAGAATGAGAATGCCAAGACAACCCAATAACTCATGTCTGTGATGTGCCTGCAGAGTGTCAGGGACTGATTAAACATTTTACATGCATTAATTAAAACTTATAACACTTCTGTGAAGCAGACTATTACCTAATAAGAGAAGTAACAGCTTATGTTCCATTGTTAAGTGTCTCTCGCTATTCTATTTCTGATGAAAACAGCAAGCATTTTCCTTGAGCCAATAAAAAAAAAAAAACTACAAAAATAATTCCTTAGTATCTAGTGTCTCAGAAATCTGAATTCCACTCCAACCAAATTTCACTTCCCAAATCAAAAAAATAATGTTCCAAGTATGGCATATAATTAGTACTTCTGCTCTTCATAAGAATCAAGAATCCATTATAACTTATCAAACTTTTCAAACACATTTTACAATTAGGCACCCTATATCCAGCTAGCCTCAGATCTGCAATTCCATCCTCAAATCACATGTTACAAATTAATACAGTGTCCTGGTAACACTAAACTGCTGGTTCTTTCATAAGACAAAATATATATGAGAGAGATGTTTGAGAAAACCAGCCATGTAGGTTTTCACTCTAAGACTGGAAATAGGCAGAGCAGGAGAGAGAAGGATTAGTGTCAACAGCAAAGCTTGATTTTTACTGAAAAACAAGGTGCTCCACAAGTTTCTAAATGAATTTTTAAAAAAATATATGCTTAGGAATAATCTCTAATTATGCTTTCGTTCTCTTGGACATACCTTTCTCACGTCTGAACTCTTTGGTTCTGTTGTCCATGTTATGATTCTAGAAACAGCGAGCCTTGTCTCGCTTGAGTTTACAAAATCTGTTGGATCCATCTGTCTGGCCAAAGACTCGATGTATTTTAGAATTGCAACCTTCACCTGAAAGACCCAATAATTACAAACATTAAATGCACTCAGTAAGTCTCTGAATAGAATTCTTTCTTTCTTTCTTTTATTTTTTTTTTTTAAGAGTCATACTAGGTTACTTAGGCTGATGTAAAGCTTACAGTCTTCCTGCCCCACCCTCCCTAGAACTGAACTATAGGCATGCTATCCCAGCTTGAACAGAATATTTAACTGGTGCTGAGAGAAAAGTGAACAAAATTGAGGAGAAAATGTCCTCTGATTTGGATTTGTTTCCACACAGAGCAACTCTCATTTAACATGCAAGATCCTTATAAAGCAGTATGACTAGTATAGAGGAAGAGATAGGTTCAACTGTTACTCTTCTACTCCATATTCTAAGTCATCTCCCATCAAGTAGCTTTTAAGTTATCAATTAAGTAATTGGTTTTGATCCCAGGAAAGGAGAATTATTAATTAGGCCCATCGATAACCCCAACAAAGTTAATGATCAAAGAATTGACAACAAACATGACCAGCACATTCTCTCTCCCTTGCATAATAACAAAAACATTATTATTATAGGTATGATTTCCATATTAGAAAATGTTAATATTGAAGTATTTCAGTAAACTAGTAATCTCAACATATCAGAATGTCTGTGTAAAACATCAATGATGTTTAAATATTGGTGAAGATATAGAATAACTGAAATTCTTATATACTCTTGTCAGGAATATAATATGGTACAGTCATTTTGGAAGTTTCTTAAGTTATACACATCTACTCAATGTGCCAGTAATTAATTCCTCTCTTAGGCACTAAAAGAAATAGGAACATGTCTACAAAAAGCAAAATAGGAAAGCTCATAGTAATTTAATTCCTAATAGCTAAATATTAGTCATGTACTTTAAAAAAGAAACTTTTAAGCAACTTTTAGTGGTAGTGCTTGAATTACAATGACAAATATTTACTGACCTTGAGGTTTGGAGTCTGAGTTTGATCCACAATAAATCTCATCAAAATGTTAAATTGTTGATCAAATGGAAAAGAGTCCCTAGGTTCAAGGAAAAAGAGAAGTGCTTGCTTTCAAGGAAATCTATTATAAAAAAGAATATAAAACTATATAATAAAAACACACTGTTGCTGATCAATATAGGGAAAACTTGCTCGTGTTTTTTAAAATCATTTTCATTTTTAAATAAACACTATATATACACGGTTATGTAGAAAGTTTAGAAGAAAGTCTCCCAAAACACATACTAAATTTACTTTGAGTAGTTCTCTTAAAAATGAAGACTAAGCAGTAATCTTAAGGCAGTGATTCTTCTTGGGCTTCTTATTCCAGTTACTTTTGGGAATTCTCCTTACATGAAAAACACTTGTGATTTTCTTACCTTTACCTCCTGACTGGGCTTATTTATAGCTGACTCCATGTAAGCTAACTGTCTATCTTTCGGGTCCTGGTTACTGTGCAGGATCTGCTTCCTTACAGTCATCATAGAAGACCGCTTGTACGATACTCCATGATGGGAAATTCTCCACCCAGCTACAGCTCATAACTAAAAGCCTGAGCCAAAGGGTCTCTTCTCTTGCTATATTTCTCGTCTGTAACTGATCCCACTTCTCACAGTCATTGTACATCTCTGACTCAATCAAGTGGTCCTGAGGGGCTTGCTAGAAAAAAGTCAGAGCTCTCTCCTTTAAAATGCAGCATTATTAGCACTAGTTTAAAACTGCCTAATGGAATGCTACTGTGGACAATGCTGATGTAACTTCTACACTAAAAGGAAAAATAATGCAACTCAAGCATCTGTTACAATTGAGGCTGAGTAATTATATAACTTTCTTTGTAATTTCTTTAGAAATTTTTGTTAATAGAAACATAGTAAAATAAATACAGATATAGGCTAGCATCTATAAAAGGAAGAAAATGATATCTATTATCAAAGTACTGATGCTGGGCAAGGGATTTAGTTCAGCGGTATAAGCACCTGTCTGGCAAGTGTGTGGTTGTGAGTGCGATCCCTGGTACCAAAATCAAACCAAAACAAAACAAACCAAGAAAAAAAGAAAACAGATCCCAAAGTACTGATGCAAAAATTCAAAGAAATAATGCAAGAAAAACAGGAAGTTTTATAATGTCATATATATTAGGTACAAGAGTTATCATTAGAATTACTAATAAAAAGTAAACCTGATCCAGTGGCACTTTTCTGCTACAGTAGCTATACCCTGCAAGCTCTGGTGATGATCTCTGGAAACACAGTACACTTTAGTGTACATACCATAAGTCACCAGGCCAACACACCACACCCAAAACATCACTCTGTGTCTGCAGCAAGGAGTGGCTGGAGAATACAGTTCAGTAACCAGTGTGTGCCCTGTTGTTAGGTACAGCAAGAGGCAAGGAAACTGTGGCAGATTAGTAGTAAGTTTGAGAACCTAAGGAGCAACTCTCAGCCATCACCAAAAGCCCCTCCAAGTAATCCATGACTGAGTCTAGATAAGCTTGAATGTAGCTACACATCTCAGCTGCTGGAAAAAGAAAAACAAAATACCTTATAAGACTCAGACCAAATCTACTGAGACTGAGATGCTTAAAAAAACAAACAAACTAGAAAAATCAATAGAAAGTCACATCTGTACTTCTTAGTAACCACAATTAAGGAGTATAATCTTACTATCCATGCCATTCCTAATAATGTGAAATGGATTGTGTCATAAATTCACCCAAGTTAAGTGACTTAAATCTGGCTTATACATTTTATTTGGCCCTTACAGAGTGTTATGGCTTATATCTAGATGTCTCCCCAAAGCTTCATGCCCTCATATGGTCACAGAAGGGGCTTTTCAGAGGGAGCTAGTTCTAGCGTATGTGATGCTGGGGTTAAACTGTGAGATGCTGCAATAAGGGTGCATGATTACTAAATTAGTTCAATGATTGGTTAATTCTGGATATGGATAATGAGAAGGCCCACCTTGGGTGTGGATGGTACCATTCAAAACATGGGTAGCCTGGAAGGGATAACAGAGAAGCCTTTGTCTTGTGGCATGTTGCTGCTTCTGCTACTTCATGGCTTTGCTACCTTCTGCTAGCTCTGCGTTGCTGTGAGCTACTTCTTTTCTGTGTGCCTTTCTGTTATGCCACCCTACTTGAAGCCAGCTAACTAGGGACTGAAATCACTATAAATCAAGAGTTGAAATAAAATTTCACTCTGTTAACTTTGGGTGTAGGGTATTTTGTCTCAGCAATAAGAAAAGTAACTAAAACACAGTAAAAAAAATTTTAAAAGTTTGCAAATGTATTCCTCAACTCCTATTTCTGATCTTTTTTTGAAACTCTTGTAGCAACAGTCCCACATTCCAATAAGGCCACAAGTGGCTGTATCTTGCTAGCCTAAAAGTAACCCTACTCCTTGTCTATGGCCCTTGTTTATAAATATCAGCTGCATCAGCACAACCCCTAGTCAGTCCCTGGCCACACTACCATAAACCCATTATACCCTGGTGCATGGTAATGCTCCCTAATTCCACTACCCTAATCATATAAAGGGAGGACAAAGTCTGAAAACCTTATTATAAAATGTAGTTATTTTACTTTGTATCCATTAAAAATCAAAAGAAAATCTATTTGGATAACTATTCTATAGCAGTGAAAATTATACAAGTTGATAGGGTCAGGAACCAATCCTTGCGCCCCCCCCCCAACAACAACAACAAAAAAAACCCCAAAATAAAAACCTACTGGTATCAGTGAGTTAAAAGAAGAAATGCATACATGGCAACCAGAGTCATGTATGAGTGGCACTCACAGGAGCAATAGCGGGGCTATTGTTAGTCAAGCACACCAGATAGAACAGAAAATGTGTGAGCATAATCCATAGGGCCACAGAGAATCAATTTGCAAAGCTTTACATATGTTTCTATATTTCACATTCACAAAAAGAATGCCAATTTAAGGAAGACACATATTTCACCTTCCACATTGGTGGGACACGTTAATAACTATGTTCACAAAAGAATGTGAGAACTGAGCAAGACAGAGATTGGAGTGGATGGCAAAGACCACAAGTAACCAAACAAATGGCAAAAAAGCGGGAACAAAAATTTTGCAATATCAAGTAGTGAGCCTGTAAACACCTACCTTGTGACATCCAGAGCCTTCTGAACTTTTGCTTGCACAGATCCAAGTAAATCTGCTCCCATTTTCTTAAGTAATTGTGTGAGAAGAACAAAAAGCCAGTCTTGCAAGTCATCCTTATGAATTATTATAAAATCCACAAGAGTCTCCAAAAACATACTAAACACCTGGATGCAAAAGAAAACCAAACACATCACATATTTAATTCAATCACCTCTACAGTCCAGGGAACATTAAAAACACCCATGCTCCCTTCCCCAAGATTCTCGCCACCTAAGTTCACACCATCAATAATCATTCACGTCACAGAAGGCAAATGTGTTGTGAAAAACAGAAAAGAAAAGGGCTGACACTTACTCTCTGTTGTGAATTCCACCGCAAACCAGGCCATGCAACAACAAAACAAATTCCATGTTAGTTCACAAGATATGAATATCATTTTCATGCAGTTTCTCCAAAATTCCTGAAAAAGCTACAAACTTATAAAATACTCTCTCCTCTCTCTCAAAATTAAGCCTGTAAAGGTCAGTAGAGAGAAATTAACTTTTCTGATTTAATCCTGGAGAGAGAGATACAGAGAGACAGACACACAGAGACAGAGAGAAACACAGAGAAAAGAAGAGACAGACACAGACACAGAGACACACAGATCTTAATTGTCCTAATTCTCCCATCCTACTTTTTCTCATCTCATATTCAAAAAATACTATTAAAGAATGCAAAACAAAGAAGCTCCTACTCTACTGTACAGCTACTGAATTTCAGTTAGCTTTTCAATATATGCTAATTTCTGATATTAGAGTAATAAAAGATTTTAAATAAAAGATGCTGACAATTCACGTAAGTCTCATGCTGCTATATAATTACTGCTACTATTTAAGGTAAAAAAGCACACAATGAAACATCTCTGAACAAATTTCAGGGTGTTAAGTACGCCTGGGTTCTCTTCCTTATTAATGAAATTGCTCTACTGGGACAACCACAAGTAATTGCTGACCCTAAGGGGTCTCTGGTGAGACAGGAAAGTCAGTGAACCCTTGCTGCAGAGCTCCTGACTTAGCTTGCAACTAGCTAACAAGTATAAACTAAACTAAGACCTCCAAACTCACTGGACAAGAGCCTTCTGATGGAAACAAATTTCCTTCTTTATCCTCACATTCTGCTTCTGAATCAGCAATCTAGAGGTAACAGGTAACAGAAATTTCATCAATTTCCAAAACCTCCTAAGTATCCCTTATGGTATAATGCTTATAAAATCATATTATACTTTTGCTTTAAATCTTACTGCTTTTAACATTACGTTAAGAGAAAAATCTAATATATCTTTAGATAACTATGTGACTTTTAAACTCCATCTTTTTTGGGTTTATTAAATTTGTTAATACTATCCTGTCTGTGAGAGTCTTAGAAATTTTAGGACATGCTTTGAGACTGATACAGTGAGAACTATGCAGAGGTAATAGGGATACATTCATTTCCTACCATCTTATTTTCTGTATCCTTAGCTCAGGGCAGGTACTCAGTAAATGCTGAATGACTGAGTGGGTGGGTGGGTGGATGGATGGATAAATGGATGGGAGGGTAGGTGTGTGGGGAGATGGGGGATGGATGCTTGCTACGTCAATGACAATTCTTATAAGGAAGCAAGGATCACAAAAAAAGTTAATTAATAACTGGCTGGACTCTCAGGCAATCACAGGTTTCTTTCTCCCAGCAGAACTTGGAAGAGACCATGTTTATTAAAAAATAATACTCTAATGTAACTAATTCTGCATGTTGGCATTTAAGATTTCTCACTGCTAATTTTAGGTTCTATCAATTTCTATACTTGCGGTTTTGTCCTTTATCTAACCTTTAAATTTCCCTTTATCATCTTCTCTTCATTTTCTTCTCCTCAATGCATCTAACAGCCATTAAAGGCTTCTTCCCAAACAAGGATTAAGCAGTAAAAATGTAACTCACATTTGTAAAGAGACCCTGTCTCAGTATTAACCCTAGAAAGGACCTTGTCCCACGCTCATGGGTATGCCCTCCTCTGAAGGACTCTTGTTAAAAAGTCCTCCAACTTGGTGTTCCCTTTGGCCTTAGAAGGTAGAGAGAGACATTAGCTAAGTGACTACCATCTGGCAAGTTCTTGCAAACAGCAAAATTTTACTGCATTAGGAGGAATAACAACCTTGTTTTATAATAAACCCATTAAATAAATTCTTCATGTTTCTATCTTGTTCTTGACAACAAATTCTACATGGGATACAAAAATAACTACGTACAAATTTTCTTCACTACTGTAACTTCAAAAATGCAGTATAGATCTTAACTCTAGAATCATCCTGTTGTTTGACTAACAGAAGGCATGCAAAAACATTTATTGAGTGAATGACATTTGATTCTATCTCCATGATGGAGCATGTTTAAGAAATAGTTGAATTCCCAAGAACTTAAGATGCCAAAACTCTTGTGAAAGCTGTAACAGATATAAAATTTGTTAAGCTGAAACTGCAGTAATGGGAACTGTTGCTCATTCTTGAATAATATATTATAATACACAGCTTACAGAGACATGTGGACAAGAATACAGGTAAGGCACAATTCCAGACTTACCTTGCTATGAGGGTCAGCAAACATTCGGGTGAAAATCTCACACAATCTCTTCAATTCTACTCGACTAGATAAAATAAGATGGCAATAAATGACTCTAAATTTAAATATATCACTGCTTCAATGAATTATAGCTTTGCTTTTAAAAATCCTTTTGTTTCAGTCAACTACACAGACTTTAATCTTTATTTATGTAAGAGTTTTTCACCTGCCTGGCAAGCGCGAGGTCATGAAAAAAAAAATGAACTGCTGTAATGAATTCATAATGAAATTAACAACATAAAACCATATATCAGCTGTTATTTTAAGATGAGGAAATGAGAACTCAGAGAATGAGAGATCTGTTCAAGCTTGTACATCTGGAAGTGATAAAGCATGAACCAAATCCCTTTCACATCATCCCACATCTGTTTTCCACCTGCCATAATGAAAGGCAATGGGATACACTGGAAAAACCATGTGCTTGGGGTCAGAAAGACCTAGAACCTTCATTTCAATTCTATTGTAAACAAAATGCCATGGTATCTCTCAGTTTCCACTTTAAGATGTAGCTGCTTTCTTTTATAGTCAGGTAGTCATATGACTGTGGGAAGGACTGAAGAAGGTAACATTTTACACTTACTACTGTGCCAGGGACAAAGCAAAACCAAGATGACCACTGTTTCCCACCAAGTGCCTTTTACACTTTGAGGATGGAGACAAGGATGTGTTATTCCTCAAATCACCCAAGTAATCCCTTTCTTTGTGTAGATGAGGAATTTACCCAGTGATCCTTCAATGCTGCTACAGTACAACTTGATGAGACCAGTGCTAATCAAAAGATTTTTAGACATTCTTGGGTCCGTAACTGGTAAGCACTTAGAATCCAGTAAGTGGAAACAACAGGATAAACAGATTCTTGAAGAACGATCAGGACAAGTCATCCTTGTTTTGTTTTTGAGAGACTGCTAGAGGTGTCAGGGATGCCTGCATTTCTCCTTAATCTTCAGGATAGACTGGAATAACATGGTACTGCTGGGGTGGCACAGGACTGAACACCAAACATGGAACCCAGTGGCTCATCTGCTAGTGCTCACCTAGTCACAGAAACCCAGGACCACGCGACGTGGGGCTGTGTAATCCCAGTCTCACAACTTATTTCTAAAAATGACACAGAAGTCATAATATACTGCATTTTGTAAATTCTACACTGCTCATTTTTCAATTACTACTTGCATTTCTTTTTTCATGTTTTAACATCTTTGTTACTGAGATTTGTCTTACAATCAATGACAATATCATCATGTTTAACCACATTTCTTATGATTTCTTTAAAGAGATATAAAACAATGGTGTGTTAACAATGCCTTGGGTTTGATGGGATATGATGTGAACTTCTTTTGGTGTACAAAATATGTGCTTTTATGGAACATTTATTACATATAGAAACAGAGAAAAATAAAAAATAATTCTAAAGATAATGTTACTTTTGGCGGAGGAGTGCTGAACTGAACTCACAACCTTGCACTTGCCAGGCAGGTGTTTATGCCACTGAGCTAAATCCCTGACCCAATGTTACTACCGCGGAGTATTTTATCTTATTAACGTACTCTGAAAATTTATAAGCCACATAAATATGTATGTTTTAAAAAGTTTTAGACTGAGACTGGTACCATTTTTTACCAAATCCTTAAGAGGAGCAAACCATACAAACTTGTAGCACTTTTATTCTTCATCTTAGCTGAAAGCTTTCCCAAAATTTCTCAAGTAAACCATCTGACAGACAAGTGCGAACCTCATGGAAACTGAAATGTTTTACAAACCTAATAAATCATATAGTCCCTGATTGGCAAGTACTGTGTATCTCAGTTTCTAGCACCTTTAGTGCTTCCCCTAGCAAAAGCATTTGATAAGGACTTCATAAATGTCATGGAAACCCTTTGGGCCCCTGATGAGTGGAATAGGGGATTCAAATGTGGCTCACAATCTTAGTCTCTTGTCCTCACCTCAGTGTTCTTTGGCTCTTCAGTAAGTTCTGCAGGCCCAGAAGCCCTTCTTTCCTTTCAGACCAGTTTGAACTCGCACAGTGGTTGAGAACTTCTGCTACATCCTCAGTCTGCCGCAGATAATGGGGAATGCCACCATTCCTGGAGCCATAGGAGCGCTCGGAGCAGACACTTGAGGCATCACTGTTGGCATCGTCATCAGAATACATCCCATATGGCTCATATCTCCTCCGCACAGGTTTCTTCTGATGGAGCCAATGGGGGTTGGGGGGTGAATGAAGAAGAAATGGAGGGTGAAATGGCCGTGAGTCACACCAACAGAAACAACAAAGAGGTGAACATATATAAAAAGATAGACATATACTTTTCCTGTGCTTACATGCCAGGGAAATAAAAATAGAAAGGCAGTCTTCCAGTAGGCAAGATAGGTTATAAGCATCGCACTCTTCGATGGGGAAAAAAACAACACTTCTGACACAGCGTGGGGGTCTTTCTGTAGGACAGACTGGGTCACAATCGTGGCATCACGTGGACCAGCTGCATGACTTTAGAAAGACACTAAAGCTTTCTGCTTCAGTTTCCTCATCTTTCAGAGGGTAATAATTATTCGGATCCCACAGGCCTGTGGTGAGGCGTCAGTGAAATTCTTTCTTAAATAACACAGCTAAGCATCTGACACACAGCAGGGAGGCGCACCCTTGGCCCTTCTGCAGCCAAAAGCAAGAGACCCCAAGCATGGTCCACGGGCACACCTGCTTCCATATTCATGTTCCCTTAAGAAAGCCTGAAATTGACCTGGGCATGGTGGAATGCACCTGCAACCTCAGCACTCTGGAAAGTTAAGGCAAGAAGATACAAATTTGAGGCTTGCAGAAGCGAGGTGGAGACTTAGCGAGACTCTGTATTAAAATAAAAAAGTCCTAGGGGTTGTAGCTCAATGTGAGTATCTGCTTTATTCACTTATATCCCACATAGAAAACTAAATTAAACCATAAAGGATATAGCAGTACTATGTAAAGTTAATATAATTTTTAAATGCAAATTTTCCTAAATGTTACTACCTTAAACCATATAGATTTAAAGTAATTTTTTTTGAGATAGGGTCTCACTATATAGTTGAGACTGGCCTTGAACTCACTATGTAACCCAAGCTGCCCTTGACTTCCCAGTAATCCTGAGTGCTGGGATTACAGGTGTGTATCACCATGCCTGGCCAACAAATATAATTCTTTAATCACACTAATGATTACAAATCCCAATTTGCTCAGGACTCTTCTGCTGTCTACTGTTTATACATAATTATTAGTAATGCTCTGTTTTTTACTCTCAAAAGTATTTTTGTTTGGATGATGAAGTACATGATCATCCCACTGACATATAAACTACAGTCCTAAAATAAGAAAAATGTCAAAGAATTCATTGCTGAAAAAATGACACAACAGACACAGATTGAGTTAATAAGATGAAATACTCATAGAAGGAACAAAACCTGATGTTTAAAATAAATACTAACACAAAAGCATGTGAAAGATGACTGACTCCATCTAGTGATAATGGCATCCATAGATTCAATAGCATTGTAACTCAGATCGGAATTTCTATACTTTACTACATTTTGTGCCGTTTCTACTAGATTCTAAAAGAAATATACTTGCAACAGAAAAAAATAAAGTTGTAAACAAAAGTTAAAGCACAGGTACCTTGCTCCTGGCGTCTCCTAACAGCTGTAGGCAGGAAAATATTGGAGGATGGGGAAAAAGCATAGAGAATTATGTCAGAAGCATATGCTGGGATTGTTCTGGCAACAAAAGTGTACAGCAAAACATCTTTTAGCAAACCAAAAACATAGGTTAGCAAGCGTTTTGTATCAAGCGGATAATAATAAATCTGAATGCATTCAAAATGGCATTTCCTAACCTTCCTATGCCTCCCCTAAGACTTTTTCTGATTTTTGCTACAATTCTTTATCAAAACTCTCCCCATACCCACAAAGCACATCTGTAAGGTCACCACTAACTTACTATCTGTTTCTATGAGTCATTCTGTCTGTCCTTGGGGCTTGCGTTCTGTAGGCAAGGATTCAGTACCACTCTTGCATTTTCTCTTCAGGAGTAGGTCATGTAAGAGAGACAAAAAGTAACAAGGCCAACAAAGGATGATGGGAGCTGGGCTCAGAGAAAAGCTCAAGACAAATGAAGCCAAAACTCCAACTCTTTGGCTCTGGCACTGTTCTGCCTGCTAGACCTTTGCACACAGCCCCTTAGGCAGTTTCTTAAAACAACAAGAGCAGTCCTCTGCCTTCACTGGAAGTGCCATTTAGCTAAGGTTTCTTCAGCTTTCACTGCTTCCCCTCTCCGCTGTCCTCCACTTCCTAGGGTCTCTGAATAAATAAAAATGGTTCTAAATGCTGCAACTTAGAAGGAAAAAACAGCTTCAGAGAGTTCTGTTCCAGCTCCTGACTCAAGTTAAAGCCAGGACAATTACTCTGTATCTCTGAGCCTGCCAGGAAAAGCCCTACATGAAAGGGTGATAGTAGAGCTGGCCAGGCTTTCTGCTCCAGGAAAGCATTCTGGGAGTAGCAATCTGCTTGCTCATAGACATCTGTCAAAGAAATCATCTGGCTGAGCAGAAATAAGTGAGGGACAGCCACGAAGGGATGAAAGTAGGAATCACTGTAGCTACATGTTATAAAATGTTGACCACATGAAACAGGGTGAGATTAATAGGCCACAGGGTCAGAAAGCAGGACACTGATTATGTACTTTTTTCTTTATGAGAGAATAAATTTTAAAACAGCAAAGGCAAGGGCAGAGATCAGGTAGTTTGAAAGAATATCTATTTCAAATGCTAAGCACACAAACTGGAATACACAAGAGGCTCTGTCATTACCAGGTCAAGCACATCTTTAGAGAGCAATGTGACCACATCTTAATTCTGCCAAGAAACTTTTGCTATAATCACAACTTAGAGATTTGCTCCCTTTATATTTTTAAGATACATTGTAATGACACAAAAACCCACTGGTGTTTCCTCACCATATCCTCAAAGAGTAAACCTTAGAATTTAGGAAAAGTTTCTTAAACATTGACAACTAAAAACAAAACAAAACAGAATCGCATGGACCCACCAAGGTAATAGAATATAAATCTCAAACTTCAAACTTTTTATTATATAACGTCACATGTTTAGGCTATGCCATCAAAATCTGTAAAGCGATAAAAGCAACAGGATGGAAAACAAGACATGCTGAAAAAAAATCATAGTCAAAAAGGAAAAAAAAAAAAGCCCAATGACATCTGAGAAGCCCAATGTCATTGAACTCTTCTTGATACTGAAGACCACAAGAATACTTGATTCTTGCATTTGCTGGAAGGCCAATTTTCATTACATTTGTGCAGAGGTAAAAGTATAAGAAAACAGTAATAAAAATTTAGTCAATCTGTATACAAGTTTAAACAGTGTCGAAGATGATTTAGTGCCCTGACTTGGGGACAGTTTCCTGTTGAGAGAGAAAAATGTGAGTGAACAATTTAGCCTGCACAGCCTGTGCTCTTACCAAAGCGTCTGCCACAGCTGCTTCCAGGTCTGTGCTGGTGCTGAGAGCCCGCATGGCATTCACAGAACCAGGTATTCGTCCTGGCTGGCTCAGCCCAAAACGGTCTACTTAGAAAACAAAAGCAAAAGGCGTGTCACTTGGATTCACAGTTCTCAGTTCTCCACAAGGCTTTTGCATCTTCCCATTAAAGCAGACAGAGGCACTGAGAAATCCTCAGCTAACTGCACTGTACTTCTTTCCTACCGGGAAAGAGTTAAGTAGCTTGTATTTAACATTACTGAGCCACAAAGCTCTTTTAGTGGAAACCATCCCATGGGATTTTCTTATCGATGAGCTTTTGGAGAGGAGAGGTGGGAACTTCTTATAGAAGGGAACTGAGCTATGAGAAAGATCTTTTAATCTATTTAGCTTTCCTTCTTGAGGAAAGTGGCCTTGATGTTTGTTCCAACTAATTAAAACTTTATAGTTTGATAAATGAATTCTAGCTAAATCTGAAGTTAAAAAGTTACTGCTTGAAACAAATGTATTGTGATTTCTACAAATTTACTGTCACTACTGTCAGTAAATTTAGCAATTAAGCTCAATTTATTGGGGCACTTGAACTTCCTGATATCTGTGTCACCAAATGTTACTTTAAAATTGAGAAAAATTCCTTAATAATCCTCACAACACTAGTACCTTTGCTGCATACCATTGATCATCTGAATAACATCAGTATAGATTTTATCAGAGTCCCTTCAAAGGATTTTTGTATAATTTTTATTTAGATAAATAAAATGGAAAGAATCCAAAGAATTTAAGGCAAATTTTAGCAATTCAAACAACTATTCTGGAGGTTGTTCATGGTAAATGAAGACTCCCTAAATCAAAAGAACAGCCTTCCTTAAGAAGGGCTGGAAATTCAAGCTCCAGTAAGGAGAAAGTCAGGGTAAGATACACTTCACAGATGTGCTACACTATTTACTGATAAAAAGTCTCTGGTTACAATTCTAATGTATAAAAAACCTTTAAGGAATGTTATCATAAAAAAAAGGTTTCCTTGTCTTAATGAGTAAGACACTATTTGGACAAATACTAGAGGAAAATCTCTCTAGTAGCTATATTCTAGTAATGAAGCACTTAGAATGAAAGGGAAGTTAATATCCGTTTTACTTGAAATAATCTTTTCTATAAAACCATACACTAACAATTTTAAATAGATAACAAGACATCACCTACAAAGCTGGCAAAATTTGAAAGTAAAGTGTTATTTAGCTTTTTAGAGAAATATCTATTTCGAAACATTATACCTTCCACCACCACAGAAAATAATTTTGAATACTGTGAGTCAATAGTTATACGGTAATGAATTCTTATAAGGAAACAAAAATTGTATGTTATACTATCCCCTTTTTTAATGCATATCTTGATCATTCCAAGTGTCATCTTAACCACTGCATTTGAAAGGTGGCAATGTACCACATGCGCTAAAACAGACCAAAAAACAATCATACTTAATGTTTATCTACAAATGTATTTGTTAAAGTAAGAAATGAGTGTAAATTTGAGATTTATTGTGCACATAATTTTATAAATGATCTTTGTTCAAGTCTTTTTCTCCATTAAAAAAGGGTAGATAGTGGGGAATTTATGAGTAACAGAATGAAAGTAATTCAGTTATAAGCCATTTAAAAATTACCCAGCATAAACTTAAATAAAATGGAGTATTAAAAAAAAAAAAGTAGATCTCATGCCAGCAATTCTTGCTCCAGGGATAAAAGTGATAATTCTGGATCTTCAAGCACAAAACTAAAACTTGTAAGAACAATGCAATTTTTTCTGCGCTCTTCAGATGCACAGAGCTTTGCTTTACACAGAGACTGGATTCTTTGACATCATGGTACAGAATTTGAATTTCAGATCTTCAGGGGAAATTTTTGTCTGGATCTCAGCAAAATGACAAGTTTTTGTTTTCACCAGACCAAAATTTGTTCTACACTTTCACTACTCTGATACTGCTACGGATCTCAATTCTCTAAGAGATAGATATATACGACCATGACCTCATTCTGGCCCCTAACCTGGGGGATGCATTTAATCACAGTATACATATCTAAAACGCATAGCTGGCTTCATTCAGAAAGAAAATGAGAAAATAACTGACTCATTGAATTGGTATACACTGTCACCATCAACATGATAAATTAATTATGCCTTAGTCAACTGAGAAAACTAGTCACTGGTGACTGGTAGCATAAGAAAATGATGCCAGGTAAATAAGGCATACCGAGCCATTACTGTATGCTTCATTTTTGCCCCCATGGCCAGTGGATCTTCAGGACACTAAAGAGAACTGAGGTTGCAGGTTTGAAGTCCACAGCTGCACAGGCTAACCTTTGGCCTGACTTACTACCTGAATCCTGATCTCATTTTTTTATAAAACTTTTAGGGTAATACATGTATTTTCAGATACATGAAATTATACATGCTATAATTTGAAGCGCTGGTAACTAAATAGTACCTCAAAATAAGTGGAACCTGACACTAACAACTAACATCAACATGTGACACTATTCTGGGAATAAAGACTTCAGATAATATCCCCACCCCATTTCCCCACAGGGACCCTGTGTGACTCCTGGTCTTGGTGGTTGTTTTCTACATAGGGGCTGACAGGAAGTTTTTTCCTATTTTTTGTTTTGACATAAATATGAATATTAGAGAAATGATGTTGTCAAACAGGCGATACGGCATCTACGGCCTATTAACAGAACTATAAACATTCACCAAATTAAAAAAAGAAAAGAACACTGGGGAAAACAAGTATGAGGTGCACACATGCCAAGCGCTAGCTGACACAGACAAAAACAAATGTTAACATAGCGTGGAGCCAGAACAGATGAAGAAGCCAAGTCATGCAGTTAGCACTTGTTCACCTGACTGCCCAACAGATTCAGCAGTGGAGAGAGCACTAGTGGACCTGGAATGACGTCGAGAGGCTGCAGGTAAAAGGAACGGCAACACCCACAGGGTTAACACACAGGTACCAAAGGAAATGCAGGGACTGCTACCAACAAGGCCGCGCTTTCTCATGAAAAGAAATGGTGCTGGATATGAATAGACAGCAAGTGCTACTCCCAGCCTACGTGGTGCTGCTGGCTCTCACACAGCCCTTAAGACACACAGGCATGACAGGGGAACTCTTTAAGGTGCTCCCCACACTCTTTAAGGATGCACCAGGCGACTGGACTCCAAGTTTAGATTTCCATCATGATGCCTTGATCAGCCATTATGGAAATATGCCACATGAAAACACCAGCAGTCACAGAGCGTTTTCTAAACTTCAGAGTGGAGAGCAGGAAGATGGATCATTAACTCAGCTCACGAGATGTATCATCAGTATGTGATGCATATGCCATCATGCACCAAAAACAAAAGCAGAGAGGTTCATAATGTTATTTAAACAGAAACTGAATGAAATCACAGGAAAGAGCTCAACAGCTGGAATTCCATTTTTCCCAAAGTCTTTACTGTTCTGTTGCACAAATACCTATTAATGCACTTGTTTAACTGCTGGAAATTCAATGGTATTAAATATAAGAACATTCCTTGGAGAGGCCACTGCAGTACTCTGCTTATGAATACTATCTTGGAAATATAACTATACAGCCTGGTTTGCTCACAGCTAGCTGTAGGGTATCTCAGAACTAAACCTGTCTGTTTCTCAATTGTAAATGGTGCCTTATTATTAAAGGTACCTACCTCTTAGTTGTTACTGAGAGAATTAAAAGACACCATATAGTATCATGCCTGCAGAGTCCAGAGGTGGTCACAGTAATAAAGGTTAATGAGTAAACTTCAACTTATACTTAAAATATTTTAATAGCAGATATTCATAATACGTTAATTCATCAACTTGAGAAAACAAATGTGTTAAATTCTTTCATGAGGAAAGAATAACTTCTAGAACTGACTTTGAAATGAAGACTTGCTTCAAAACACAGATGAATTATTTGTCACATTTTAATGCAAAATATATCCTTTCATTGTATCAGGGAAAAAAAACCAAAGGATAACATTCTTCCATCCATTATTCTGAGAAAGCCTTAGTGATTTCACCACAGGAAGCTCGTAAGTTTAACAAAGTCACACTCAGCAGTCCTACCTTTCGTCCACATGTCTATAATATTCTGCACACATTGTCACTTGCACATTTAGTCACAAAATTTCAAAACCTCGACCAAACATGCACAAGTGGTATATGTGATAGTAAATGAATAGCAAAGGTTACCTGGTCAATAAAGACAAATTTTACCTGTTTGCAAAGAGAAAATGAAATACCTCCCTCCTCAAGATTTGCAAAATCACAAAATGAACAATCTCTAAAACATATGATAATACTTTCCTAAAAAAGGGAATTGGTAAAATATTTTGTCAGTACTAGAGCAAATCACACATTTATTATATAAGCACAAATGTACTGTATGGTAGTTTAAACTGAAAAGAATTTTTAAGCAACATCTGATCCATAGGTTCTTTATAAAGAGGTTGTTTGGTTCTCTTTTGACACAATATCTATAGTAAATCTGTCACAAAATGAGTGCCCTATGAACATCCAATGATGGAACCCAAGGTGGATCCATTTATGTCAAAGCCTGATTTATAGCTGAGTTTTAAAGCCCTTAACTTCACTGTAGAATCATCACTGTAACCACGTATTTGTATGTTCATACCATTAAGAAGCTTCCAAACAGTTATGTAAACTTAAACACAAGATACACAGTTGGCCTTCTCAATGCAGGTTTCATTTCTGTGGATTCAACCAACTGCAGCCTGGAGGAAAAATTGTGTCTGTACTAAACATGTACAGTCTCTTGTCATTCTTTACAAAGTATAATAACTATTTATAGAACATTTACATTACATTAGGGTTTATGAATAATCTAGATATGAAAGTAAATACAAGGATATGTGTAGATTATGTGCAAATATGATGCCATTTATATAAGAGATTTGAACACCTGCGGTTTGATATCCACAGAGGATCCAGTAACTCATTCTCTGTGTAATGGGGATTCACTGAATCATAATTACATTAATTAAAGTATCTTTTTAAACAACAACAGCAACAAAGGTTGGCTATGTAAGTTGATTCAAAGGTATACTGATACACAATTATACTAATTTCCAAAAGAGGTAAGAAAAAGAAGCAGTCTTTAGAGAAGATGTAGGAGGTACCCAGAGGACAACACATTTGTGAGATGTGTTTTGGCATCCCCAGATCTGAAATGTAGGCCTGGAAATCATCAACTCAGAAACATGTCTTGGGCACCTACCCTTGCATGGTCCTCACAAAATACATTCAGTATACTGCTGAGAGACAGATGACAGACACTCAGTTATCAAAAGTACTCTCATAGGAGGCAGATCTGAAGTCAAACCTGCATGCAAATCCAGGCTCCACCACTCAGCTGTGTGACCTTGAGAATGTGGTTTAGTTCCTAGGAGCTGGATGACGATACATGTCCCAGAGTTACCACAGGACCCCATGGCATGCTACCTGTGGACAGTTATCAAACGGTACAGGTATACTTAATAGGCACTGTTGCTGCTTCTGCTGGATGGAAATTTCAGGGACAGGTTTAATCGATGGGGGAAAAAAGTGTAAAAATGCATTCACTATTCCCTGACACAACAGAAGAAATCAGTTGACAACAGAGATTGTTGGGATCCATGTTTTCTGCTTTGGTTGCAGCAATTGTGCATCTCAACATTTTGAGTGGTCACAAAGACAGTTAAGCAGATTCATTTACCCAGAGGTTAAAAACAAAACGAAACTGAGAAACAAAAGAAAAACAGATGTGATGATGAAATTACATGGGGTTCAATTAGGATATCAAATATTCAGCGTACCTTGCCTGGTTCATATAGACCACATGCTAGATTACCAAGGATGCTTCCACAGACAATTTTTAAAATACATGTACAAAATAAAACAGTGCATTGCTTCTAAGAGACAAAATAATCAATAAACAGATTGGACTTGTTTACTCATATAATAAACTCTTTGAAGGTCACATTGTAAACAAGGGTGCATAGATGCATAGCCTTAATTTAAAAGGAAAAATCACCAGTTCACTCAGAAAAAAAAAAACTGTGGCCATTCCTGATTTATTGAGAATTCTGCTCCAAAGCGTCCAGCTGCTGTGAAATAGCTGACATGCATAGGTAAGTTGCCCCATCAGGAGCTCTTGCAAAGCCAGCAGAGCATCTTAAGGGAAAAAAACACTGTCAGGCAGTCATCTAGCAGGGCATTGGCATATGTGACCTCCTCTTTTTCAGTACCTCATAAAAGTACCTCAGTACCTCATAAAAGATAATGGGTTGTCAAGGCAATCATTCGGATTCTGATTACTGACAGAAACTGGAAAAAAAAAGTAAATGAGGAGGTATGTGGGTAACAGAGGAAGCACACTTCTCCTGCAGTAGCATCTATATAGTTAAAAGACCAGCTGCATAATCACATGGCAAAACACAGGTTAAGGTAGTCCACACACCATGGAATAACTTTAGTTTTAAGTCTGATATTTTTAGCTTAGTTTTGTTTTTTTTTTTCCCCTCAGTTTTGTTTTTGAGACAGGGTCTCAATATGTAGCTCAGTCTGGTCTTTAGCCCACAACAATCTGCCTATCTCAGCCTCGCAAGTGCTGGGATTATAGGTACATACCACAACGTCTGGCTAGGTCTAATTATTACAAAAATGATTTCTACTTTTTATGTTTATCAACAGAAAAAAACACATCTACATGCCAAAGTACTAAAAAATAATCACTGAAGAATACAAAGTCTCTCTTTTCATAAAAGTCTGTGTTTACAAATGCCTGAGGATTAGTAATCTGTACCAGATTAAAAAAAGCGTATGTCCATTTTTTAAGAACAGGACTATTAAAAGTTAACAAGAAAATTCATTTAATATTGTTTTCCAGCACAGGAGATTTGAACCCAGGGCTTTTGTACTGAACTATGTTATCAGTCCTTTATTTTAAATTTTGAGTCAAGGTCTTGCTGCGTTTAAACTTGAGATTCTCCTGCCTCAGCTTCCCAGAGTGTTGGGATTTACTGGTGTGTGCCAGCAAATGTGGCTTCATTTAGTTTTCTGAATGTCAGTGCTGTTGTACTTTTGTTTCCTTTGAATTAAATTACATATAAACTACTGATCTTTAGCAAAATTAAAGATAAACTATATGACAAGGAATAAACTTTGAATCAATTTGACTTTCAAGCAGCAGTCAACTTTGGCTGAATTTTGCCCAAAAAGCTGGAAGCTAAAAAAAGCTGGGCTTTTCTGCTAGCAACTGGCTACAAATAATGAGAGGGGCATGAAGTGGTACTGTGTTCCTCTGAGATGTGAAAACTGGGAGTTGCTGATTTCAAGCATGCAGAGGGGGACAACAAAGGGTGACTAAGGAAGAGGAAGGAGAAGAAAGGACCACAGGACAGCGGAGCAGGAGAAGCAGTCATTCCACCCAGCAGTGTCGCGGACAAGCGCAGAGGGGAGCGGGGACAGGAACCCTCCGCTCCGGCAGCGCCTCCGTGTACTCACCGAGTGGGGGGAAGCCCCGAGCAGGGCTCGTATCCCGGCTGCTCTCACGGCTGGTATCGCGGCTGCACCCCTGACTCATGCTGGGTCGAGGGATACGGCTGCTCCGTGCTAGTGTGCAGCATGAGGGGTTTCAGAGAAGGTGAACAAGTTTAATTTAATGAAGGCAGAAAAACTCACAAAACGGCAGTCACATTTGGTTAATGTAATTATGACACTGTCTGTGCTGGGGCATTCTGGCGACTGGACTATCTGTTCGTGCCAGGTCCCACTGACTGAGGGGCCAGTGGGCGGGGTGTGGATTAGTCTCATTCTGCATGAAGCCTAGAAAGCTAGGAGCTTCACTGTGAAAGGAAAATTACACTGAAATGTAAGAGATTAAATCATCCCAAAGAACAAACTTCGGAAATGATCAAAAGCTTAAAAGCGATTCATTTTTATGGCTCTAGCTAACTTTTCAAAAAGGAGACAAATAAATCAAAGCTGTTTTCATATATACTTAGTTCTCAAAAAGAAAATTTAATTTGGATTAAATCAGAGCCATAATACAGGCTCTGATCACTGAAGTCCATAAACTTACACAGTTAAAAGCAGGAGAGCTCCCTTCTGCCAGTTTGGCTTCTTTGAAAGAGAAGCCAGAGGTCAGCAGCCCTGGAGGCCGGCCTGATGCTTCAATCGCGCTCATTTGTCGAAACCAACAAACACAGGCTGGGACTGCTGCCTTCTTATTTTCTGTCCCTACAGTCAATCTGTGGTTTTTCCTATGGAAATCCACATGGATCTGCCTGTGGTCTCTGCTAAGCACCTTCATGGATTCATTCTTACCCACTGAATCTACAGCAAGTGGACTGATTATCTCAGTAAGTAAAAGATTCCTTCCTGACTAGAGAACAGTTCATTACTTTATAATTATGTATGGATAAAGTTTATTCTTCTCATGGTATAAAATACCCAGCTTATTAAAGCAGAATTGTATGACTAGTTGATAATCTAATAAATTGGCTGTGGAGCTCATAAAGACCATGATACACTTATTTCTTCAATTTAACTCGAGAAAACAGAGATAAATTAACTGGCCAAACAGTCAAAAACAACACTGCATATTGAATGTGTGTAGCTGGAATGCCTAAGGTAAATAGCTAGTAGGGACAGTGTAAGTATACATTTCCATCCCGAGAGATTTACTACTTCTTAGTCTCGACAGAGATTCTAGAAATAATAAACTTGATTCACGATGTCAACACAAGCAAGTTTTCAATATTATTATGAGCACAGTCTGTGACTTCAGAGCAAGATTTATAGCAAGATTTATTAAACAGCCCCGCAAGAATGTCTTGCAAACCAGAATCATTAAACTCCCCAATGAAGAATGTACAAGTGAAAAAATGAAGCAAATGCCCTACTGTGCTCAGGTGCTCAGTACTGGGACTGAACAAGACCCTAAAGGTTTGTAAGTGTTATTCCCATGCTTAGGCAAGGAGAGGTCAGGTACAGAAATGCAATCTGAAAATGGGCATGATAGAGCTTAAGCTTTACACAAGTTTCTATACTCCTTTTGCCAGAGTGACATGAACTCTAAGAATCGTCACTCAAACTGGTAATGACTATTTAATCAGCAATGCTTGGCAATGTTCTAAACATTTGATACAAGGAAGGCAAAAATAGTAGGTGCCAAATTAAATTCATCAAAAAACTAGAGTGTCTACCAACCCCACCAACACGAAGCAGTTTACTAGAGTACGCAAAGCAATACTGCTCATCTTTTCAAGATATCATGAAATGACCATTCCAGTTCTAAGCCATCTCATTGGTCCAGCCCACCTGGCCTCTCCTCAAGAAAAAGAGGAGCAGACATCTCATCATTTAAATAAGAAGGATACTGCAAGACAATGAACATACATAAGTACTCTAGAAATCGTGGCTAAATGCATTCAAGAAAATCTTACCTTATTCTAATATCTACTCCAAAACAATCAAAAAAATAAATAAAAGCAGTCCTGATGATAGCTTTTCATGTAAGTACATGTGAAGTGGAAGATTTTCTTATTTCTAAACTCTTATCTAAACCCTAACCTCAACTTCATAAATGTACATCATCAAAGAGAAATGAATGACCTTTTCTGGGATGAGCCTGTTTTGTTAAGAAAATAGTGTCTAACAGTGGTACACAGATATAACCTGAATAGCTGCATATATAAATTCATCTTATTTGTGCTCACTGGCTTTTGTAACATCTGGCCAGTAGTAGCACATAGGAAAAAAAAAAAACACTGTTTATACTTTTATGAAAAATCTGCCCATAGTTCCCCAAACCTTATTAAATAGGTGACATCAGCAGTTCAAATGTTGGATAATTTAAATCACAAGATGAAGAATACCTACTCACTTATAGCTACTTCCAAAGACTGATAATCTGGAAAAGAGGATTTAAAATACTTGTACACATAAATTATTTTTACAACTAAAACTTAAAATCAAAAATAATTTTAAAAACCATGGAACAAGTTAATTTGTTATTACATGTCAAAACTGAACATTCTATGTTAAATATAGTATGGAGAAGACATGTAAGAGGAAGAGAGACAATGAAAACATACTTGCCACCTGAATTTTCTAAAAGCGGTATTCCTAGGTAGCTGAGTCATAGGCTTACAGAAATGCTAGGCAGCCTTGAACAACCATTTGATCAGTTTCCATTTCTGACAAAGACTCTGTCCTACCTTAGTGTTTTAAGGGTAATACTGACTTTTGCCTTTAAAAGAAAAGATACAACCAGAATTCACACCAAAAGCAGAAGTACAAGGCTAATGAAAGCTATAAGTTAAAGATATAAAATGTTTCTCTAGTCATTTCCATGTCATAATATGTCTAATTTCATAATTAAAATGCATTATTTACTTTTAATTCTCTAAGAATATTTTTAATCAGAAAATCTTAAAAATATTTGTATAATTATAAAATGTAATCTGTAAAAATGTCAACTGTGTTTCTAATAGCCTTTTTTTGGGGGGGGCAGGGATTGAACTCATGAGCATGTGCTTGCAAAGCAGGCCGCTTATGCCACTGAGCTAAATCCCTGGGATCTTTTTAATGAAGAAAGCAACCAAAGAAAAACAGTTAAAGTATAATTACTATTCCTACTGTTCATTTTTTTCTTCTGTAAATCTGTATAACTTGTACCCTTTCACTGTTTTTTTTCTTTTTTCCTTAAATAAAATTTAAAAATATATATATATAATTACTAAAGATTCTGGTTATTTATGTGACTTTATGATCTGTAATTCTTTTATTGTCTTTAAAATACAAAACAATGATAATTTACAAATATATTCTCTCAAATAGTTGGGTAGCTTATGAAGGAAAAACTGCCATGAAAAAGAAAGAGTAGAAGGGAATTAGTGTATTTCATGGTAATCCAATAGGAAGCACAGGCTGTTTTGTTTAAAAAATCTTTAATGCCGAAGAAAAGCCGTGGCATTGTTTTTATAACAAATGAGAAAAGAAAATTTAGGTGAGAAATTTCATTTCAACAACCAAACAAGGCATAACTGAATTAAAATGTAACTTATGGATAACGCGAATTAACTCTTGAGTACAAGTTCTAAATCTAGTTTACCTATTGCTAAACACTGCTGAATTGATTGATTTGGGAATTTTAGAAAATATTCTTAAAAGAAATGCCCCTTTTCTAGATATTTGTATTTAAAATTGCTATATAATCAACCAAATGTTTATAACCACAATAATAATCTATTACTGGAAAAATATTAATATATGCCTGTTATCCTGTAAAATAGAATCACTAGTACAATAGGAATAAGTGAAAAGATACACTTTATTCATATATATTTCTTTGTATGTTTATATTCTCAAGAATGTACAGAAATTTAAGTAAATTATCTTTTTTGGGGGGTGGGTACCAGGGATTGAACTCATGACTGCGTGCTTGCCAGGCAGGCGCTTGTGCCACTGAGCTAAACTCCCAGCTCCTAAAATATCTTCTTTAATCAGAATTGTACATAAGATCTCAAAGCTTCACATATCACTAATCCTCCAAACAAGCATCAAGAATTCAACTTTCTTTAAAATAATACTTTGAACAAGAAATCTTTGGAAGGAAATAAGCTCCTTTTTAATTTTGAATGATGTTTTACATTACTAACTTTTAAAAGCTTATAAAATGTTGTCTTTTCAGCTATACACCACATGAACTTCAGAGTCAGACCATGCAACACCAGCTCTTAAGACTTACGTTAGATACCCGAAGTTGAGTTATTTCCTAATTTCAAGAAGGTAAAAGCAGCATGTTTAAAACGTATTTTTTTAAAAATTCTAAGTAGAAAAGAATATTAAAAAGTAAATAACATATGGAAAGTGACTGAGACCTTACACCTAGACTTAAAATTTGATGGTTTTCCAAACAAAAACAGAGCCAAATAGATATGTTGCAGCATCAGAGAAGAACCTGAGATACTCAGCTTTGGTCTTTTCGTTGGTTATAGCCATACCACACCCAAACAACTTGTTAGCTCCGAAAACCATGCTACAAGCACCAACAGGAAGATGGGACAGCTTTACCTTGTTTTGGAAGTATGAATTCAAATCAAATCCTATCCGTTCTTACATAACCACCCCCAACCCCTCCTGGCTCAGGGACCTCCAATAATTTTCTTGAGCTGGACCCTTCCCATGTGTACACTCCTGGCTACCCGTCTACTCTCACCTCTACAACTAGGGGAAGAGAAATGGATTCCTCATGGCTCTCTCTTGCCTGGCTGTTTCTGCACTAGCTTCTTGTTTCCCTAGAACATCTTTCTCTATGTCTCCATTCTGGCTAATCCTATCTTGTACTATAAAACAGGATCTATCAGGCCTCCTTAGTAGAAAGTCTGGGAGAATCAGGGTGGATAAGGGGCTAAGACACACTGTTTATGACACAACCTGTCACAGTACTTGTTACAGTTTCCTGTTTTCACTTCTATTCAATAAGTGACAAGGACTCAAGTCAGAAGCTAGATCTATTTCATCTATCTTCTAATTCTCAAATCTAACAAAGTGCCCAATACTATCATAGTAAACATTAAGTAAAAATCATTAAGATCAATGAAAAAATGTGATCGGTGAGCCAATAGAATTTAAGGATTTATTACTCTGATTTTATATTATAGTTTTACTTCAGAAAGCCCATAAAGACGAAATAGAGAAAATGTTTAAATTTTTATATAAAAATTAGACTTTACACTTAGATTCTACTAAGTATCTTTAAACTGAGTGTAATTCTTGTAACTGCATACTAGTACAAAGAAGTCAAATACGCAACACAAAATGTACTGGATTTTGTCATTTCTAAAGTTCATGCTTCAATAAAATTATGTCAAAAGTAACTATATCCTAAGTTTCACCAGTCTGGTGACAGAACATCAACATCAAAATCAATGGAGACCCTAGAAACGGCTTTTGAAATTTAATATAGGTTAACAGCTTAGTTAGTTGAAAGAATGAAGGAAAAATGAAAAGTAACAACTGCTTCAAATTATAAAACCCTTGCCTATTTCACCATCAAAAATTTTACAAAATGACTGTAAATTACAAAAGTTTATAATGATGAAATTCCTTCTTCTCATTAATTTGAACCATAAGTCTCATCTTTTTTGGGGGGGGGACTAAGTGATACCACTGTGCCATCCATACTCAGTATACAGAATAAGTCAAATTATCTTTTTAATGCAAAGTAACACCCTCATTTCAAAATCAAATCTCTGTTTCTTGAATTAGACACAATGATTAGATTAGAATCAAATTTGTGATCAAGCTGAGAATGGTGTCCCAAGGTCTAAAAATTCTTACCTGGTCCTATTCGGTTTGGACTTGTTTCTCGGCTGCATCCCTGACTCCTAGGAATCTTGCTTCGTTTTTCTGAAGATGGTGTCACAGGTGGGCCTCTTGAGGAACTCCCGGAGAGACTTCCATAACCACTTCCCAACAACTTTCCTGGGGAACTTGACCGGCTGCCAGCTAAAAAGAAAGCAACATGAAAATGAATGATAGATGTAAACTGGGCAATAAATTAGAAAAACCCCCAAAGTTTTTATGTACCATTTTTGGGTCAAATATTGATTTATATAGAAAATAGCATTTAAGTTCCAAGTTAGAATTTTATGTAGAAAATGTTAGAATTTATGTTAGAAAATAGTCATTTAGTTTAATTCTTTAAAAATGTAGGTATGTGAAAGAATACTATGTATCACAAAAGAATATCTAAGCTTGGAAGAGTTATTAGTGGAGTTCTAAAAAAGCGACTGTGTAAGTTCCAATTCAACAGAGTAGGCTAGACAGCAGCAGTATCTCCCCTATACCACAGCAAAGCTCTACAATAATCACAAAGGTTTTTGCTTCTTGTTTGGCTCAATGATGCTGGAGACAAAGCCTGGGCTTTGAGCATGCCAGACCAAGTGCTCTTCCACTAAGCTACATCTCTAGCCCCAACTGTTATATTATTTTTTAAGAGTATGTTAAAAAGGTAAGCATAACTTCTGAAGAGCAATAATGCTTTAAAAATAAGCAAAAAAATAAGCATTCAGAAAACGAATCCAAGAAGACTCAATCTAACAAATGGAAGAGAAAAATACAGTGGGCATGAAACAGATATAAATATGATAAAGAAAAGAATTATAAAATGAAATAATAAGAAAAGACTCAAACATACCAGTAATCTTAGAAAAATGTGACTAGTTATACATTGGTATCACAATTCATGGACTTAGTTCTTTACATGACTCTGGTTGTAAACTGAATTGGCTGTAAACTGAATAAAATTCCACATAAGATCAGTGTTGAACCTAATCACTGAATATGATTTGGTTTGTGACAAGAATTTTGTAAAGCACACATCATGCACTCAACCCAGAATAAAAAAGTCATTAAAACAACACTCACCTGGAAACCATTTATATCTATAAATATATATATATATGTGTACATTTGGATACATATATAAACATATACATACACAAGGGTACATGTATAGACATAGATTTTTGGGGGGATGCTGGAAACTGAACTCAGGAACTTGCGCTTATCAGGCAGGCACTTGTGTCACTGAGCTACATTCCTGGTCCAAAATATTTAACATTTAAATATATAGATTTCAAAAGCTTTATATTGTAAAACTGCTACCAAATGAATCACCTGGGGGACTATTCATAAAATATTAACATTTTAAAATGATTAACTATAACTTGAAGTGAAAAAAATCACTGTAAAGACAACAATGCACATGAACTGCCAGAACTTATTAATTTTGTCTATAAATCTGAGAATAAACATAAACTACTGAACTATGTACAAGGGGTAAAGAAATCCACTTTAAACTCTAGTACTTGAACATACAGAAAAAAATGCAGAAAGATTAATTAAGCCCACAATAAAGGAATTAATGCTGTACAAAGAAAATAATAGGGTGAGGCAGAAAGCAAAATAAATAAATAAATTTTAAAAAGGGAAGAAGAGAAATGGCTTACCACCAGCAGGATTAGCAGATCTGGATCCTTGATTATGAGAGCAGAGCAAAGGACAGGCAAAAAGTGAATCAAAAGACATTAACACAAGACAGAAGGTCAGCATGCAACACAACATAAATATCTTGTTCACAAACACATTAACAAAAATAGCTACTTTTCTTATGACTTGTTCCTCCCAGTCTATTACATGTTTATTTTGTACTTACTATACTTTATTAGCATTTATTTCATATCTGTTCACAAACAAATCTACACTTTACTTTGTCAGGAACAGTATTTGCCTAAGAGATACGGAGAGAACAAGATCTCAGGAGATCTTGCCTGGCCAGATCAAATCTCTCCAGCTGTAAGTACCCGGGAGGAGTATGGGGAACTGAACTCAACTATGTTTTACACTACCATCTTCAATAGTGCTTACCATATAGTAAAGTTACAGCCATTAACTGCTTTTACCTGAATGTCCCATGACTCTCCTTAATCCTACCATATTTAAAATATGGCTGTTTTAAGGACCTTAATAAAATCTACTTAATATTAAAACAAGACTACAAATATTAATGCATCTTCATTTATAATATATATATATATGTGTGTGTGTGTGTGTCAGTGTGTGTATTTACCTCTTGTTAAAATAAATTTTAAAAATATTCAATTTATATGCATAAGCTAAAGGTACATGCGTGACCATATGCTGCTGTTTGGTTGTCTACCTCTTTGTGGGTGTGATCTAGCAACTAAAGAAAACTGAACAGCTTTTAAAATGAGCCCCCAAAAAAGGTTCAGAGTAAATTTGAAGACTAAAAGCTGTACCATCCCCTTCTGTCCCACTACAGAAAGAATTTTAATCTTTATTATCTTGATTTAAATTTGTTACATTAATCTATCTTCCAAGACCTGAACACTTTTGGTCAAGAATTCTTTCCAATAAGACTTGACTATGTTTATGGTCACGTTTATGAGGTCATGATTGGAGCATTATATCCTTCTATGTCTCCAGGGACTACAGCTCAACAGAATAATCAGAGGCAGGGTGCAGTTCCCAAGGCAGCAGCTTCTGAGCAACACCTGCATCAGGGATCTGAATGAGAATCCACGTCAGGGTGTACAGTAACTAAGGCACTCTTGTCCTAATGGACTTGATCTAGCCTTACTATATTCACAGACATCCCTAACCTTCTTTCCTGAGCCTCTGAAGTGGACAGGGAGAAAGGAGAAGTTTTCTCAACTACAAATGTCAGGCAAGTCCTCCATTCTGTAGTTACTATGCTCTAAAACTGGCTTTTTGTGCATGTGTGTGGTACTAGGGATCAGATTCACAACCTCACACTTGCCAGGCAGGTGCTGTGGTGCTGAGCTATATCCTTGGCCCAAAACTGGTTTGTTTATTGACTGTCCCCCTAACCTCATCCCAGTCATCACATCCTCATGCATGCCTCATGCAGTGGGCCTTGTTAGTAACTCACAGGCAGCAAAATGGAGGCTCAGCATCATACCAGAGCCAGCACACAAAGGATGCAGGCGTGCCTGGCACCAAACCCCACACCTGTAATGTTATCACACTATGCAAGACAACCTACGCCCACAGGTTCTGTGTCCTCACTACAGGCAGTAATATGACTGCTCTCTCACTGTCTTGCAAAAAGAGCTGAGCTTGTTTATCATAACTATATTCATCATAAGGGACACAGAAAAAGGATCAAAATTCAGAAGGAGCTGCAAAAGGCCTTCTCAGCACAAAGGGAGAGCCTAAGGTTTAGTCATAGATAGCACTTAAACCAGATGGCCACGTGTCATTGTGGTGACATCAGGTAAAGGCACTGAGCTGGGTGCAGCTCCTGGGGACAGGAGACACTCCCTTTTCATCCTGTCCAGGAGCACTCTAGTACTCAGCTGTGCTCCTCATGCAGAGGGGACCGGCCACTCACAGGTGTGGGCAAGATGCTCAGAGGAAATCCATTCCCACCGAGTTGCTTTCCTGGCTGAGGCTAGCAAGCAAACTAACTTCACATATACAGAAAAGCAATCATGGAAGGAAACTAGAAGAAACAAGGCCCATACTGACCAGAAGACAGGGCAGGCTGTGTTAGCACAGAGGGTTAAGGGAGGAGCTCTTCGTGGATTTATTTATTCACTACTGGAAAAGACTTGGCATTTATAGTTCTGCCAGGTTCTACTCTAAAATTATATCAGAAGGGTTATCAATACAAACATGGGTCACAGAACAAGTAGGTTTCAACTTGTAAGACTTTAACTATAGGGAGAGAATGATGTTTAATTTAATAACACAATCTTAAATCCCTGGAAAGAAGATGAAAGTAAGCCTGACTGTTTCATCTTGAAAGCTTACCAAACAATGTAATGATTCACAGTATCTTAGAGCCATAAAAATACTTTCCTTGCTCATATCAGTGCAAACACTGTGAACTGCTAAGTGCAGAACAAGCTGCTGAATGAAGCTATTGTAATGAACAGCATAAAATGTACTTCTTACGCTGAGACTGAGAAACAACTTTGGCACGACTGCGGCCCCGACTGTCGGAGGGGTTTGAGGCGACATTGGTGGTACTCCCAGAGTTCTGCCGTCTTGTGCGGATCCGACCTGGAGGATACAGAAAAACAATGTTTTCGTACATTGTCAGTCAGTGTAACCTATGTGAGAAAACTCACACCAGGAACAAGGCAACTGATGGGTCGGTGGGAAAGCGGGCATCTGTGAGGCAGGTACCTGGCAAGAGGTCCCCCGCCACATGACCACAACAAGGTGATTAAGAATGAAGATTTTTTTTTTTTTTTAAAGTTTTCCATAGGTTGGGCTTCTGTGGTTTCACAGGAACATAAAATACCTCTCTTTGCATAATCCAATCAGCACTGTGTCTGACAGGGAAAAGGGAACCATTCTGAACTCCCACTGGCTTTTTTTTTTTTTTTTTTGGTACTGGGGATCGAACTCATGACCATGCGCTTGCAAGGCAGATGCTTATGCCACTTATACCCTAATATTAAATCCCCAGCCCCACTGGCTTTTTAAATTGTGCAAAATTTTGTCTACCCTAGAATCCAATAAATAATACAGAAAAATGAATCTTAAGCCTCGAAAAAGGTCTACAAAATGGAGGTAAGGAACAGTAAAAAAGCACAGTATCAAAAATATATACATATATATATCAAATGGATGGCTTTTAACAGATTTAAGGAGATGTGTATGCAAATTTTAGAATTTCCATAAGTTAAAAATTATTTACTCTATTAGCAACTGCATATATGTCAGCTCAGAAACTTCACAACATATGAACTGCTACCCATCTTAAGATGAAGGAGCAGAGAAACAAGAGACATGTATCTATCAGGACTGGTTTAGGTACCTGCGTCTCTCTGGCTAGGCTGTGAGTGAGGACCTTTGATTCTCCTAAATCACTGAGCTAAAATAAGAGAATTAGAATAAGAGAATCAAATGAACACGAGAAAACAACTGAATTTAGTTTCTTGCTTCAAGTTACAAAAAGATTTTTAAAATGCACATCTATTTGGCCTTAAAAAAACCAAAACTCTTCTTACTAAACCTGCAGAGCATTATTTTCTCCCTATTCTTTTTTGGGTTTGCTCAGTTCTTTTACTATAAATTGAAAACAAGCTTCTAAATCAGTCTCTTGAAAGAAAAAACTTAACCTATGATTTCCCTTTAAGCTTTGTCTTTGCTTCACCTACAAGAATGGCTATGAGTCCAGCACAGTGTGACAGACTGTAAAAATGTAGTACTGAATCTTATTTTCTAATGTTTGACTTTGGAAAAATGAATTAGATCCATATTTCACAACTTATACCCTAATATTAAAATGTAAAACATAAAATCTTAAACATTCTAAAATAAAACAGAAAAGTTCCTTGGTAACTCACAGTGAAAAGTCTTTTAAAACCTGAAATTAGAAATCTTAAGGAAAAATGGAGGAGTTTATGGTGCAGCTCCACGTAGTGTGTTTGCCTAGCATGTCTGAGGCCTTGGGTTCAAACTCCACACTGCAAATGAACAGTAACAGTAAACCATGATAAACTCAACTACTTAATTTTTTTAAACTTCATCACATCAAAAAGTAAACTATGAGCAAATTCAAGAAAAAGGCAAATTAAAAGAGGATTATTTGCAATTTATATCACAAAGGCCTAATTTCCACCACATGTAAAAGGATCCATAAGCAGTCCAGTGGCATGTAACATGTGACTCTTGACAAAAAGTGGAGACTGTATTGACTTGTAGTGTTTTCCAATTTCCATGCTGCACATTTCCCACCATCCCTCATTTCAGGCTACTGATATGACATTCATCAGTGTACAAATTTAACAACTGGTTCTCTTGACCAGCACCAGCACACCACTGCCATAGGAGAATGGAAAAGAAAAATAGACAAGAATAGACATTAAAAGGGATAAAAAATGATTTTAACTGTATGAAAGTGTTCAGACTCATAATAAGACAAAAATTAAAATGACAGAATATTATTTATCATCTATCAGATTTGCAAAAATAGAAGAATTTGTTAATATTCTGGTGTGCAGATACTCTCTGGATACTCTCATTTCCTTCTGATGGCAGCAAATATTAGAACAGCTGCTACAGGAGGTGACAGAAAGCTGTTTGTCAATATCACAAACAAACGCATGTCCTCAATAATTCCTCTTTGGGTGACTACCCACATGCAATGGTATACATAAAAGCTTAACCATGGGAGCAGTGTCTGTGAAAGAAAACAGTGGGAAACAGTCAAATGGCTATCAGGTGGGTACTGGCTAAACAAGGCTCAGCCATACAGAGAGATGCAGTACAACATAAATAGAGAATGAAGAAATTCACTCTAATCCATTTGGAGAGATCTTAAGATCTAGTAAGCGAAAATAAGCAAGTTGCAGAACAACCAATATGTTATTTTCTACATTTTGAAAGGGATGGGGTAGGATTCCTGGATAATAATGAAACCATACTGAAAGCATGCAAATCAAAAGCAATCCTGGAGGGAAACTCAGTTGAGTACCTTTCTATAACAGTTTTGAATTGGGAACATATTACCTATTCAAAGTTTTGTAGTGTTACAAGTCTCCCACTATATGGATGAATTTTTCAAGTACTTATTAATAGGTTTGGAATTCTGTTTATCATGGGATGAGATTTATGAGGTTCATATAAATTTAGAACTATTTTATGCTCATAATATATTAAATTTTTTATTATATAGCAGTCCATAATTTTTTTCCTTTGGAGATTTTTATGGGTTTTTTGATGTTACTAATAATTTTTGGGTTTTTTTGAGACAGGGTCTGGCTATGTATTCAAGGCTGTATGTATGTAATACAGACTAGTCTTGAACTCACAGCAATCCTCCCGCATTAGCCTCCTGAGTGCTGTGATTACCAGTGTTTAATAAATCTTCAAAAAGCTTTATTCTACTTTGTATTTCTCAGCTTCTCTTACAGCCTTATAATAGATTTGTGCTTTTAAATATCACACCTGGATCTTAAAATAAAGCCTGATAGTCCCATTCATTTGAAAAGTTTTGCTTTCTTGACCTTATTTTAAAATTTTTATTAGCACAAGTTTGCAGTATACAATGACTGCTGTGAGGATATATGGATATAACACATCTTAATTCTTTTTCTCCCCTTCCCCTTCACTCTCCACTTTTTTTTGGTTAACATCAGCCAATATCAAAACTAAGATAAAAACCTGCCCTATTCTCCTCTTCAGGTTTGTAAAATTCACTTTGTATTTGCCAGTCTGGGGTGGCTTGGGTTCACCTCCTGTCTCTCTCCTGTGTGGGCATCATGGGAAATGTCCAAGGCCCAGGATTCAGCCAGTTACTTAGGGTTAAAAGTCAGCTGCAGCCATTACCTTCTAGGGTTCTGGTTTTTGCCTGAGTTTGGAGCTGGGTGGCAACCTATGGGATCATTCTGGTCACCAAATTCTATATATTAAACTCTCTAGAAAATGCATGTAGCAGATCTTTTAAGTGTTTTTAAAAAGTCTGTTTTTACTTTTTTCACTGCTTTGGCTCACATACAATGGCTGAAATTTTAGATATAAGCTCATATTTGGTAAGATCATAATATGCCATGTATTAAGTGCTGTTACTCTTTAATTATTGTGAAATTTTATACTTGCATAGGAAAAAAAAAAACTTGTATTTGGCTGATTTTAATCTGTAGACACCCCGACAAGTCAGATTTGTGAGTGGCTTCTTCTGTGGAAGTCCAGTGTTTGTTCCTCTCAGGACCCTTAGAGGCTACACACAAGACCACTTTATTATCAGCTTGGAGGTTCACAGACACCACAGATAACATAAATTGCAACCACAACTGAGTGTGAGAATACAGCTTTGTTATACAAATATTAAGAAAGTCTGGTATTTCCTTTTTTCCAGGACAAAGTCAAATAGATACTATGTCAATCTGAAGATAGGACTGTTTTTTCCTACGCTAGTCCATATAGTCTCATGGGTATACAGTCCCTTCACAATACTGGCTTAATGCCAATTGCTAACTTTCTCGGGTGAATTTAAAGGTCTTAAGGTCCTGGTTTAGGTCAGCTCTAGTGATTCATTATTAACTGGCCTCAGAGTACCTCAAAAATCCAAGCTTGTCCCTCCTTGAAACTCTCACTTTTGATCCTCTTGTTGATTTGGTACTTTCCTCTTTTTTTTTGGTGGAACTGCACCATTGTGTAGTTTACATGGCCTTTGTTGTACTATACTCAGAAATAGTTCTTTTATAGGGAAATGTTTTGTTTTGTTTCTACTCTGTTAAGTAGGCAATATTGCTGGAATTCCCTGATTATATCTTAAAAGAAATATGATGTTCTGTGGTCTTTAGGAAAAATAAAGTCCACTCAGTAACTGTAACAAATAGTTAAAATATACACCAGTTCCACACTATGATCTATCTCACACACACACACACACACACACACACACACACACACACACACAGAATAGATGTAAGAGAAAGAAGTCAATATGTCAGAGAAAAAAGTTTTTAAAAAGATAACTGAATCTAGCTTTAGTTTTCGGCAAATTCAGTTATCTTTTTAAAAACTTTTTTCTCTGACATATTGACTTCTTTCTCTTACATCTATTCTGTGTGTGTGTGTGTGTGTGTGTGTGTGAGATAGATCATAGTGTGGAACTGGTGTATATTTTAACTATTTGTTACAGTTACTGAGTGGACTTTATTTTAAGTCAGGTTATAAGGTGGTGAAGTACTAGGTTATTGAAACAGTCATGCTGTGACCTCTATTGTTATATTGTTATGTCCTGTTTTATCTCAATCTCCCCCTTATTGTTTCAAAAAAAATTATTTAGTCATTTCTTATGTTTGTCTTAATTAAAGAAAAAATTCAAAAAAAAAAAAAAAGATAACTGAACAGCAACAAATGAAAATTTCTAGAGGGAGAGATAAAAGAAGCAGCAACAAAACCAATCTAATTAGAGAAAATAAATTGTTGAAGGCAAAGTCTTCAACTTTCCTGGAAGGAAAAAAAAAATTTTTATTTCAGGGCTTTTAATACTGCTGATGAAAATCCTTTATCAATCACATTTACGTTTTTCTGGAAAAGATCTCAAAAGAGGGAAAATTAAATATGGGTACCAGGTTTAATTTTCAGGTAGGTTTTCTCTACCTTGAAGGTAACCTAAGACAAAAAACTCCAGGTAGTTTCATTTTATTAAAAAAATCCAGTAAATTCTTAATTTACAGATTATAAAGATTTAAAGGACTTATTATTTTAAAAATCCAATAAATTCTTAATTTACAGATTATAAAAATTTAAAGGACTTCGATCTCAATTCTCATTACACAAGATTATTGTCTTTGTTTTTTTTTTTTTTTTTTTTTTTTTGGTACAGGGAATCAAACTCAGGACCTCGCGCTTTCCCAGTAGGCGCTATGCCGCTGAGCTGTATTCCTGGCCCTTGGGCAGGTTATTTTGGCATACACATCTGTGGTACATCTCACTGCTTGGAGATACAATTAAACCAACTTCTATTAAAAAAATGACAATTTGAGAACTTGATCTCTTATAAATGTGCTACTTTCATCCACTTCCCTGAAAAGATAGTTTCCTTTATATTTTTAAAAAGTAAATGTAAAATAAGCTTAATATTCTTTTACTTCTGTATACATGCTTTTTTCCCATTATACAAAAAGGCAAATTATGGCCAGGTATGGTGGTACATGTCTGTAATTCCAGCACTCAGGAGGCTGAGGCAGGAAGATTGCTGTGAATTTGAGGCCAGCCTGGGCTACAAAGCGAGTTCAAGGCCAGCCTGAACTACACAATGAAATCCTATCTCAAAAAAAAAAAGGGGGGGGGGCTGGGGGTTTAACTCAGCGGCGTAAGCGCCTGCCTTGCATGCAGGCAGTCGTGAGTTCGATCCCTGGTACCGATAAAAACAAAAAGGACCCCCCCAAAAAAAAGGCAAATTACTTAAAATTCAGAGTTCTTACATACATAGATAGCTCTTGGGAAATATCAAACATTTTGTTTCCCAGTAAAAGTTAACTAAAATATAAACTTCCACTCATGAGCAGATGAAGCCACATATTTGCTGAATAATTTTAATTCTTTCATCAAAAGCTAAACTGACATGGGCTCTGACAATTATGTAATGATTATTTATTCTTTGAACCTATCAATGAGTTGTCAGTATCCACTGATCATTAGAGAAATATAACTTTTCACTTTAAACTATCTTGAGAAAAATATAAATGCCTTTCCTAAGCATAGTAGCTTTCAAAAAGAACTCATTCATTTACCATGATATCTAATTATAAATTTTCTCATGAGCAACATACTCTTCCTTTATCGACATTCCCAAAATTACTGAATATAACATAATGAAAAGTAATGCAGAAATACATTTTTTTTGAAAATTGAGTTTTTAGTTCCAGTTATAGTTGTTAGAAGGGTCCCTTAATGTGTACAATAAATGACTCCTGCCTTTTTTTGGTCAAACATAGTGATAAAGTTGCTAGAGTATAAATATATTGCTTGAATGTTAATTTAGAGCATCAAATACACACTCAAAGTCGACCCTTTGCAAACTTCACTGATGAAAGAATCTTTTTGTTTCAGAGGCTCTGAAACAAAAAGTTTACAAAGGCCTAGAGCTAGAGTTTTAACCCAATGGGAAGACATCTGCCTAGCATATGTAAGCAAGGCTCTGGGTTCAATCCCCAGCAAAAAAACCCAACCTAAACCAAACCAAACAAAAACAATGAAACAAAACAAAATAATGTTCTCAAAAACTCATACTGCCAAGCCACCAAACAGTATCACAACAGCCTTTGCTTAATAACCAGTGGTGGCTTTTTTCTAAATGCTGTGAGCTCTGAGCTGCACTGCTAAAACAAAAAGTGTGAATGAGAGACCAAGATCTCCCAAGGAGGTCTTTTCTGTCCTGCTTGTTATCACATAGGATGCAGGGAGGGCAATGCTGCTGTCCCCTATGGAGCTGTGACACAGATAGGACATTCACCCTGCTCTTTCAATGGGGTTTTCTACAGTCTGATTCTGTGCTTTATATGTTAAGGGCCCATAGGTCACTACCATTTCTCCTACCAGAAGGAGAACCAGAGACTTAGAGCCTTGTACAGTAATTGACAGGGTAATACCAACCTTGCTCAAGACTGTAGGGCTGATAAAAAAAAAAGTTAAAAATTCCTAGAGCTAGGACAGACAACAGGCTGCTTTCAATGCTCTACCATAGGCATACGGCACAGGGCATTCTGGAAAAAAAACGTGATTTCCCACAGAAAGTCTTTGTTTTCTACTTCTTATTCTACTTTACTATGCTACCTACTTTCCAGCTAGGAAACAGAAATGCTTAGGATTGTTTAAGAAGGAGAAGCATAAAATTATTCTTGCCAGCTGAGCAAACAAGGAAAATCACTCGTCCACTTCAGTCTCATCCTTATGCTGACCTAAACGAGGCCCACACATGGACAGAGGTTTGTCGTCCACCTTTGTCTTGGAAACTTTTCATTTCATAGACTTGTTTATCCCTAAGAGTCACTAGTGTGAAGCTTGATGGAAATTCAGATCTCTGCATCCCTCCTAACTTCCTTAGCATTTTCAGGGGAAAGACTCTGGAAAGCTTTTAGCAATCATCCCAGTAATTCTTAGGATGAGGTAAGTTTCAGAAACACTGATCTTGGAGTTATGTTCATCTTAAGAAAAAATAAAAATCTATTCCTCTTTTTTTCCTGTGTCCTTTAGGAACTAAAATATGAAGTAAAAGAAATAAACTACATACCTTAAGTTAAGCTCGGTTTACTCTGCATGCTAACCAATTAAGGCAGTTAAGTAATACACAAAATGAAGTATCTGGTCTCAACTGTTAAACTGGTATCCTGAGGGCTGGTGGTATTAGCTTAAACAACTCTTGTTTTGAAAGCATAACCTATCTAGAAATTCAGCAAGGTGATCACATCTGGCATGTGCTAATGAAAGATCTGTACAGACTGAAATGCAAAAGGCAATGCAAAAACCATGAAGAACTTCTTCACAAGAGCATAGAAAGAAAATCAAGTGGATCTAGATCTGCCTACTTCACCATTCATTCTTGGGGTGTACTATTGAACAGAGAGCATTTAACACATGGCTGATAAATGGATGAATGCAGCATGTGTCCGTGGCATAAACACAGCATCACATAATTTCATAGTACTTTCACAGGAGACAAAAGTATTCTTTAAAATGTTTATATATTACCTGGTATAAAACTTTAACCGCCTTTAACCTGAGTAATTTACATAGAAATTTATTTTCATAAAAGGAAAGGCAAATCCTGAGGCCCATAAAAGCACAAAAGGAAAGAAAAGGAAACACAGGCTAAGGTGATACATCAGGAGCAATAAAACCCAAGCCAGGCAGCCCACAAGGACAAGAGCATACAGCGTGACATCAATGCTTCTCCCCACAGTGAGGACTTGCCCTTAGAAACCACAAGTAGCATACTTCAGGGCCAGAATTCACAAGAACAAAGACTGAACAAGAAAGGAAGTGGAGAAGTCAGGAAGAGGGAGGACAGAATCCCAGAGGAGACAGAATGAAGAAGAGAGGGGAGAGCATGCAACATCTCATGCAGGGACCTCGGTGAAGGTAAGTGGGTACCGGGCAACACTTGGTGAGGACAGGAATAGAGAAGTGAGACACACCTCAATCACAGAAACAAACCGCTTACCCTCCGCTTTAGTGGCAGTACCATCTTTAAGCAAATTAAAAAAAAAAAAAAAAAAAAAAAAAACAAGGAAAGGGACAACAGGGAAGAGTTAGTAACATTCAAAAAATTAAAAAAAGAATGTTATTAGCTACTAAAAAAGCAAAACTACAATTTCGAACAAAATCAAAATCAAAACAGAAACAAGTTCAACAGCAAAGCAGAGTCTGAAGCAAGTAAGTGCACCTTAGACTGAAATTAGCACAGTGTAATGTGTTTTTTTGCCTTTGGAGAACAAAAACAGGAACAGGCAGCCTAGAGGTGTGCTACAGTTGCGAATGTTGCTTTTTGTTTCCCTTATCCTCTAAGAGTTCATTCTTCACCACAGAAAGTACTAGCAGAATGCAGGGAGCAGCAGAAAGGGACTGAAATATGAAAGAGTCCCACACAGTGCAGAGGCAAATGAGAAGCTCAGAGAGGCAGGCTCTAGCAACGCCTACCCAGCTACACGCCCAGCAGCAGCACAGCAGCTGGAGAGCTCAGTACCTGAGTCCAGGCCTATGTACTCCATGTCTTCCCTCATGTGTCTGGATTCTAGAAGTTTGGAAAAGGATTGTCAGCTTTAATGGCATGTTTGTGCACAGGTGTCATGTGTCACCCACTCAGAATTTCCAGCAGGATTATGTTCCATTTCAGGTTTTCAGTTTCATTTTGGGACATAACAAGGAGAATATGAGTAGAATTCCCAGGAAATGGGAGAGAATCTCAGTGCTGTAGTTGTGCTACTTGAAGAGGCAGCACTGGGCTGAGAACCTGTCCTCAGTACTTCTGAAAGGCAGTTCTCTCTCATCAGACTGAAGACCTAGTGCTTTCACTAACTCTGGGAGAAATCTATTCAATCCACATTCAAAACCCCAAACAGGCACAGAGAAACAGACTATGGTCAGGCAGATGGCACACACCTATAATCCCAGCATTTAGCAGGCTGAGATAAGGGGACCATTGTGAGTCTGAGGCCAGTCTGAACTATGTAGTGAGACCTTGTCTAAAAAAAGGAGTTGACTTAAAGGCAGATTTAACTCACATTTTCCAGCACAGAAACAATGCTAAATACAAATACTAAACGTGGGTCAAATAACTAACTCATTGGAGGAGAGAAGACCTGTGACTTCTGCCTTGCTCAAAAATTACAAATCAAGAGAGCACTGTAACATCCTGCACACTGGTACAATAGTTAAGAAAGTAGAACAAGACCCCGGCCTGGGCTTCTTCCCAAGGCCTGTCTGTGCGCATGAAGCACTTCCACACAGCACACCTTACTGATAGGTCACATGTTCCAGCCCACACACTTAAATATGAAAGCTCCTATCACAACCCCGCTTTCTTCCACCTGACACGGTGACAGTTTACAAAAGACCTCTTCACGTGATCTCACTGCTCTTCATGTATCTGAGCCAGGTGGTCATTATCTTAAGTGACGGGCAGAGAAGCCAACGTGGACACTGAGCCAAGGCCTACTCCACATGCTTGCTGTTCTCTGTGCTGCCCACGCACACAGCACTACAGGCTTTACTTTTAGAACTGACTTTGGAATTCTAGCAGCCTACCAGTATATCCATTTCAGTATTTTATGTTAAAATTTATTCATTTTCTTAAAAGTAAATCCAATTCAACTACATCCTCAGACTAGAAGTTTGAATGACCCGGCTTTTACAAAAATACAATACAATAACCCATCAGCCTCACACACACTGGGTGTTGATTAGCTGCGGAAAAAATAAGTCACTGACCTACCGTTTTGTCAGATATTAAACTTCTGGAAAAGAACTAGTCCCTTTTTGGGGCAATCATTTGAGTGGGGCTGTATTTCTCTCAGGTGATACAGGAGGACACTACTGGTAGGTAATGATGTGTTACACTGGTTAAGAGTTCATCCTTCCCTTTAGAGTCCTCCTGTCACCTCCCTACTCTGAGAAACACTAAATGCAGTGACTACCTGGTAAGTCTCTCCCTGAGAGCCTCTGTCCTGTTTCCACCAGTGCTGGGAGCTAAGGAAGGTGAGGAGGTCAGCTGTGGTATGGGTATCTGCTGGGCTTGCAGGGGAGGAGGAGATGAACTAGGTGAGGGCATGCTCAGGGCCACTGAGCCTGTGAGCACACAGCCTCACTCATCACTAAAGATGAGGAAGCTCGAGGGAAAAGCAACGCTCAGCGCAAGTTGGATAGCTGGCACTGAGTATATAAAGTTACTTGTCAGTATCAGCCCTGGAACAGCGAGACTTCCCTCCATTTCGGTGCTCTATAAGCTGCTCACAGGTCAGCTTCATTTTGGACAGCGGGGTGGGAGGAGGTAGAGTGTTTTCAGTTACCTAAAGATGCATAAGACCCCGGAGGGAGAGCTGCTGCAGAGCTGAAGGGCATGGCGCCTGAAGTTGACGAGACTTTGGATTTGGCACTGGCTGCTGCATTCACGTCAATATCACTTCGAGATCGCTGGAGGGACCCAGTCGTCGACACAGATTTGGTGCTAACTGTAGAAGCTTTGGAGATGAAGGAGGGGACATCAGTAAAGACTATGCAGAATTTTCAGTATACGTTGGTAAAACCTGATGATTTGCTGTTCTTGAAAAAGTATAAGTTGTACCAAGGGCTGGAGTCCACAGGACTGACCAGGAGTTTTTCCTGCCCTGAAGGGGGAGTTTAGGCAATGCCAAAAGCAACCAGATGCCCACACTGCAACACTACCTATTAACTCGTTTTCTCGTAATTGACTATATGCTCCCACCCACAAATCCCTTAACTTTGTGTATTTGAGAGGAGATGACAAAAGGAACATTATGAACTGCCTATCAGCCTTCTCAGGATGTGGTGCCAATGTGCAGGCAGCCAGACGCCCTCCCCTTCCAGGAACCTGGGCATCAGACTGCTGCTTGCCAGAACATCACGAGAGTCCACAAAACATCACTCTCCTGCTATGTGAACTGAGAGAAAAGCAGCACTATTTATGGCAGCAGCACCATGCCAGAGGGAGACGGGCAGAAAAGGTCACAGAGCTGAATTTCCACTGGCCTTAGTCATCCTGACAATGGGAGCAGACAGCAGAGGCTAGAGCGGGCAGGTACGTCCTGTGCTGAGCATGGTCTGCAGCATCTGCAGGACTGAGCCGTCTCTGGGTGGACACAGGTGCCCTCTCCCTTCCCTGCATTGTTCCTCTTACCTCTAGACGTGGTACTGCCAGTAGGACTTCTTTTGGCAGAGAGTGGCCGACTAAAAAGCAAGGTATATACATGTTTATTATAAAAAATGCACTCCAGTAGCAGTAAGATAAATACAAATTACAACAGGAAAGTGTGACAATAGAGTTATTTCAGAGTTTTCAGAATTTTTCAAACACTGTGGGCCAGGACCTCACAAATCCTATTTCTGATAAAGCTTCAGGATTACATTTGGAACTCAAACATTAAGTAAAATAACTACTAGAGACAGAAACTAGAAATGCAAAGTCAAGATGGTAAAACATCAAGTCCCAGGCTCCTCAACTCATCTCTGAGTTTGCACGGATATCCTCTCAGAAGACTCACCCTTTCCTGTAATTTACTATTTTTTCTTTTTAAAATTTTTTTATTATTACCTGTTTGCAGTACATAAAATTATATTCATTGTGGAAAGTTCACAGATGCATATAAAACAACTGTTTCTGTAATTTACTGTATTAGTTTAACACTGGTTTCTACGATGTACATAAATTTTAAAAAACAACTTACAACAGAGACCAAGGCTATCTTTTACCCTTCTACCCAGTACTTTAGAATCCAACTACAGATGGGGAATTTTAAAAAGCACACTCACACAGAAACAGCTGATTTCACGCTTCCGTGCAGGGAACATTAAACTCACATTGTCACACTGCGACCATCAAAGGCAAACTCCTTACTTGAGACTTTCTTGAGAGCTGGAAGATGAGCGGTCAGACTGCGGCAGAGACACGATGCTGTCTGAGTTCTTCAAGTGGGACTGTAGGGCTTTCTGGTATGAGGACTCCAGGGTGTGGTACAAGTGCTCTGCCTCTCTGCTGAAGTGACTGTGGAAGCCCCAGTAACACCTAGGGAAACACAAGTTCTTGGTCTAGGGCTAACATCATATTTTTGAGGGTCAGCTGGTCTTGAACAGGGTATGAGGAGAAGGGATGAACAAAGGAGGTATCACAGCACACTGGCTTTTTCAGATTGGACAAGCCACTTCTCTGAACCTCAGCCCATTTACAGAATCAGAAATAAATGACCTTAACTTGCCAGACCAGGGGCCTAAGGGAAGGCAGAGCTAAAACAGAACTACATTTAGAACACAGAATAAAATCAGTAATAGTAGGCTTTCATAAATGCAATTTTACATTTCTTCATTTGAGTATTTAAAATTTCCCTAAGTATCACTATAACAAAAATTTAGAGCTACTTGAAATTCATATTAACTTAAAACTGGAAAAAACTTGGAGGAATACAGGGATTAAAAACAGCATACTAGACAAGATAATTAATAAACCCATTTATTGAAGTGTTTAGTCACTTATTTTGGTAGGAACTGTCCAAAATGAGACTGAGGTAAATACTTCAGAGTTACAATAAACCCATAAATAAGGGAAACATAACTGCCAGGCAGTCAAAAAGTAGTATCAGATAAAGATGTACAAATAAAACCTAAATAAAACTAGTATTTCAGGTGAGTAAAGCAAAGATTTTAACCTATGTCAATTATAAGAGTTGGTCAATTAAGGAAGTGCGGAAAAGACAACAAGAAATACAAAACTGGCAGTAGTTATCTACGCACTGCAGAAGAAAGTCTTTTTTTTTTTTTTTTTTTTCTTTTTGTACTGCAGGGGATGGAACCCAGGGCCTCATACATGCTAGATAAGCACTACAGTCAAGCCCTAAGAGAGTAACTCTTAGTATCAAGCTTCTGTTATTTACAATCAGTCTCACAGAAGTGAAGATCCTGGGGCAATAGCCACATGACTGGAGCATGCTCAGTTCTGATGACAAGCCCACTTTCATGGGGAGACCAAAGCAGTACACATTCCTGCGACAATCCTGAACATGAGCTAACCCCCCATTCCCCTACTTGCACTTATTTGCAAAGATATGACCATGGGAGAAAATCCTCTGTGGCCAAGATTTTTCATGGTAAATCAACATAGTATGCAACCAAATATCACTCAGCAACCTTCTAAAGGAAAAAAAATACTAGAGGAATATTTTGAAGTGGCTCTGCGGTCATATTTAAAATATTAATAAAATATTCAGATAAATTTATGGGGTTTTAATCCATACAAAGCACGTGGAACGTAACAGTAGATAATTTAAACAAGGTAATATCCAATAAAAGCTTACTTTCTGGCTTCTATCCTTGCTTCGGAATCAGCATCATGTATTCCCTTCTTTATTGTTTCTGCTAATACTGTTATGTGCCTAGATGTTTAAGAAAAAAGCAATGACAATCATAACAGAAGCTTATCTGTGGATGCAAACAGGCTTGTCAATCAACTTCAGAACAGCCATGTGCAACATGGAGCAATGTCAGTCAACTACCCGCAGCTTGAAGGATGCAAATAGTCTTTCAGGCCTTACTTCTTATCCAGACCCAATACCTTTCCCCATCCTAATCTCACCTAAGGAAACACATGGCCTGCTCTCTTTTGAGCTTTTAAATTACAGGTGACTTTTTGTCAGCCTGTACTTATTTAGCTCAATCTTTTTTTTTTTTTTTTTTGGTCTTTTTCCTTTTTATCGGTACTGGAGGCACTTATGCTGCTGAGCTAAATCCCCAGCCCCATCAATGACATTCACTAAAAAGTCCTGCAACTGTCATGTGACTCACACCAGTAGTAACAACCACAGTCAAGCAAACAAATGCTTAGATTCTTTCATTTCTTATCCAAAGTGGCCTGGGCCACTTTTGGGGGATTCAATCTCAATAATTAATCCAGATAAGGTATCAAATCAGACAGACATGCTTACCTTTCTAGTGAATGTGTCTGCCACTCTTGTAAAAGCAAATCTAAAAATTCAAAACAGCGCCTGAAAAGTATTAAGAAATACATGGCTTAGCAATATATATGTAATTAATAAAAATAAAGAAGCTGCTTTTTTCTTACGTGATTCTATACTACTTCTTATTATGGTTTTAATTTTTATAATTAAGACAAAGTGTAACATAATACCCTGTAATTCTTTCATTCTCTTGAATGGCTTCACACTGTCTTGATATGCTGGATGCTATAGCATATGAAGTTATACTCAAATAATTCCAGGAAAGAGGCACTATGGCGACTACTATTATGTTAGATTATCTGGTGGTGAAACACAATGATGCTTGAATTGTTCGGTTCTGACCTGCGTTGTTCTGTTACAATGTCCTCTTTTATCTCTATCTCCCTCCCCCTTTTTAAAATTAATCTATTTTTTCTCATTTTTTTAATTAAGGGAAAACTAAATTAAAAATAGCAGGATATATTATAGTAACTTTTTTGTTTTCCTATTAACCTGACTTGAGCCCCAGTGTTGCTTTCCCCATCTTGTTCTGTCTGATTTTACTATATTCTGTTTTGTTTGATAGTATCAAGTTTAAGGGTATAGGCAACCACTTTGAAGGCAATAAGATATACTATGATGTCCATTATGGTTTGACTATTATCTTTTTTTGAAGTCCTGAAAGGTCTCCAGGGTAGGTTTTATTGGTCTTGTTCCATACTGTTTTGATCAATTCTATTATACCTGATGATATAGGAAACTCAATTTAAAAATAGCAAAAGGCACAATGGTAACCACTTTTGATCATCTGGTATTCTATTTTTGCATCATGTACTATGCCCATCCTTCTGTTCTAACTGACTCTGTTTTGCTCAGTCACGTTTGGTTTTATTCTCTTCAAAAAAAAGTAATAAGAACTGTGGGAGTAGTAAAACCCAAAAAGTGTAATTGTTATTGTAAAAAAGAGAGGAAAGGAAGGTGAACTAAGGGATATAACCACAGGTATGTTTGAGTGTGTAGGATGGAAAACCATATTACTGAGCTTTTGCTGGATCATTGAACGGAACTGTCTCCAATATCACTGTATGAATGTCCACTTTATATGCTTTAATTTTATAATTTGGACAACTGTTTCTAAGAAGACAATATGTAACCTATTAACTAGTGATTTCTTACTGTATATTTCTTTTTTCTTGATATTCTGTATTACTTGTACCCTTTTCCTGCTTTATGTCCTTTCTTTTTTCTCTTTAAATAAAAAAAAAAAGAAAAATCAGAAATGACTGAAAGCCAAAGCAGACAAAAATGAGGAGGCACAGGAGGTGGCCACAGGGACAATAGGTCAGGACAGAGTTCACTCTGATCTGAGTTTCACAAGTGACATTACTGAAAGGGTCTATCATCATCATTACCTTCATACTACATTAATACAGAGTATACACATGCACAGAGATTAACATATGCTACTGAGTCAGGGCATTGCTCCTTTTATTAATTTTACAGAATCCCTACAAAAGCAATAGGAAACACATTGGAAAATTAAGTGTTTTCCACATTTTCCTGCTAAGATCCAAGTAGCACTTAAAATGACTCCTTTACAGCTACTGGGCTGCTTTCTATCCATAAATCCTTCAACATCCTCTTTGAAGCTTTCCCATTTTTGTGATCTTTCTCAGTCTGATTTACATTATAAGGGCTGGGCATATAGCTTAGGCAGCACAGTGCCTGCCTGGCAAGCACAAGGTCCTGAGTTCGATTCCTGGTACAAAAAAAAAAGTCTCTTATGATTTGTACCACAAGAAATGATTGTGGTCTCACCTCCTGTAGGTTACATCACCAGTTTGCTTCTTGCCTCTCAACAATTTCCTTCTTCTGACTTCCCATCTTTGTGGAAGAAGATTACAATAATCCTAGGAACCCACTCCAGGAAAAATAAAGCTGGTATTCTTTCAATAAAGAAATAACTAGACTTTTTTTCCTATGATCCTCTCAATTTGGCTCATAATCCATACAATTAAGTCCATTAGTCCTCAATCATCCTTAACCCTTTGATACAGATACAATAACATCTAGGGTGCAGCCTGAGAAGCAAGAGTGACAAGAGGTAGTTACCAGGCTCCAGGAGCAAGGGGGGGGGGGCTGTAGAGGCACCCAGGAGAGTCATCCTACCAAGCCACAGGCTAGCAAGGTAGTGTGAGAGCTGGTAAAGCAATGGTCCTCAAAGGAAAAGACACTCAACTATACCCACATCACTTCCTCACTGTCATTTTCCTATTCCTACCTAGCTCTCACCCAGACCATGTTGATTCTACTTCCATTGTCTTGCCCACGACATTTCTTAGCCTGAATTTTTCTTGTCTCTTTTCCTCATCTATTCCCTCTTACTCATCTTTTGAAAAGAAGCTGAGTTTATAATTCACCTATGAAGCTTCTTAGGAACATATCATCTGGTTTTAATCACTACCCTGTACAAATGCTTAACCCATATTATAAAGAATACTATTGACTCTTAAATCACTTGTTATTGTTTTTAATTTCAAAGTCATGGAAGTCAAAATTCAGAAGCGAGAGAACAGTGGCTACCAGGTGCTGGAGATTATGGAAATGAGGAGACACTGATCAAACAACATAAATTTTCATTTAGGAAAAAACCTACTGTACATCATGGTAATCTCAGTTAACAATATACTGCATACGTGAAATTGCTGTACATGGCTTTTAAATGTTCTTACCACATAAAACAAGCATGTAAGGTAATACATATGTTAAGTATTTGATTCAGCCATTCTACAATGTGTACCTGTATCAACATATTATCTTGTACACCATAAATATATACAATTTGTACATGTCAATTAACAAAAATAGACGAACACTGGCCCGCGTCATGTTTAGGAGGGTTTCCTACCCACAGATGATAGCAGGAATAAGCTGACACTCCAGGAAAGGAAGCAAACAATAGGCATTTAAGGTAAGCTAGCTCTAAACCTTACATTGAAAGACTTTTTCAGGAGGCTGGGGTCTAAACATAGAGTTATAGGAATGAAGCCAAAAGGCTGCTGCTCAGACTTGCCTTTATTTACCCAACAAGCCTCTTGACTGGGTCCACAGATAGGCTTAGTGTTGACTATGAATTCCCTGAAAATCTACAAAACTACATTATGCTGGAGAGATGGCCCAAGATATTAACACCTGACTCAACTGTAAAGAACTGCCGATCTGACCTCGGAGAACAAAGTCTTCACTCTTCACACGTCATCTAGGTTGGCTCTCCAGGATACATGACAAGACAAGGACTTGGGAACAAAGCCCTCACCAGTTACCCAGGTGGTAACTGTCTGTAGTATCTTCTGAGTACCCTCTCAAATCTACCCAGCAGAGGCAAATGTCTGGGGTTGGAACTGGCATTCAGAGTCCCAAAATTACTATCAGATGGCAGAAACATACACTTCTTTCCACCCGTTTGTATGTAACTATAGCCACTGGTATTTGTGGTATGTATTTTTTCCCATGCATACTTGCTCAGAGAGTGAAGCAGAGCAGTAACATAAATAGAGGGAGTCTCAGGAAAGACTGCATGGGGATCTTTTCCCCTCCTCCTTTTGTCACCAGTCCCCCAAAATACACACACACACATGCTAGAGATCACCCAACTTCTATTCTCCAAATATTTAGATCTTGAACTTTTAATTCAAAGCATTTATTGCAGGATCTTAAATAACATTAAACATTTCAAATATGAAATCTTAGCCACAGAAGAAGATTTAGATTTATTTAAAAAATAATCAGGTAGTACTTTAAAAATTTACCTTCTAACTGCGACAGACTTAGAGGTACAGTTGCTTGTTATGACAGGTATTAACCTAGGGATGTGTGTGTGCTGTGGAGAAGAACAAAACATAGGTGAACAGCTGCAAATATAAAAACAGAACAAATCACAACTAAGAGAACTACTTCCTTAGTAACCAGGATTAAAGTGTTTTGGAATTTCCTAATGTCAAAGGCCATCACATTTTTTTACAGAGCAAAGACACAACATGAAATAGATACATTGGTCTAAAAAGCAAAGGTATGTAAAATCTAAATTGTCTCAGCAGGTTGAAAGGAGCCACTGAAATAGTGTATGCTGACACTATTTCAATGAAAATGTACAAATGCATTTAATACTTGAAATAGGTGGAATAAACAAAACAAGAACTAAAAATAGCACAAAATAACCCATAATAACAAAGAACATTCTGAACAGGTTTAAGTTAGCCTCCATCAAGCCCCCAAGTTTTAAGAATTTCCTCTGGGGAAAATGTGGGGTGACATGGGAAACTTTGGAGTTAAGCCTTGGTGAACATGTGGGATTTACTGAAATTCTGTATACACGTTAGTTGGATAGTTAAGTGACAGAACAGCGGTGGTGAACCTATGCATGTGTGCCACACGGGACTGTTTCTATCATTAAAAGGTCTGCCATCACTGGCTACAAACTGGACTGAAGAGATATTCCCGTTTCTTTGCTTATGTGTAATTAATTTTAAAAGTTTTAAGTCAGTAGTAAAACCATAAGCACAATAAATAACATGAAAAAACCGGAATTACAAAGTGGTATCAAGGAGATAACAGAATATGCCTAGGTTCAGGTTTGGCTATTCAGATATTTAAAACCGAAGTGGGGTGCATCAACCGCCTCAGTGACAGTGTATCAGTGTATCACACATTCACAGTTTACACTGTAGATGGTGGAAAGCTCAGTGTTCTACAGTTAGGGAAGTCAATATTAGATGCAAGTCACGATTCCTATGATAGTTTAATGAGAAATGTCTCTACTACGTATCCACCACCAATACTGACCAAATGCATATTTTACATGTTGCTCTTTAACATACTTACCCGAATGATTAACCTAATAGCTACAACACCAGAAGTGGCCATAATTTTGGCACTATTTGGAATTAAATTAAAGATAGTTGGCATAATGGCTTCAGCTCCGTGGTCAAACTTATTCCCCAGAACCGATGACAAATGCCTACAGTAAGAAATGAATACAGGTTTGTAGCTATATTTGCCATAAACATTGATGCATATAAACCTCTTAACATCTGACAACCCTCATAAAAAATATCAACAGGTAAAGGACTAAAGTAAAATACTTTTGAAAATAATTTTATGTTAACACATGTTGAGCTGGTAATTTAATGCTCTCTGCAGATGGCATTTTAACACAACACAAAATTTAGTTTCCACACATGGGAAGATCTTTGTGATAATTATTTTTTATTTTATGGAAAAAAGTAAAACTTCATAACAAAATAAAAAGAATAACAATAGTTAATACATAACTGCGTATTGTTAGCTTTAAAGTAGTTACTTATAAATACAAGACATGGGCATAAAAATTTCTACAATCGATATTAGCACAAACCTTTTTCCATGAACTAAGAGACACTAGTAGTAAAACTAACCTGCATTTGTTTTCTTTTCCCTTCTTTCCTTCCTTTCCCTTTCCCCCCATCCTAGTTCCTTTTTCCTTTTGAACAATTTCTTCCCCTTTCACAATATCTATTGTATATTTTGCACCTTATTTATTCTTTTAGTTTCTCATATCCGGGAGACAATACGATGCTTATACATATGATTTATTTCATTTATGAGTGTGGTCTCAAGTTGCATCCATTTACCAATAAGTCTCCAGTTCATCCTTCTTTATGGCTGAGTAGTATGCCATTGTAAAAAAAAAAGACCACATATTTTTTATTCATTCCTTGTGTTAATCTTGTTTCCAAGATTTAGCTATTACAAATTGTGCTGCCATCAACATAGGTACACATATACCACTATGGTATAATGTTTTTAATTCTTCTGGAAAGGTATCAAGAAAAGGAATAGCTGGGTCAAATGGTCCCTCTAATCTTAGCTTTTCTGAGGGATCTCCTTACTGATTTCCATAGTGGTTCCATCTACCTACACTCCCCACCCACAGTAGAAGAGGGTTCCTTTTTTCCCCACAGCCCACCCAGCATTTGATTTCTTGATGATAGCCATTTTTTCTATCATAAAATGGAAATCTCGGTGTTGTTTTCATTTGTATCTTTTGAATGACCAATAATGTTGGAACATTTTCCATTATCTTTAGTTACCATTTGTATTTCTTCATCTGAGAAGTGTGTATTCATTTCAGATGCTGATTTTTGGACAGGGTCTTTGAATATGGTGGGGGTTGATTTTTTCAGTTCTTTGGTATGTTCTAGATGTAAGTACTTTGTCTGAGGGACACTGAGCTAAAATTTTTTCCCATTGTGTGTGTTGTCTTTTTACTCTGCTGGTGATTTTCTTTGATTTGCAAAAGCTTTTTAATAAGATGAGATTCCCAGTTGTTGATTCTTTGAAGTATTTAGCATAAAAATATTTTTTTTTGTCTTTTTCATTTTTATCAGTACCAGGGATTGAACTCACAACCGCCTGCTTGCAAGGCAGGTGCTTATGCCACTGAGCTAAATCCCCAGCCCCATAAAAATAATTTTAAAATGTGCATGTAGGTAGCTTGGCAAGTAGATACTAGCTCAAGAATTTTTTCTTAATCATGTCCAACTAAGTCCCAAAATAGAGAAAAAAAACCCTAATTCTCCCCAAAATATCATAATACTAGTAGTAAACATGAAAAACTGTCAAGTGGGGTAGCGTATTCCTGTAATTCTAGCTGCTCAAGAGGCTGTGGCAGGAGGATCACAAATTTGAGGTCAGCATGGGTGACTTAGTGGGACCCTGTCTCAAAATAAAGTAATAAAATGGGAGAGAGATGTAGCTCAGAGGCAGACCGCTTGCACAAGGCCTGGGCTAAACCCTACTAACAACTCCACCCCTCCAAAAAGAAACCCCTCTGTGTCCCTTTTTGTTTTTAACATAAAATGTTTCTGCTTAACATCTGCCTGTCCCAAAACTTTAAATAGTTGTACTGCTTTCTGTTGGCTGCTGTTGTCTCTGACATTAGTTGGGATAGCTAGGATTAAACATTACTCTAATACCTGGCTTTATAATCTTATAGGCACAGTGTTCTAGAAACAAAGATTCTGAAAATCAGATAGCATCCTGTCAGCAAAAGTCAATGAAAAATCTGAGAAGCAGAACTCTGTATTTCTTTTTACCATATTTAATATTAATAACTGCTTCAAGTTTAAGACAGAGGCTTCTGAGAGGTCCTTACCCCAACGTGATACATGTCTCCCGCACTACCTGAGACCGCAGATCCTTTGCAGAGAGTTTAAAGGCTCCGTCCAAAAGACGCAAATGTTGAAAGAAGTTATCATAGTCAGCTGCACCAGCCAAAAGTAAAGATCTAATCTTTTTTAGCTAATGGAATAAAGATAAGTCAAGATATACAAGACAATTCTTAACACAGACTATAAAAACAACAGAAGTCAAAAAATATGAGATCAACATTATGGTTCTACTGATACAGAAATAGTTTTTCCAAGAGAATTCAGTACATTACATATTACCTACCCATCTTTCTAGTATACCAAACAAATCTACATATCATAACTAAGATAAAGTAAATTTTAAAATGATATGTCTGTGATAAATGTATTATAGTTCCTATAAAATGTGCTTTATTAAACTGGAAATATTTTAGATATTTCCAGGTTCTATAATACGAATGGTAACTAAAATTCATTTTGGATTATGAGAAGACTCTTCCCTATGCTCCCTGGCTCCCACATCCCACTCCAACTGAACTTAATAAATTTTTATTCCTTCAGTATTTCTACATTGTCCTTTACTGCAACACTATGAACTGGCTAATTTGAATTGGAAGCAGAACACAATAGTGATTTTTACTACTTTTTAGCTCATTGACCAGTTAGTATAAAATAGCTTTCCTCAGCTAAGACACCCTCATTGTTTTAGTGTTTAGCTCACACATTTTCCTTTATTTGCTTCTAAAAACAGAGGGGATAGTACTTTCTAGGCACCTGATATGAAGAATTAAAAGAATACTGAGGAATATATACTGAAAATGCCGCTAACAAGCCACTTTCCTGATAGTCACAGAATGAAATCTTTACTACAGCTGGGATAGAGGCCAGCACCAGCCAGGCCTCGAGATGGTCTTTGTGAGGACAACAGGGCTATGAAAATTGGTAAGTTGGCATGTTTGAGAAATACACATATAAGTAAGGTACTCTACTAAAAAGATAAAGTACAAAAATGGTAATTTGCATTTAAAATACCTACTACTTAAAACTCATTAGAGCTCAGTTGCATAAAATATTTGGAGTACTCAAATCTAATGAAAATGTAATCACACAAAGTCAATGGCTTACAGCATTTACTCTCTGCTCCCAGTCGTGCTTGTCATCAGATAGTATTTCCCTAATTTTGTTTATGGATTCTTCAAGGTCTCGGCTTGAATAAATCTGTAAGAAAAATTAATGTACAATCAAAACAATGTAATTTTCAAAATAAAGACAATTTCTTAATTACTATCTAGAATGCCCTCCCAGAACATAAAAGTATAGTAAAAAGAAATTATTCCACTTTTAAGAACCTATGAGAAAATATTGAGCAGGTTTATCTTAAAATGACCTTTTTTCTCATTGTAAATGTGCAACCACTAGATCTGCTGTCATGTAAGAGTAATTTTACCTCAAACCCAGCTTTACTCTAAATGTAATGGACGATTTCATGTACCAAAGAGAAACAAGCCTTCAGGGAAACAATGATACGTAAGTCATTTACTAACCGTCGAATTGTTCATAACATTACATTACACCTGTAATTTTAGACACTTTGAAACTTATTTCCTTATATCCCCGCATCCTGATGCACGCTGTGAGGGAATGGAAGGTACTGGCAAATACTGAAGAGAGGCCCTGAGCCCACAGTGCCTGCTAGCTGACTGATGCACATATGGTGCTGAAGGGAGCAAGGCTGTATATAACAGTGAGTGCTAGAGGATCCAGCACACAGTTAACAGAGGCTGAGAAAAGTACTGGCCCCAAACAACAAAAACAGATACTAAGGCACAGAGCAGCCCAAAAATATATGACTGTATTCAAAACTTTTCTACATAATCTTGCTTTATAGTTAAGATGCAAAAACTAGGCCTTTTATTACAATGTTCTCTACAGTTTCTCAGATAACAGAATCCTTCAAATTGTGTTTTTTAAGAAAAATTCCTTAAAAATGTTTCTTTATTCTTTTATATAACTTAATCATCTTTCTTTTTTTGCGACCTGACCAACACAATACAAGAGCAATCAATTTCTTTCCTGTTCTTACTAAAGATCACCTTGAGCTTCAACTTTTGCTCTTCATTTTAGTCATTTAAAAGGTTTTGATATTTTCTGATCTGTACATCGGACTCTTGTAATTTTGGTGGTTTATCAAACCCAGTACAGGTTTTCTGCATACAGCAGTGCTGTGGTTTGGCAAGGTGTCCCCCCCTATGTATTGAAGGCTGGTTCCCATGGTGGTGCTATTGGAAGAAGGTGGAACCTCTAGGATGCAGGGCACAGTGAGAGGCCACTCGGTCACTGGAGTGTACCCTCAAGTTGTTTTCAGGACAGAATTGTTACAAAATCCCAAGCCTAGTCCCTTGCTCTGCATAACATGTTCTTACTCTCACTGCTCACCATAAAACAGGTGACCAGTTGTTTTTTGCCATTATTGCCAGCCATTATGCACATGAGGTAACACAGTCAAGGGGCTGCCCTTCCCAAGCCTTGCTTACGACTTGGACCCTCCCAAAGGTAAGCTATACATATTTACATATAGTTATTTCTCTCTATAAAGTTAGTTGCCACAGGTATTTCACTGTAGTAATATAAGCTAATGTAGCTATGTTTTAAAAATGACATTTGAAGAATGTTTTTGTCCTACTCGTAGACTCCAATAGTCTCACCTGCACCATCGGTACATCATCAAATGCTTTAATAAAGTCCTCTTCATCAACAGCGCCTGCACCTTCTTTTGCAGCTACAAAATATATTAATGTTAAAAACACAATGTATAAAAATGTATTAAGATATACATCATGAAGTCTGAATACAAATACCTAAAATTACATTTTGGAAGATTTAGAACTTTTAATATATTTCACTGACAAACACTACTGATTTAATATCAAGATGGAGTACAGTAATTCTGCAATGCTATATGTATATGAGTTCAAGGTCACTTAAGACTACTTTCTAATGCAGATTTTGAGTTCTCAAGGAGTTAGGTGACATCTATTATATTAATACAGACTCCAAATAAACATGTAACAGAAAATTTAATTTTTAAAGGGATTAGATTATGCCACTGGGAATTCAGCATATAAATTCAAGAAACATTCAAACAAGGTCTAAAGAATTTCAGTTTAATCCCAACTTTATACAAGAGGTTATTTAATGTTTAAATTTTAAAACCTTATTATAGTAAAAGGCATGCTGACAAAAATGATGAGGTAAGTATGGTCACAATATTTGAAATATTGTGAGTGGATAAAGGCAGTGTGTCTTTCACTGTAATAAATCTTTTAATTTAAACATTCAGGGCTGGGGCTATAGCTCAGAGGCACAGTACAAGAGCCCGAGTTCAGTTCCTGGTACAAAAACAACAGCAACATCAACACTAACAACAACAAAAACCAAATAAATAAAAAATTCATTGCACATTATGATTACTCCTTGATGATCAAATGGTTATGGCAATTTCTGTTAAATAAAAAACTTGCAGTGACTTCTGGCTCTTCTACAAAGTTAAAATGATCATGAAAAATAAACATTTTGAATTGATTCAGGACACTGAGCAGTCATGCAGTGCAAGAAGACATGGAAGAGGACTTCATAATTGTTTTAGAAAGTGGCAAGAATGATAGGGTAAGTATTTTTAAGTAAGAGAGAATATTCAGAGAGGGATCAACAATGTGTCTTTTGTTGTATTTTGGGGGAGGAAATTTAAATATTCACTGTATTTTTCTATCACATTTCGTATCTGTTTCAAAGCAGTTCCATTTCCTTAAACTTATAGCTATTAATTTTGATTGAAGCATCAGTGGCAACTTTCCTCTACAAAACTATTCTAAGATGCTTTGTATACTTAAAAGTGAATTCTGTCATTTAAAGTTACACCTTTTTGCTAATATGTACTCTACGCATGAAAATCAAGTGACATTTTATCAGATTTGTTCCTCAGAATGACAGCTTTCAAAGTGGCATCTATGGGTATCCTTGAAGTCCCAACTAATGATTTACACTTGCAAACCTGACTGCTTTTCTAAAAGTATCTTAAAAGAGATCTATTTGGTGTTTGGGGTCCAATGGACATCCTAGACAGAAAAGGACTTTAAAGACAATTTTAGGTGGTGGCATAGCTCTTGACAAAGACTACTCACACTTCACTAACTATAAATGTACAACATCCATACACTCTAATGTGGTGCTATACGTCCTCGGATTTATTTCAGCATAAACACTGAAACCCACTGAGCAGGCAGGTTCTGAGCACTTCCTTCTTCTCCATCAGAACTGCACCCGCATTCACATATGTACCCACACATGGAAAGGACTCAAAGGCTAGCCATGTTCTCAAGGCCAAGGGATCTGACAAACTAGAGACACTCAGGGAGTCATGACTATGGTATTAAATACCACAAGAAAAAGGGTGAGCACAGGGCTAATGGGCAGATAGGGCCAGTATCTCTGCACAAGTGGCCCAGCAAAAATTCTCTGAAAGGGGGAACGAAAACGGGTTCTGATCATGCAGAAATTCTCTAAGCCTATTTGGGAAATGGTATTTCTTAAAGGCTGATCAAGGAAGGAAGGTTAGAAAGATTATCCAGTCATTAAAAGGAACAGTTCTGATGCATACTATAAGGTAGATGAAATACTGAAAATAGTCCCTTTAAAATGGTTAATTTTATGCTCAAAACAAAAAACAAACAAAAAAAAGTTTTTAAAAGTACACCCCAAAAGTGAGGAAGAACTGAGAAGAAAAACAGCCAACGTAAGAGGCAAAAAACAATGTTTTTGCTTGCTCTGCGGTAAAACACTGCCAGGAGCTCAGCTCTCAGCTGACAGAGGCACAGGTGGAAGAGCACCTGGCATCTTGCTGACTAGGCGATATGCCGATGTTCCAGGGCTAGCTTGGAATCTAGGGAAGAACCAGAATCTAAAATCTAAGGGAGACTATCAGGAGGCACTCCAGAGAATGGTAGTGCTCTGTGTAAACTTCACTCAGCTCATTTGCCTCCAGTGGTTTTTTGGCTTGCTAGATTCTCACCCACCTTCCCCCAGCCCTGAGCACTAACCAGCTCAAAAGCCCAGGGCCCATACTGAACACTGTTGTAAAAGCAGTGACCACACAACTATTTAACAGGTAAATAGGGAATCTGCATGCATGTTTAAAATCTGATAGTAAAATGAGAAATTTATATAACAGTAAGTCAGACTGACTAAACTGGAGATGAGACTTATACAAAATATCTTTGCAAATCAACTTTCAAAGCTTTGGACACCTAAATTACTATCATTTGTTGAATTTAATACCCATGCTGGTCTTGCAAGAAAACATGCTACTTACAAGAACAAAATATATTTTGAAGATGTGAAACAAACTGACATTTGGTATTCTCGGTCTTGATCAATAGATATTGGCTAAAAGGCTCTATGGTGGTTTCAGGCAGGCAAGATCAAGATGACGAAGTAACACCATCAGTGTGCAGTTTGACTCTTTGTTTCAGAGCTATGCTTTTCTCTGTGTTAGCTTCTTTCTCCTATATGCTCTGCTTCATCAAAATGTAGCAAAGTTCCACACAGTTCTCAGTCTTACATCCCACCTATTTATCAGCCTCAGTGGAGAATACCAACTCAATTAAAGACACCACGTACCAATATGCTATGTTCAGGGGCTAATTCACTTCTGAGGGACACTGTAGGCAGGTCCCACACAGACCTGGCTCCAGAATACCACACAGGGCTTGGGCTTACCTGAAGACTTGGACCCAAGAGTGGAAGATCCAAGCCGGCGGGTGGTCCCCATCCCAATCTTTCTCCGGGAGCTTGCTGGGGCCTTGGATGATGTGGAACTGGCAGAAGAAGGTCTGTTACCATCCACAGAGTCTTCATCATCAAAATTTTTATCTGAACAGTAAGCACAGAAGTTATTAGAGAGATAAACAGGAGGTACAAAGAAAACTTTTCTCACATATATATAAAATAACCACTGGACTTTGAGACAAACAGTTGGTCTGCTCTTTTAGAATCTGAGGCATCTGACCAGGGTCTGGAAGCCTCAGATCAAATCCATAATGCAGCTACAAATCATGCTTGCTCTTTCATATCTAAAATGTCCTCCCATTCAAATATTTCAAAAATATTTCTGACTGTGGTTTCATGCATTTTTAAATAATACCTGAGCCTATGTGTCATTTTATAATACCACTTGCTTCAAATATCATCTTTCCTTTGTGATCAAATATTTTTATAAACACCATTTTAAGGTACTTCATAATTAGAAAATGTCAAAACTGAAACACTCATTGTTAGATATCTGGCATGTTTCTGATAGCCAATCATTAGAAATAACCCTAAAATAATCACCTTTCTAAATGTATTTTATTTTTGTTTGAATTTCAAAGTTTTAAGAAAGCCAAGGATATAGCTTAGCAGCACAAACACCTGCCTGGCAAATGCAAGATCCTCAGTTCAATTCCTGGTACCAAATAAATAAGTAAGTTTTAAGAAAGAGACCACTGGAAGCAATACTCCTGAGTCAAAAGTATCTAATACTTACTGCCAAAGTTATCTACGAGGTAAATTTTTCCTGGAAATTCAGTGACCAATGTGCCACACCCTTACCACCACTGAGTTAAATTATCATGCTTAAACTCCAGCCAATTTAAATTCAATTTTAAATATAGTTTTGTTACATTTCTCCTTTAGTGAAATTGAACATTTTTTAAATAAACTCATTAACTTTTAAATTTTCTAAACAACAATGAATCCAATTAGTACATTATTCAAGATGCATTTAAAAGTTTCAAAAAGTACTTTTGAACTCATAATAATCAACAATTATAAATTATTATTAATTATTAGTGATATAAAATTAAAGCTATCATCCTGCTTATGTACCAAATTACAAGGTCTTATGTACCAAGTATGAGTCATTCTAGAGGCTAAATAAACCTAACATTATTAAAAAAAAAAAACAAAATTACATCTGTAGCAGGCAATATTAATAATTTCTAAAGAGGGGTTAGATCATTATTAACAGGTGAGAAATATTAACCTACAATGGATAACGAATAGCACTGTTTTTCTTGATCTGCTTGCTTCTTACCTATATTACCAAAAGCCTAATCTTGTGTTTATTCATGGTCCTGCTGGTCCCTACAGTTCACCAACAATGTATTTCAAATTATATTGCTTATTCAATATGGGAGGGAGAGGGAGACACATCCTTACAAACACATGTTTATGCAAAGTGCTTTAAAAAATTCCCAGATTGTTAAACACGCTTCAACATGCTTCATTTAACCTACACTTCAGTTTCTTGCTGGTACATGCGTGCAGTGTCCTACCAGCACAGTTCCGTGGGGATTCAGAAAGTGAATCATAAACTGCACAGCCCATTTACCTGGTCCTCCCCAATAGTAAAATTGAGATCCAGTGTAAAGGACAAGTATGAGAAAAAGGAGAGGTCACTCAGTTGAGCACGCCAGCATTAGCAATGACAAGATCTGATCTCAGTCTGTCTGCCTGTACTCTGAAGTGCTCCATGAGCACCTGAGCCTTGTATGCCACCATATTAACTAACCATAATCATTATTCTGCTTATCGCAGGAACAGTTTCAATCTGTTGGAAGAGTAAAAAACGAGTAAGGGGACACTACTGTACTTCACTCAAAAATTAATGTTAATTAGGCCTGGCTTAGTCCTCTAACATGCCACAGAAGCATGCCATTTAGAATTGTATTCAGTGACTAAAGAATTATTGTCAACAGACTAATTTTAACGGAATTTTTGAGATTTCTGTTTGCAGCAATGACAGCGCAGCAAGCAACAGACTTAAATGCTTCCAGTAAGTGTCTAGAAAATCAGCTATTGTGTGTGTGTGTATCACAGCTACTTTCAGATATTTGATAACAGGCACTGCAGAACTGCAACCCTGAAAGGAGATGTATAAACATGGCAATTTCTACAGCTGTCCAACTTTTCCCAAGCATAAGAGGAACCCAAGTTAAACTTGGTAACCTTCCAAGTTGAAAAAATGAAGAACAGGTTCAGGGAGGCAGAGACGGCCACATATGACAGAACATAGTTCTAGCAAAATACGAGTTTATACATTAAGAGAACTTAAAAAAATGTGCTAAGTTTGTAGACCTTACATATGTAAGTAAACTTTCACAAAGCAGAGCAAACAAAACAAAAACCAAAAACCAAAAAACAGCAATTTACAGTGTTTAAACAAAGTCTGCAGATGTTCAGGCTTCAATCAGCCACAGTGAAATGTTTTCAGTGAGGACAGGCCTTTCTAGGGTCAAGAGTACACTGAATGTGTTCTATCTGAGCTTAAAAGTCAGATCTCACAGGGACTGGACAGATCTGTACAGCAACAGAACTTGTCTAATATTAAGTGTATCAATCAAACAGGTTGATAAAAATAAATAAATAAAATCTTACCGTCTCACTGTAGGTTAATACTATCCAGTCTCTCTCTCTCTTTCTCTCTCTCTCTCTCTCTCTCTCTCACATACACACACACAACCATGCTTCCAGCCAGGAGGGGGAAGAGTAGGTACAAGAAAGATGGTTAGAAATGATAGTCCAACCCTTTCGAAATTGAATACATGAACCCGTGTCTCCAAGAAGGTAAAACACCAAACATCTATACACACAATGAAAATCATATTGAGGTACATTATCATCAAATTGCTCAAAACCAGTGAAAAGTAGCCACAGCAAAAAAAGAAGACACATCACAAACACAGAATGACAGGCTTCATCAGAAATCTTTCAAGCCAAAAGACAATGGAATGACATTTTTAAAAAATGAAAAAATGTATTAACCTAATAATAGTCTATATCCAGGAAAGTTACATTTTGAGAATAAAAGCAAAATAATAATTACTCAAAGAATTTGTTACAGCAGACCTAAGCTTCAAAAAAGTATAGGAAAATCTTTAAGCAAAAGAAAAATGATACTAATTGTAAACAAGGATTTACACAAAGAAATGAGCAGCAGAGATACTATGTGGATAAACACAAGACTTTTGTCTCATACTTTTTTTTTTTTTGGTACTAGAGATCGAATTCATGACCTCACTCTTGCCAGGCAGGTGCTTACGCCACTGAGCTAAATCTCTGGCTTTTGTCTCATACTTTATCTCCTTATATTTTCATTTCTCTAAAAATATAACTATTTAAAGCTAAAACAGAGCATGTAAATGTTGGCTTTTCATTTATTCTTATGTTCCAGCTAACTTGGTGGTCAGAGAAATCACAAACTGGATATTTATGTTACTATACTAGATGGAAGGAACTACAGGGGAGTTGGAGTGAAGAAAATAGGAGTTCTTCTGTTTCTGCCCTCAAAAAGACTACAGTTTTGGAAGCTTTCCCCAAGACTGGAGACATCACATTAATCAAACTCCACCAAGAAGGCAGACCACTCATAGCCCATATCTGAATGGAAATGACTATCAAGGAACAATGGAAGGAGAAATGGGCCATTGAGCAGCCAGTGTGAAGTGTAGGTCTCTTTATTTATCCTTTGGAAACAAATGTAACAAACATATTTATCTGATTTTCTAAGCAGATCAGAAGGAACTAATTATAGGGATGGTAAGAAGGGGAACACAGGAGTTAAGCAAAGTGATATTAATAAGCAGTGACAATCAAAAGCCTGATCACTAAATGTGCACCCACTTTGCCCAGGTCCATTTATTTGCCCATTAAAGAATGACCTATTCTGTGTAAGGGAATTTCTAGGTTAACTGAAACTAGGTACCTTTCTGATAATTCAGTCCCCTTTTAATTTGGTTTACTTTGGGAGTGTCTAAGAAAATCTGGGAAATGTAGTCTAATTCAAAGAGTAAGTTACCACACATTTTCAAATTTTAAAACCATAACCTCCATTGTGTTCATCCTCCATGGATGTGGAATCTCATGCTCCCAGATTCTAACATAGCTCAGTATGTCTCCATCATAGCAATGCATGTGGAACTTACTAGCTATATCATCCCTGTTTTCTTAGGCTTTTCAGCTAAGTAGATATACTTTAGTATATAACTTTTCTTTGTAGAGCAAGAAGGCAAAGACTGAAAATGTATAGTTTTAACTATGCAAGCCTATCCTATTACACTACTTTAAGTTTTATCACATAAAACTACAATAAATGTTATACACAGAAAAAAATTTGTAAAACATAAGTTCTCCCTGATTCTCCACCCCCCACTCCAATAATTCTGCCTTTAATCACCACCAGGAGGACTATCTTCCACCACCACTTCATTTATTTGATCATCAGGAAACAAAAATCTGCCATGAGCTCTTTAGAACCTTCAGTTCCTAGTCACCATCACTTCCTTTGATTGAAAAAAAAAATTTAAGTGCCAATACTTCTTATGTACAATTGTGACAAGATACCTAAAAATGACTCATCAAGTTTCTACACAATGACACTAGAATTTCTATCCAACCTGCAATCACCCCACTCTTGGCAATCCCATTAATTAAATTAGTGAAAGAAAAAAATAGTAGCCAAATAGCTTACCTCAAAGAACTAAAGATACAAAAGAAGTTTTAAAACCCAGCAGAGAGAATCCTTGGTAAAACAAAAAGGCAGATTACATGGAGGTCATGGAGGTAAAAAGGTATGGAGTTAAAAAGCAAACCGGCAGACTTGGGGAGCTGACTGAGTCTACTACTGTAGTCTGGACACTGAGGAGCGCCTGGAGAATGGGCTAGGGTTGGCCCAGGGGATCAGAACCAGCCGCTTCAGCAACTTCTGCTGTGTAAGATGCTCAAGTCCCTTCAGATGCCCCTCCAGAGACCAGCTGCCTCAGAATGGGACTTTAATCAAGACAGGCTGGGGAGAGAAACTACCGATAGGTTTCAGTATGGGGGGTGGCAAAGAT